TCGCTTCTTCGGCGAGAACCTTTTCATTGGGGGCAATGACGGCAATGGCACGAGAGTGCTCGCCGTCGCCGTAGACCATAATGTTAGCGACATAGGAGCTGCCGCGGTATACAGTTTCCAGCTTCTCCAGGGCAATGTACTCTCCGCCCTGCATCTTGACGAGGTTCTTGACGCGATCAATGACACGCACGTGACCGACGGCATCGAACTCGCCAATGTCGCCCGTCTTAAACCAGCCATCCTTGGTTATGGCCTTCTCCGTCTCCTCCGGGTTCTTGTAGTACTCTTTCAGCACGGGAAGACCCTTGATCCAGATTTCACCCTGAGGGGGGTTTGAGTCGGTGTAGTAGTTGAGGTCCGGAATGGAGACGAGCTTGAGGTCGACGGCAGCAGGGATAGAACCGATGGCGGTAGATGTGTACTCCAGAGGATCACCAAGGGCACCGTTGGCAGCCGTCTCAGTCAGACCGTAGCCTGTCAACATGGGCGCAATGGTCATGGAGAGGAAGTGCTTGGTCCCATCCGAGATACCGCTGGCGCCATTCATAATGAAGCGGAGACGGCCACCCGTCATCTCGCGCACCTTCTTGAAGACGATGTTATCGAAGATGGCTGCGCCTGGGAGTCCATACTTGACCATGAAAGTCTTGTAGTTGAAGGCGCCCCAGAAGAGGGCCTTGATTAGAGGACCGGAGCTGTTGACCTTGGCCATGATACCCTTCTTCACCGTCTCCCAGACTTGCGGCACGCCGACCAGGGCGGTCGGCCGGAACTCGCGCATGTCACCAGCGCAGTTCTTGACTGATGTGTCAGAAAGCGTTCTAGGGTTGCCATAGCCCAGAGTGCCGCCAGCAAATAAGACGAGGTTCTCGAGGACGAGCTCGAAGATATGAGCCAAAGGCAGGTATGCCAGGATGTGGTCTCGGTAGCTGACACATTCTTCGACGCAGGTAAAGAGGCCACTGACTGTAGACGATTCGATTAGCCTCTGGTAGCCTCTAGAGGCGAGGAAAGGATGGCTTACGCGCTGCCACGGTACCCTCATGGGTCATGGGCACACCCTTAGGCGGACCAGTGGAGCCAGAGGTGTACATGATGCAAAACAACTCCTCGGGGCTGGGCTCGACAGTGTCGACAGGGTTCTCCTCGCCCAAGGCGCGCACCTCCTCAATGCTGAGGAGCTTAATGTCGGGGTTCGCCTTCCTAAAAGCGTCGACCTCGGTGCCATCGGAAAAGATAGAGTTGTCGTTATACACGACAAACTTGACATTGTCGGCCTTCTTCAGAGCTCCGCTTGCCGTCTTGAGGAGCTGGGGGTCGATGTACATGGCCTCAGCATTGGACTGGAGCAGCGAGTGCTCGACCCCGCTAGCGCCGAGGGTATCGTAGGCAGTGACAATTGAGATAGACTGCGAACCACAGGCGTGGGACATGGCCATCCAGTTGGCACTAGATTCCAGAGGGTCGGGTTAGCAGTTTCTTGACGGGCATAGACGGAACCCGTCGTGGAGTGCTCGGGACGCGGGAGGATGGAAAGGATAGTGCTCTCGGACGTACGTGGTGGTCGCAAACAGATGGACCCGGCTGCCTTTGCTCAGACCCAGCTTTCGCAGGCCTGAGCCAATCTGGTTGATGTAGGTGAGGAAGTCGGCGTAGGTCATGTAGGAGTAATTGGACAGCTCAAAGTACTGCCACTCCTTCTCGACCTGTACAATCTCTCCATCGACATTCTTGGGCACCTTCTTCTTCTCTTTGTGAAGGCGCACGAGCTTTCGGGAGCCCACGGCGGGTTCGTTAGGGTATACGTGGGCGCTCCGCTTGACGACGTCGTAGACGGTACGAATGTCGGGATGGGGTCTGGTTCTGAGGCCTTCCTTGGCCTTCCAGTGGCGGCGGGGGAGGGTTTCGCCGTCGACACGTTGGTAGCCAGGCGACTCGATGGTGTAAGGGGGTTTGTGCACTGGGTGCAGGGGCATAATACCCTTGGTCCAGTCCATTGTGGCGGCGGTGATGAAGGAGTTTGCGGGAGAGTTTGCGAGGAACCAGCCGGTGAGAATAGCGATGGAAAGGACGAGAAGGGCGGTGATGATGGACGGAATGGTGGGAGATTTCACGGCCTGCGAGCCCTTGAGGTCTGAGGTGCGGAAAGGACAGGGAGGGGATCGGGGGGGGGGGGCAAAGCTAACCACAAGCTTTCCGGGGTGTCAAGGTGGCAGCGTTGGTATCGTCGAGAGGCTGGATCGATAATTGACGGCGGCAGGTTTTGCAACGGGGACAGAGTTGCGAGAGTTGACGAGGGAGGGCTTCGAGTTGTTGCTCTGGTCTCTTTGGAGAGGGTTGAAGAGCTACGTGTGCGGGCAGGAGCGCAAAGTTAGCTGCGAGAAGAGTGACGGGCTTTAATTGCGTCACGGTTATGAGCTGGGCCACTGGAATGATGCTGTAGCAGGGCATGCGACCAGGGGCTGGTCGATCCGCCACTGGCCGGAACTCGGTAGACTACGTACGTGTGGCATGGTATCCCTACATACATCCTTGGGTATTGCGTTGCTACCTAGGTTAGGTAGGTAAACTACCTAATACAGCAGTATATCCTATCACCGAATATAGGTTTTGTTTTGTTGTACATACATATATCGCTGCTTGAGGTAAGGTAGTAGACATACATCATCTCGACCAATTCAGAGACCGGTATATTGGGGGATGTTCGCAACACATGCGTACGTGTGTAGACCTCGATTGTCACGACCAACGCCTGGTCTCCCTAGGTACCTAGATAGGTAGGCACTCGGGTGACAAAAAAAGACGGTCGGCTGCACTTACCACTACTACCATATGGCAAGCGGCCATCATTTTTGTCACCCGAGTGGTAGGTAGGCATTGGGTACACTTGATCACCGTGGCCAAGATGACAGTTTACCTCGGCCTGACGAGGCTCGACAGCTTCTCCAGCATGATAAATCAACAACAGCTTGATTCCCAGGACCTGAACCCTCTGCATCTGAGGTCTGAGGCCGCCAGTCAGCACCAGTCTCCAAAAGTCTACGGTAGTGCACCCCTAATTCCGTATCTGTACGAGCCAAGCAACCACTAGTTTGCGGATAAAGAATGGAGAGGGAAACTGAGGGGCCTGCTTGTGTTACTTACCTGCCTAGGTAGGTACCTAGGTATCTGGGTACCTACATGGGTAGGTAGGTAGATAGGTACGTCGGTACTTGTGTAGGCATGGGACGTAGGCAGGCATAAACAGCGTAAACTAGCTACCTACCTATCTGGGTACTGTATACCTCATCTTGGCACGGCTTCGGCGAAATGTGAGATCTCTCTCTCTCTCTGCTTGCTGCAATCACAGTGGAGGCCCTCCTTGGCAATGTACTTTCGTACCTCGGTATCACCTGGACACCCGTCGCCCATTGACCGAATACCCTCTCAACAACCAAGCCTGGGGCTTCGCAGATGACCTCCAAGCCTGCGTACTACGTATGCTGACACCATTGGCACCATTGGCGCCATTGCCCGTCACCCTCTTCCAACAGTTTCATTCCCAACACTCAACAATGATGTCGTCCTTTGCACACAATGTCTGCCTATCCATGTAGGGAGGTAGGTAGGTAGGTAGGTAGGTATCTGTAGACCCTGTTTTGTTTACTCACCTGTACGGAGTACTATTAGATATGTATGAACGCATGCGACAGCGATATCAGCCCCAAGCCGGCTTTGGTACGCTCGGGCGGGCAGGGGACAGACCAGGATATGGAGACAGACAAGCAAAGCGATCGACGACGACAGCTCCAGCCGGCGGCTCACCCTCATTCAAAAGAAAACGCCCGATCCACACGTCCATGTACGGATACCTGTAGAAACTATCACCCTTCAAATCACATCGTACGCCTTTGACTCGGACATGATGAGAGCCACTACCAAAACCCACTCTCACAGCAACACCACAACCTCCATTTTGTCTCGACGATGCCCCCCCATCGGCCTCGACTATCTAGGCAATCTATCGTCCCTCTTCCTGCATGACATAATCACGTGCAAAACAAATAAAAAACCCTTTGTTGCTCACATGCACCGACGGCCGAGGCTAGAGTAAGGAAAGAGGGAAAAGAAGCTCGGTCTGTACAGTACCTAGTACCCACCGTGTCCACTGTGGCCCCTGTCTTTACTCACCTACCGGTACTTTGCCTTCCCGCATCTGAATCTCCAAAGTCGCCCGATGTCATGGATTTTCCGTCTGCATTAGACTTTTGGTTCATCGCACCATTTCCAACCGACCATCAGTCACCCGAACTCCTCTTACCCTTACTCCCCTTCCAATCATGACTTCACATAAGCCAGTTTATCTAGTAATTTGCGCCTCTGCGCCTCACTGTACCTGACGCTATTCCCACGTTGCCCGACACTGCCAGCATGTGTCACGCCGACGCCTCTCAGCTCACGGCCTGCACAAATGTTCCTTGGGTAGTTGGGAGGAGCTATGGCCACAGTAAGCCACTCGACGGCGACCTGGACTAAACGAAGGGTTCTAAAGCATCTCAGCTCTTGTTCCAGACCCATCCCTGAAGCAGATTGAGGGGGGGGGGCCAGCAACAACAGACAACAATGACGATGACAGTCGGTGTGGCGTTCACACAATAAGCAAGGAACCCATGGAAACGTACTTTACTGGCAACATCTTGACCACACCACACGGCGAGAGCCCATCGTGTGGCAGTAGCCGGTCAAAGAGCAATTTATAGCAACGCTACGTTCGTCCCAATCTTACGGCGCCACTCCTTGCGGGCCGAGCGTACAGACGGACCCGAACAGCAGCCCGTCGCCGTAGGGGAAACGTCTGCTTAGTCGGAGTCCCAGCCTATCCCCCAAACAAGCATACCAACCAACCCAGCTGAGAGGTTAGAGTGCCTGGGAAGAGAGAGAGAGAGAGAGAGAGAGAGAGAGAGAGAGAGAGAGAGAGAGAGAGAGAGAGAGAGAGAGAGAGAGAAGGGGGGGGGGGGGGGGGGGGTTCGAAGATGGCAAGTAAGGCGACCAGACAGCTTCCCAGACAACGCTCTCTTCTTCGGTCTGCAGCACGCATATGTCCCGGATCACCACCAACCACCAGATGTCGGAACCACCTCTTCCAGGGATCAAGCCAGCCTCTACCACACCGTCGGGGTGCTAGGGCAAGGTGGGATCGACATTACCATGTACGTTGGTCTGACGGCTTACACTTTTGGGCCTAAAACAGCACCGCTCGGCACTCCTTGATTCCCTCGTATCAAGGGGCCGTGGGTTTAGCCTCATCCTTTCGCAGGAGGACTGTCGCACCTTGTAAATATGCACCCTGGGGCCGCGCTGCCATGTAGGAGCACCCAGCCAGAGGCCGGTCATCGTAAGTAATACCAGAATGGACTTCCCCCATCGGACTCTGGCCCCCCTGCCCTGTGTGTCTCTCCCTTGCCGACCAATCGCACGCCGCCAGCGGCCGTACCGCTCGATCTTGCTGCCGTTGCACAGTTCTCAAAATATATTCGTCGTCACCGGTGTCACAAGGTTGAAACGCCATCTCTGCAAGCCCCGAGCGTACGCCAGCATAATATGCCCCAAGAGCCGCAGCACAGAGACCCCAGAGGGCGCTCGAGTCCACCTAGCCCTGGAACCAGCCACGAAAGAAGGCGAGTGCGCACCTCCGACGTCTTGTCGGTACGGCATTGATGATATTAGATAAAGTTATGTCGCAGCTGCTCCCCCCTCTGTCGAGACGAACTCTTGTCCTGTTTCCCGTCGTTCCAGAGTTGCTGAGAGGCACCCAACCGAACCCCCCTGCCTCTCTGTCGCCCGCTGTGAGTAGCCATCATGCAGAGGCTGTGTGGCATGCGCCCCGAAGGGCTGGTGAGTCTCCTCCGGTTGTTCCCTTGGCCTTGACCAGCGTACCGTCATGTTCCAGCTAACGCTCTCGTCCAGACGGTCCATTCGAGGTTCAGCCCTCTACCGTCAACGTGTTTCTTCGACTCAATTCTCGTCCCCTTGCCGGCGTGGATCCGTCTCGTCGTTACCTTCGCCTTGTTCCATTTCGTTGTCCGGGTCCTCATCGTTGACAAGATCAAGCGGTACGCCGTCAAAGAGGAATGGCAGAGGCACGCCCAGCTGTCGTTCTACTACTTCTCGATCCTTGTTGTCTTTCTCATGGAGATTCTTGAAATGGCACGGCTAGTGGAGATCCGCTTCGCCATCGGTCTGATCCCCTTTGCGTTTGCTGGCTGCGGTGTATGCGCGGCCATGCAGGCTACCCGTGGTGCCAAGGGCCGCATACGCAACTGGCAGCCGGCCAACGTGATCTTCTGGGTCATGAGCGTCGCTATCACCATCCTCAAGATCCTCACAATCCAACGGTCCAGCATGCGCAGTCCGGAGTTCAGGCGCATGGGTTCCGACTACCCTACGACCCATCAGGTGCAGGACTTGGCCATCATCGCTGGATTCTATTTCCTGCTCCTCGTCAACGAGCTTGCGCTCATGTTCCAGAAGACTTGGGAAGAGACCATCGACGGCGAGAACATGAAGAAGCTGCGCCTTACCCGGTCGATCAGCGACCAGGCCCGGTACGACCTCACCCGCGCCATCGAGGAGGGCTACTACCCGTCCGGCGTTACGTATCTCACACTCAGGCTGGAGGGCGAAACCGCCAGCGAAAAGGCCGCCAGCAAGGACGATATCCTCAAGAAAACTGCTAGCAAGGACACCTCCATTGCGGGATCCTCATCCAGCGAGAAGACGGCAGGCAAGAGAACCATGGAAGAAGACACGATCGAGCCCGTGCCCATGATCCCGCCCAGCTTCCGGCGCAACAGCGACCGCTGGTCCTCAGCCATGACTCTCAGGGATGCCGGCGCCGACGATAACATGAACGAAAAGGTCGGCGGCAAGGACATGAAGAAGCGCGGCAGCGAGAGATGGTCTTCCGCCATGACGCTAAAGGAGCCCGCACACCATCCAGGTCACGACAAGCGCATCTCGAGCTTCGCCACCCCCATGGTCGCTGATATCGACGAAGTCACTCCCCTGGAGCACTCACCGTCGACTTCATCATCGCGCTACGAAGACGAGCATGCCGCCCAGAAGAACATGCTCCTTGACAGCCCGTTTCCCATAAAGGAGCCTGCTGAGAGGCGGTCCTTCTTGCTCAAGCCTTCGCGTCCGAACACGGAACGGTGGTCCAACGCGATGACTCTCCGCGGTGAACCGTCGTCGGCGAGCCAGGAACCTCCTCCCAAGGATTACGTTTCCATTTCCGACACCGAGGCCCCTTCTGCCCCCAACATGCTTCCTGCGTCCGGGACGGCACCATCGACTCCGGAGTGCAAGGCCTCCCACAGCGAAAGAAATACGATGAGGCGGTGCTCTGACGCGTCGGCAAGGTCTATCAGGCGGTTCTCGGGGCGTAACGACCTCCGCGAGGCGGCAGCCACCGCGGCGGCGTTCGTGGAAGGTGACGCGCCGGTTCCGTCACCACTCGAGTCACCTCCCCTGTCCCCAACGGAGACGCAGCCGCTGCAGCCGGAACAATACGACCTCAACCAGACGCATCCATGAGGCAGTGCGCTCAGAAAACACCGAGCCGTTTAGTTGGAGATGTTTACGATCTCTTTCATCTCATCGCAAACAAATTCATTGACCATCTTTCCAACAGACTATGAGATGGATTATCTAGTGTATAATGCCGCCTGGGATCGTTGAAGTCAAACAACGTCCGGGAGGAGTCCGGTTGGGCACGCGTCGCGCAGGGGGGGGGGGGTTGTCTATCTATTCTACCGCGCCCACGCGCATAGGGAATCCCATGTTGTTTTACTTGCCTGTCCATTTCGGGTTGGAACGGAATTTAATGAGACAGGAGCGTCTTGTACGAATCTTTTTCCTTTGTTTCACATCTTGTAACATAGACTGACTGCATAGGGAAGGAATTAAGAAATGGAAGGAATTTTGATAATTGAATTGTTTGCGCCCCCTGATTGCGATGTATCGCATCCGCCCTGTGCAACGCTACGGACACCAGCCGACATTTCCCCCCCGGCGGCGCCATTCTCGGCGTGGCAGGACGAGGGAGGAGGCGAAAAGATGTAAGCACTTGTGGCTGATTGTCCAGGGCCAACTCGATTGTCCCTTCGGCCGACGCCCAACCACGCTCGAAACGCCCCAATGCCACGTGTGGATGGACTGGTTTTTGCCATGGACATTTGAGCAGGAGAAAGGACCATGGTGCGATGAAAGTTGATGACGGCATGGAGACGACAGAAGGAAAGCTATGTCGGGAAGCAAGGAAGTGGCATTCGAGGAACCACCCCCAGTCAAAGACAGGACGGATTGGTTGGTTGCAGGCAGTCGCCCCTCCGATGGTATGCTGCATGGTCGGTCGCCTATCGGCGCTCTCTGACTGCAGGCACCGGACGAAAAGAGGGTATCGGCACGGCTTGCGGATGTCCCCTGTGATACGTACGTTGTGAGCAGGTCAAATAACCGGGTTTCCCGGGCTCCTCTATTACCGTCCAAGCAGTATCGTGTGGGTGTGTGTGGGTGTTTGTATTCGGGCGTCGACGCCAAGGTCCTTGGGGGTGTTTTTTTCTTCTTCTTCCTCCTTTTTCTTTCTTCTTTTTGCTATTTGGGTATGCCCGAGGTGCATTGCTCATTAGCGTCCTGACAGTATCGCGTGAAATCCGTCAAGGCTAACTAACGGTGCCGTTCCCGGATAGAGTACTACTCCGACCCTGACTAGTTCGAGACTCATCTCAGCAACCGACTTAGTGGCCACATTGCCGCTTGTGTGGCTTATCCTTATACGTAATACTGCCCGGAAATCCCTCGGTTGTGAGATACGCAACCTGTTGGATATGGAATCAGAATACGCGGTGTGTTGAGTAAGCCGATCCGCTTTCTTGATAGTAAGCACTGCGGGAAGAGACCTCCCCACAGACACACTCTCTGAGCAGTATGGCGTCGGTATGGATTTGAGACCAGAATAGCCGGAGGTCCAAACACAGACTCCGGGGAGCATCCGGCGAGGGAATGCAGAGCAACGCGAGCATTACTTGACGTAGGTACTGGACGAGAAAGAGACATCATATCATGAGGGGAAGCTGTCCCATCTGGCCTGACTTATTTGCACTTCCCCGGTATGTCTTCCCGGGGAAATTGCGTACGTTCTGCTAATTTGTGTTGATATGCCTCCTGTTCATAGAGTGAGACTGTTGGCGCTGTCCAGGTCTTCTTCCCTGGTCGTGGTGCTTCACTCACGTAGACCAACCGAGAGCCAGAACTCCGGGGGCCTCGCCCGAGACAAAACCGTTGCGACGAGCTCGGGGAAAGCGTCCGCCTCCGTCCTCTCTGGATAACGATCGATATGTAGGGCGACGACCCCTGATGATTACTTCCATCTGTGATGCCGGCTTCCAAACGAGCTACAAAGCGTCTTGTACACAGTGCACAACCTTTTCCGGATTGTGTTATAGCAATACCGGTATCGTGGATGGGTCCGTGTCCGAATATCACCTCCTTCATTGATGCGTCTTGGAACCATGGCAGTATGGAACACTTGTTGACCGTTAAATCGTTCGGGCCAGGATGTCGCCGGGCCGCGTGTTCTCAGTTCTCATCCAGCGGCCGGCAACTTGGCAATTTAGCCATGGCGGAGCCGAGGTGTCCAGTTTTTCAAAATTACATTACGCCGTTTCTCATTCTCGCTCTTCTTTGTTCAGCTGACCTTGTGATGAGGAGTCTTGATGTTGACAACAAACACTACCACTATTGCTGCCGCACACTGTTGAACATAGTTGACCAAGGCTATATCGAAGCAAATCCATGTGCCTGGCAATCCAAACCAACATTGATGTCATAGTTGGTTGGCTTTCTTAAAAGACCGAGGGCTGTCGGTCAGGGTGGAAAGCTACACCACTACAAGAAAAGTGGCTGTGGCGCATACAAGCGGGAAACGGACATCGCGGGAGGGAGGGGGGGGGGGGGCGGGGATGGGGCGCCTTCGTTGTTCTGTGGTCATACTCGGACATGAAGCTATTTCTGGCGGGTTGCCAAAGTTGAAGAGCTGTAGCCGCGAGCACCTTGGCTTTATATGAGATGACCAGTGAAGAGGTAATTCACTTATCAGAGGAGAAAGCAGTTCGCTCGGTCGAGGTCATATGCAGGAACATTGACCTATACCAAAGAAGCTCATGGAGCTGTGCAAGTCTCCATGGGCTTCGTGGATATACACACCCATGCCGACTCACGAGGCGCGCTGTCCTGACGGCAAGGCCCCTCTGCTCTCAGCAGTACAAGAACACGGTAATTATCAGGCGGTATATGACTACAGATACAAACAGATGTAAATGGGTTCGATACGAGCGGAGGTAGCTGTTGAACTGCAGACTTGGTCTGCGCTACATCTTCCCTGTATCGAAAGCCTGAGCTCCCCATATGAGGTGCTCCACCATCAACCCGGTCCCCTTTTTGCCCCTCTTGAGTTTGGCTACAGTACAGATGGGTATTTACAAGGCTATGATAGCAGCACCAACGCAGCCGCTGGCAATCAGGTACGCGCCGATGGCGAACCCTCCGAGGTTGAAAACTGCCTGGTAGGGGCTGCCAGCAGCAGCGTTGCCAGTAGAGCTCGAGCTGGGTTTGGCGGTGGAAGAGGCCGAGGTGGTGGCGGTGACAGAGGCGAGGGCCTTCTTGCAGGTGTCATCGGCGGAAGGGCTGACTATTTCACCCTGGCCGTTGTAGTCGCAGGCAGCGCGGGCGGACTTCTGAACCTTGTAGTAGTCGTTCATAACATAGGCGAGCTTCTGCTCATCAGAGCACATAGAAAAGGCCCGGTAGACGCCGGTGTAGGGATCTGTGTTGATGCCTTCGCAGGAGTCTGACGAAGCGCCGCAGACGAAGCCGAAAATATCGCCAATAGCCTCGGCCTCCATGTTTGGCTTGGGAATGCATGTGAGACTCTTGACCATGCACTCGCAGAGATACTTATCAGGAGTAGGAGGCAGAGTGTCCCCCTGAACCTCCCAGTTAGAGGCGGTACTGGGGCACTCGGCGGGGGGATTGCTTGGTTCGTAGGAATCCATCTGGATGGCAGTGGGATTGGCAGCCAGGACACGAGATGCAAGCTCGTAGTAATTCTTCATCGCCCTTGCCTGGCCATCCTTGATTTCAACAAGACCTGGGAACGCATCAGTATAGGGTTCAGGGACACTAAGAAGCAGTAGGAGATATACCGAAGTCGTTAGTCTCCTGGTGGAACATACACACGATGCCACCGGAGAAGACGTCGGTCATCTCCTTTTTGTACAGAGCAGTCGTTTCCTGGAAGATGCGATTATCACCCCCGCCAGGCTTGTTGCATTCATACTCGGCAAAGAAAACAGGAACAGAGTAATTCTTGAAAAAATCAATCTGCTTGTCAAAGCCAGCGCCCACAAGCGTGTTCTCGCCATACCACAAGTAAATATTATAGCCCCAGAAATCTATAGCGGCAGCCTGGTCGCCACAGTTGAAATAATAGGCAGAATTAGCGCAGATGTCCTTGTCATCGTTGGCAGCGTAGCCAACACCTATCCAGCGGTACCCCTTTTCTTTGATATGCTTCTTGATGTCACAGACAGCGGCCTTCACAAAGGTAGAGGCTTCCGTATTGCTCTTGTCATTCGAGACCTCGTTACCAGCAAAGAAGCCGATGGTATTATCATACTGTGCAAGAGCATCGATTACGGAAGTGTAGCGATCGTATAGCTCAGTATTCCATTGAGGGGTTTCTCGGTTAATAGATCATTTGGGCTCACCCAAATCGGACACAACATAGATACCGGCGTCATCGAGAATCTTCATACAGGCGCTATGGTCGTTCTTGGGATCGATGGCGTAGGTACGGATGGTATTGGTCCCAGCTTCGACCAGAATTGGAATATCGCGTCTGCAAGCCGCCTCGTCGGCCAAGGGGTCTTTATACTCGCCCGTGACGGACTCCCCACCGGCGGCGGCGGTGTCCTGCTGATAGGCGATACCTTTCATGAAGAACTGGGTTCCGTTCGTGTAGAAGAATTTAGTGCCCTAAAAGATCGTTGGAGATTCTGGAAATTGCGGCACAGCCAAAAAGTCCGTCCGGAGCTGGCTAGTGCCGATGTTATACCTTCATGATGATGGGTTCGAGGGCGCTGGCATTGTGAACAAGCACAAGGGCCGACAAGGCGGCAACGGAAAGCTTCCCCATCTTGAAGTTCGATTTCATGATATTCGATACGAATTGGGCCTTTCACGTTGCAGAAGCCGCTAAGTCTGCTGCCATTGCCGAGGGGAGCGACGTCTGAGATGTGTTGCCCTTGAGGCGCCCAGCTCCCTATGATGAGGGTTCGGTGGATGTGGCTCCTCTTCATAGACGCATGTGACAACAAAATAGAGCAGAAGAAAAAGAGGGGGAAAGAAGTGGAAGCATGATGAGAAAGCAAAGTAATAGGTTCAGTGAACAAGATACCGAGGATGACTGCAGCCTAATTGACTGGATAATATCAGTGCAGGAAACCGCCAAGAGCTGATACGGATGTTGCTGGATAGCAATTGCTGACATGAGTGGGCGGTTTGAGGCACAGCATCCAAATGGGAATAGCTTCATCGAGCTCACTAAGGTGACAAAAGAACTTTGGTAGACGAGGTGCGGAAACTTGAGAAAGGATGCAGGGGACGACTGTGCCGCCGATAGCCTGGTGAACCAGGGCCAGGGGTTGCCAGTCTCCATAGATGTTCGGAGAATTTTCTGTTTCTAGGTAAGAGTCAAGAGTCGTATAACGTCTTCCAGCAATGTGTGCAGCCACATAATGCGCGATACCTCCGAGTCCTCGTCAACGCCCCGGCGAAACTATCCGGGCTTGTCCCACCCGTGAGGTTTTGCGTCGAGTCGCGGGATGCTAGTGAAGGTGGAGGTTGGATCGAGCTGGTGCAATGGATTAGAAGCTCCAAGGCCGCATCGAAAAGCACCGAGACATACATAGGCGGCGGGCCGGTATTAAGGGAAGAAGGCATGAAATCCTGTCATTCTCAAGCTGGGCGGGCGCCTCAAGTGACCGACGCTGAAACCACAACGGCTGCGCCTGCCGCTTAGCTTGGAATCTGCGTGGGTGGGGGGGTGCTTGCTCACCTTTTCTCTTTGTGTAGAGGTGTGGCTTACACGGACGGGGGATACCAGGAAGAGAGAGAAAAGGCCGCACAGGAGACATAATCCAAGTAGATAGCTCACAATCTCCGCCTGACGTCTTGCACAACACACCCCCAAACACACGTCAGCATCTGATTCTAAGCCCGAGATGTCTTCGTCCCCCCATAACGCATTCGAAGCCGACGGCTCGCTTCAGGCTGACACAGTCAAGATCCCACAAAAGATACGATAACCACGTGTCCAAGCAACGTGCGGAACACACAACTCTTCATTGAATGGTACTATGCTTGTCATGGCCTCGTAGCGAATCCATTCCGCGAAAAAGAGAGAGAGAGAGAGAGAGAGAGAGAGAGAGAGAGAGAGATGGAAGAGCCAGCTAAACCAAAATGAACAAAGTAAGCCCAACGCATAACGGGGCTCAGGAACCCCCCAGACGCCATGCTTGGAAGCGCTCGAAAACATAACCCGCAATAAAACCATACATTCCATGACGTATCATGCCTCGCGAAATCCCGCCCTCGTCACATCGTCCCACTCTATGTATAAAATCGACAACTCTCTTTCGACAGTCCATAACGTCAGCGACTGCCATGTACATATAACCTCTAACCACCTTTTGCAGTGTACAACCACTTCTACCACAAACGGTACATCACCTCGCCGATTGGCTACCCTTTCGCCGGAAGAAAACCATGTACGGGACCTCGCCGCTATTTTTGAAGACCTTTTCACTATAATCTGTGGACCGCCCCGTTCCGTCGATCCTGATGCTGGTCACCTGGGAGTCGTTGATCTTATACCAGGCGGTGGGGTCAGGGTTGTGTGTGTCTCGGGCATAAGTGTAGTAGTGGCCAGAATTGATGTTCGGGCCCGAGTGGATAATGACTGCGTAACACTCATAGTCAAATGGAAGTTCAAACTTGTCGTCCGGTGCAGGTCCCGCGGTACGCTCTTCTTCGGGGATAAAGAACTGGTCGGCGTTGAAGCTGTTGAAGTCCCAGGTGACCCTGCTCAGATCCTTTTTCACTGTTCCGTAGTTGTCAACCGTGAACCGCTTCAAGCACAGACAAAATAGTTCTGGCATTCGCGCCAGCCTAGCCTGTTTCCTGCCGAGCCCCTTCGTGTTGCAACTGTCGCATTGGTAGTCGGAGATGTTTTCAGGCTCGAGGTGGGCTCTGAGGCAGTCCTCGAGTGTACGCGTCTCCCGGTTCACAGGTATCGATAGGAAGTCAAAGGTGTCCCAGGTGTATGTGCGGTTCTTGCACTGTGCACATACGACAGTCGAAAGTTCTATGCCACGCCAGTATTTATCGACAATGGACGCGTTCTTCTTTTGATACTGCGCCCACCATTCGTAAGCGCCCTGAAGCATTGACTTGCCACCCATTGACGGCGCCGGTGTTTCAGGGCTGCTGCGGTCGCGTCGTACGTTCGTTTCGTCATGAAGATACGCCATGAGCCATGAGATGAACTCATGAGCATCCTGTTGGCGACCGCCACCAAACTCATCGCCCTTATCCTTGTGGCGGCTCTTCTCACATACTGATCGAGAGTAGTCCTGGAAATGTTTAGCAACTGCATGCAAATGCCAAGAGAAAGAAAGACTGACCATGAGTGTCTGCGCCTTCATGACGTCAAACTTGCCAGAGTCCAACCAATGGAACAAGTTGGACAAGATTCGTGACATCAACTGAGGATGGTCCGTCTTCTCGTCGGCCTTCTTTGGCACCTTGTACATGTTTTGCCACTCAAACGTGGCCAAGTCCTTTCCGAACCCGGGGGACATTCGAAGAGCTTGTATAGAGCTGTTTGCATAGCACCATACACCTGGGTTGTTTAGGCCTGTGATCCGCAGACCGTCCTTGCCAACGTTTGTGACCGAAGGAGAGTCTGGCCGGGCCAAGGGGCCCTGCTTCGCGTTCCGCGACTGTGCAGAGAAGGCAATAGCACCAGGTTCCTCATGGTCATCCTGGGTCTGTGACAGGCCGCTGTAACTTGTACGCGGGACAGCCGGGGCAGGCCGAGTGGGTGGTGACGGCAGGTCCGAGTAGAGGTCAACCTGGTTTTGAGGATAGCCGTACGTCGGCTGCTCGGAGCTGATGGGTGATTGCATGGATTCTTGTTCGGTCGATACCGCAGGGAACCTGCGTAGGAACTCCTCCGTACTGCGCACGTGCATGAAGCCGGGAGACCGCGCAGTCTCGAGCTCGGCATTCTGCAGTGTCTCCTCCCAGAGCTTGACTTCTTCGGGCCTCAGCGGTGTGACCTTGTATTTCCGGGTCGGCTTAGAGATTGAAATGGTTGGCTTCAAAGGAGAACGAGCCATAGGCGCTCGCGCGGTGCCTGCGGTCTGCGAGGTCGCAAGGGCGCCCCTACCCATCAAATCAGTCCAAGCATCCAAACCACCCTGAAGCAGCTTGGGGGGGTTCTTGAGCTCTTTTCCGTAGTTGAAGTATGTCAGGGCGCGTTGCAAAGATAGCAACGCGGCAGCATCCATGTCAGGTGAAATGTACCGGGGTATGGAGTCTGAGTCCTGGTCGTGAAAAACCACGAGGTCGAAGGAGTCCCTCATTTCGAAGTGATGGTGCTCCTGGGGAGGCGAGAGAACCATGCTCTCGGCTATTTGCTCCGATGAAATGTTCTCACGCAGCAGAATGCTGGGCTCAATGCAGATGACGGCCTGGGATAGGATGTGGCCCTCGTCGAAGTCATCCCGACTTCGGACGTCAATGATCAAGACTTGCAGGGCCGCCGAGCCCCTTTTTATGTAATTTAGCAGGTCTTCAGCCGTAATGGAGTCGCCTTCGGGTATCGTAATACTGGAAGCCCTGGAAGCGATAGGCGCGGCATTGGAGGCCGAGTGAGAGGAAACGAAGTATTCGGAAGACTTGTTGTTACTGTTGTTTGCAGGAATGGTGTTGATGGCAGCGGAAGAGCCGGTCCTGCTGAATAACCCTCGTGGCGTACTTGATGGTAGTGAAGCCGCTTCATTGGACACGGTCCCTCTAGCTGGGCTGTAGATGGGATCTGGCATCTTGGGCAGATCCGGCAGCCTGGTCACTAGGCCCACTCTCGGTTTCTCGGGCGACTCGGGCATCGCCCTAGGCCCTGCCGGTCTGGGAGGCACAATGGGATGCGTTCGTATGCGTGGATCCTGGCCGGGTAACGCAACAGGGCCTCGCAGGTTGGCGAAGCGGGCTGCCAAGTCCTCTGCGGCCTTGCTCTTGGGAAGAACAGGTGCTCCAGTGCCAGACCGCAAGGCGTTTCCATGCAGTGACACGGGCTTTGGTTGGACAGCGGGCTTTGCCTTGGCTGCCGGCGACCAATTCATTTGAGTACCGGCCTCGGGTCGGGTGGGACTCGTTACCGGCGGGCTCCGGGGCGTCTGCGGCCGGGTGACTTCTCCATTAGTGATGGAAGACGGCCTTGACGAAGCGGGCCTGACGCCGGTCCTACGGTTATCGGCGATGATGTCGGCCTTGATCTTTTCAAAGTTCCCATGTTGGGAGTCGATCTTCTTCATCAGAGCGGTGTATATGCGATTCAAGTCGCCGCGGCCGCCCTTGAGGGAGACAGACTCTGTGTGCATAGGTACGTATTTGACTGCGATCAAGGAAGCCTTGATATACTCCTTAAAGGCCATGTCGGGTCGACCGAAGTCGCGGAAGGTCTCGGCTTGTCGCATGGCGTTGTCGCCCATCTCGAGGATCTTGCGCAAGGGGAGGTTCATGTCGATGTTGGGAACAGTAGAGGTGAGGTCATCTATATGTGGCAGCGGAGGCCTAGCGCCACGGCCGGCAGAAGGTCCATCTCTGTCCATGGCGAAGGAGTGCAGTCCGGAGCCGTTGGATAAGGCCGGACCGCCGCCAGCGCCACCAAGGACGGTTCTGGTGGCCGAGGAGGCCGTGGAGCTCATGTGGAGGAGAAAGGACGTGTCGAAGTTTGGGTTAGAGCTTGGATCATGTCGTTGCGAGCTTGGTGACTCGGCTCCGGGAGAAGAGGGCTGTGGCTGGTGGTATCGGGGAGATGGAATATTCGGAATCGTCGCTGTACGTAGGACGGGAGGCGGACGCGACAGTCGGCAGCGGGTTCGTCATGAGTGGCAGACAAGGGAACCGGCTACTCTTGTAGGGTGTCGGGAGCAGCGAGTTCGTTATGTCGGTGCTGCAGGGCGGGTTGGAACGCTCATGTTTCCTTTGAACCGAGTCGAGGGTCGAGAAAAGGGCGCTGTGTAGAATGGGCAAACGGGAAGAATGGCCTTCTTTGACAACGATGTACAACGCAGCAGATGGCCCGTGGTGGAGGGAGGGACAGCCTCGTCCACTAGCGTTAACAGTTTCAACAATAGCAAGACATTGCGGAGAGAAAACGGCGGCGGTATTTGGGGGGGGGCGAGTCGGTATCTTATCCGACAGGACCCGTACTTCTTGGCTGGGGGGACAGAACGTTAGGTACCTACTCAGGCACCTCACTACCGGTAGGTATACGGTATACCTGTATGCTCACTGTAAGAACAGCTCTCTGGGGGCAGTGCTCCTTGGCCCACAGCTACCGACTGTCTATTCCTGCACTCGCCGAAACAGGACTGTACTACACGCACGTAGGCACGTCGGTAGGTACCTAGGCAGGTGGGTAAAGATATCCGTACTTGCACCGGCTGGTCCATAATCTTGATCTCATGCAACGCCGCAGGCATTTCGACACTATCGTAAAACGGCCATTTCCGACAGCCTCAAGTTCCTTGTTCTCTCACAGCTAAATTTGCTAGCCCAAAGCAAAATATATCGTGTGAGCTTTGCAGAAAGAACACGTGCTGGCTTTCTTGAGTAATCAACTATGGAAAGTCATTTTGCGATATCCGATATCCCGAAAGGTACGTACCTACCTATGCAGGCATCTCGATTCAGCCCAAGTTGTCAACAAGTGCCTAAGTTTGGGCAACCGAGCTGGGCTGAGGCACCTGGCGGGCAGATGCGCCACACGTGATCCACTTAAGCCCCCCGTCATTACCTACCTAGGTCATACCGGTACTTACCTACTAAGTAGGTATCCGTACTGTAGGTAGGTAAACTACTGACTACCTATCCGTACAGGCTACCTAAACACCGATCATACAAGGCAGTGACTTTAAACCCACTATGATCCACACAACCCCTGCACATTCGTCCTCAGCCCACGTAACCCTATCTCTCTCTCTCTTTCTCTCTCGCGCGCGCCCGAAGCTGTCCACGCCTAGCCTAGTCCGTCCTGAGCCGACGCCGTACTAGGTACCACCTCTTACGCACAGCCAACGCCGCACCTACCCTGAGGCTGCTGCATCTGCGCAAACAACCCGTTGGACAGATACGCAACCCAACCTTTCATCATCCGTCGCCTCTTCATCCACACTCTATGCATACGCGCAATCCTCTTGGACCCCCATTTCCTACTCTGACGACACAAGACGACAACCGACCGACCTTGCGATTGCGATCGATTACCCGCCCACCTAGATAACCAAGTGCCCACCCTCTAGAGGAGAACCGCCCCCTCCGGTTTAGCTCCCCGCCAACCCAACGCACCCAGCCTTCCAAGATGATGGGCTGGTGGTCCAGCTCGGCCAACACGGCCCTGGATGAGCAAATAGAGAAAGCAACTAGCAGCAGTTTGTACGACTCCTTGTCATCACTTGCAACACCCTTTCTAACACGGCTACAGGGAGGATATCGCCCTGAATCTCGAGATCTCTGATGTCATCAGGTCAAAAACCGTTCAGCCCAAGGAGGCCATGCGCTCCCTGAAGAGGCGCATCGGCAACAAGAACCCAAACACCCAGCTGAGCGCTTTGAACGTAAGCCACCCTTGCTGCCTGCTCTTCCTTGGCCAAGCTAACCCGTGCCGCAGCTCACCGATACATGTGTTAAGAATGGAGGCTCCCACTTCCTTGCTGAAATCGCCTCGAGAGAGTTCATGGACAACCTCACCTCACTCCTCCAAGCCGTCGGACCCGCCGCCGTCAATCACGAAGTAAAGCAGAAGATTCTCGAGCTGATACAGTCCTGGGCTGTCGCCACCGAAGGACGTCACGATTTGGGTTATATCGGGGAGGTTTACAAGACGTTGCAGAGAGAAGGCCACCAGTTTCCTCCCAGAGTCAGCGTCGCCAGCAGCATGATTGATAGCAGTGCGGTAGGTCATCGTCAGTCCCAATCGTTCTACGCCTCCCCCAACTGACCGGCTTCAAAGCCCCCCGAGTGGGTTGATTCAGATGTCTGCATGCGATGCCGAACCCCCTTCACCTTTACGAACCGAAAGCACCACTGCCGAAACTGCGGCAACTGTTTCGATCAGCAATGTTCGGCCAAGACTTGTCCCCTTCCGCATCTTGGCATCATGCAACCTGTTCGTGTCGATGACGGCTGCTACGCGAAGCTCACCGATAAGTCTTCCAAGGGAGGTGCGCCCTCGCCCCTCCCGCAAGACCGATCTCCCACCTATCCTTACAAGACCCGAAGTACATCTGTTATGCAGCCGCGCAACGCTCGCGTTGACGACGCCTTCGACGAGGACCTGAAGAAGGCTCTGGCTATGAGCTTGGAGGAGGTGAAGGGCTACTCTCAGGGATACGTCGCCCCCACCGCCAACGGCCCTTCAGGACCAAAGGTTAACGGCAAACCCGAGCCTGTAGCATCCCATGGCGCAGACGAGGACGACGATGACCTCAAGGCTGCGATTGCCGCTTCGCTGGCTGATATGGAAGAGCAGAAGCAGAGGCACGCAACTGCCTTGAAGGAACAGACCTCGAGTGCTGGTCCCAATCCCACACAACAGTTCTCCTTGCCCAGGAACGACTACGAACTCACTCCGGTCGAGGCCGAGAACATCAATCTTTTTGCAACTCTCGTCGACCGCCTACAGACGCAACCCCCCGGCACCATCCTGCGTGAGCCACAGATTCAGGAGCTTTACGACAGCATCGGCACACTGCGGCCGAAGCTTGCTCGCACTTACGGCGAGACCATGAGCAAACATGGTGTGTATCATTCAAACCTTGTCACAAGCCGCTGCTAACATTTGCCCAGACACGCTTCTTGACCTTCATGCCAAGCTCTCGACCGTGGTTCGCTACTATGACAGAATGCTGGAGGAGCGCCTGTCAAAGGCATACAGCCAACACACTGTTGGGGGCTATAACCTTCCTGCTCCTCGCGGGCCCTCTGGTGCATACCCTTCTCTGCATGCGAGCGCGCCAAACAGTACTGGCCCTGCCGAGAACTTCTATACCGGCTCACAACAAGTGAACTACGGCCACGTACCACCACCCCAAGAATACCATCAACACCCGCAACACACGCCTCAACCCCAGTACGCGACTTATGACAAGCGCGCCTCCATGGTTGGTCCACCTACAGGTTCTTACCCTCCTCAGGAGCCCCAGCAGACAGATAGCTGGAGGGGCGGAGCTGGTTCCGCCCCCGACGGACAGTATACACCGCAGCAGCCGTATGCTCCTAGTGAGCCACCACAACCAGGCCATCAGAGCCACCCTGGCCAGCCTGCTGGAACTCCATCTGCTGATCCTAACGCTTCTTATTACTTCAACCCTCAACAACCCAGCGCGCCCCCCTCTGCCCCACCCGCTGTAGATCCCAACCCGTCTCCCTACCCAAATCTTCAACAGTCGATGCAGTACCGACAGTCCATGTCTCAGCAGGCGACACCTGTTCAAGCAGCTGCTCAGCCTGCGCAGCAACAAGTCCCGCCACAGCAGCAGAGCTACTGGCAACCATCGGTCCCACAGCAATCTGCACCTCCTCAACAGCAATGGCAAGGCCAGTACAACAATAACAATAACGGATATACCCAGGAGTCGTTCCCGTCTGCGCCACAGAACGCGCCGAAGCAGCCGGCAGTGGAGGAGAGTCTAATTGATCTTTGAAGGAGAACATGGTGGCTTGTAGGCATGCAGGTCTACAATATTGGTTCTTGGCGTTTCATGGTCTCAAGGGGAGCCGAACACAAGCATATTCGGACTTGAAAATGAGCTGCAAAGTGGTTTTTTTTTTTTTTTTTTTTTTGGACGATATGCATCCCTTGTACGGCGTTCTTGCTGGGACAATGATTCAGTACCCTAAATCTGGACTGGTACTGGCAGACTGAACAAAGACTAATATTCTTTTGAAAAGATATCTTTTCCGATCTTGCGATGTATTGTACCCACCCTCGTGAAACCTGAATATAGACGCCAAGGATGACATGAGTGTAGTGAATAATGAACTAAAAAGGGACGGGAGCAGGAGTCAAGACCAATTGTCTGTGCTAACCGTCCTTGCCGGACTTAGACATGTCACAAGGCCCCAGGGAGTAAGGCAACCCTCAAGACATTTCTGTCTGTTGTGTGTATCCAGGTATAATCAACACTCTCTTTGTCAACTGTGACGGCGGACAGACTGCAGAGCCCACATGTCCATGTCCAGACGAAGGCTTTGAATCGCCAGGAAGCAGCTTTGTGGGGTACGGCAATTCGGGCGCTTGTTCATCATCAGCAGCCCATTGCGCGTCTACTTCTGTGTCTTGTCGCAATGCACTTTACTGCCAAATCCGGTCCTTGACACTCAGCTTTGAGTGACGGCTTCTACGTCACATAATGGGGAGGCTTTGCAGGCGGGAGGCTTGGCTCTATCGATACAAGTACCCTTCTTGTACGAGCTATGAGGGTGAGCGCCCTTGTAGTTTGCCTTCTCGATACTCGGTCTGGTGTTTCTTGAGTAGAAGACGGGCAGCCAGCAGCGGCGAGAGTTTCACTACCTGTAATGAACAATGGGATATCATCTCTCAGTTATCATCATCATCGCCTATATTACAATGTTTGAGAAACCCAATGATCTATCATAGCTACGTTTCCAGGCAGGCCAAAGTCGGCTACGGCAATAATTGTCTCCGATTCTGTTTCAGTAAGAGTCACTGGTCTAGGAGAAGCATCTATGGGCCGTCGCATTAACCTAGCTGAATCATCACAAATGGCATTAATGAAAGGTGAAGAAACTTGGGCGAATCCTCACCCAGGTAGCCCCTCATCGAACCTTACCAGACGCGTCTTGCTTCTATTTTCATGGTGCCTTTGGAATTCGGCGCAACAGTGAGCAGCCGACCATAAAACTTCTTCTAGACATTCCTTACCTGACTCTGATATATTGTCAAAATTGATTCCAGTACCAGGAGATTTGCTGGACCAGTCATCTCAGGACTGGTCGCCCCCCCCCCCCCCCCTCTGCTGTATTGCCCGTTCGCTGAGTCACACAGACCGTGGTCCAGCCTCTTTCGGCATAACCATTATCGGAAATTCCGTCAGCTGTAACGACGCCAACCTACTTCTTCAACCATTGGCTCCCCTTGAATGCACCTGGAAAGAGGGGGGAAACCCTAGTTTAGCAACCCGAAACTACGCCGGCCAACCACCGCCGGCGCCAGTCTTCCGAATCCCCACTTTTCGCCGGTACTCGGCGCCGGAGGACACATACTACCAGGGAGGTACTTTGCCTTTGCTAGCCTGCAGAGCTTGAAACCAGAAACGCGAGGGCGCCGCAGCAGCCCACGTGGATCCATTCCCATCTCTCTAGTGTCCTTCTCCCGTCGCGGCGTGCATCCTTTTGGGCTTTTTGTTATCTTCCAAAGGCCCAGTCGAAGCCCACCCATCCCAGACAAGAAATTTTCCCGATCGACGCGGTAGTCCATTACGTAGCTACTTTCTGCTTCCTATACCGACGACAACTGGAGTTGCTTATAACTGGATCGTGAACCCCCAAGAGACGCAAAAACTTCAACCTCGTGCCTCCGTGTTTCATCGTGAATATATCGTTAGACGGCATACGCCCTTTCAGAAAAAAAGCAATTCGCAGCATCGTGCGGCGCTCAGTCACTCTCTCATTTCTGTCTCATCTCATCGCAGATCACCATAGACTCATAGAACACCAACGCACTCACCCCTCATCTCATCCCACGCCACATTAGCAAAGATGCCCGTCCAAATCCACCTCGTCCGTCACGCACAGGGCTTCCACAACCTCTCGCTCGAGAACGAGGCAATCCGAGACCCCCTCCTCACGGACCTGGGCAAGCAACAGTGCGCCGCCCTCCGCGCCGCCTTCCCCTACCACGCCCGCCTCACCCACCTCGTCGCCAGCCCCCTCCGCCGGACGCTGCACACCTGCCTCCTGGGCTTCGCCTCCGACGCCGCCGCCCCTGTTGGCAGGTCCCTCAACGTCCTCGCCCTGCCCGAGGTGCAGGAGGTCTCCGACGCGCCGTGCGACACGGGGTCCGCGGTCGCCGACATCCAGGACGAGTTCGCCGGCCGCGTCGACTTCAGCAGGGTCCCCGAGAACTGGACCGACAAGACGGGCCCCGCTTCCCGGTGGGAACCGACGCTGGAGAAGCTAGAGAAGCGGTCGGCCGACGCGAGGCGGGCGCTCAGGGAGCTAGTGGGGGATGTGCAGGGCGACGACCACGTCGTGGTCGTCACGCACGGCGGCATCCTGCATTTTTTGACCGACGATTGGTCCGGCATTGGTGCCAAGAAAGGTACGTTTTTGTTTCGTCTTTCTCTTCATCTCATGGCATGGCATCAGGTGCAATCGGAAGGTGTCCTCCCAGGTGGTGTGAGTGAAACTGGTTACTGACCGAGCACACAGCAACTGGCTGGGAAAACACCGAGTACAGGTCGTACGAATTCGCGGACCCCACCGGCCAGGACCCCAACGCGTCCCTGAAGGAAACGCAGGAGAGTTGGGAGCGTCGCCAGGGCGAAAACACTCGTCCAACGCCGGAGCAGCAAGCCGAGTTGAGGGAGACCCTCTACCGCGAGATGGAGCCCTACCTCAAGTACAGTCCCGAGCGTGGCTGGATGCAATGAAGAAAACGGGGTGCACGCATCAGTCGGGGGAACGGAGGGGGGAAGGAGGACGGACTTGGTGGTCTCGACATTGGTTGGGGCCTCTCTATTTGCATAGTACACAGCTTGGTATAATCCCAAACACCATAGACCCATCTAGAACCTATTTACCGTTTTACTTTTAAAAGTCCTCCTCGCCAGACCCGGAAACAATGACGTTATTGACCTTGAGCACCATTCTGCATAATTGCGTCGCGAGCTGGAGTTGCTGCTTCTTGCTGATAAGGGGGTCGATGACGAACGCATCCTTCATGTCGTTGCTCCCGCGGGCCATGCAGTCCACACCGAGCTTGCCGCGAGCGTCAGGGCCTACCTTGACCTGCTGGCTCTTCACCTCGGCCAGCGTTGCGATAGGGTTTAGACCGCTGTTCTCAGCCAATGCCATCGGGATGGCGTCGAGAGCCTCAGCGAACGCGCGCATGGCGTACTGCTCGAGACCGGGGGTCTTGACAGCGGCGTCCTCGACCGCCAGAGAGCAGGCGATCTCGGCAGCACCGCCACCGTAGACGACACGGTTGTCCTTGACCAGGTTGCGGACGACGCAAAGGGCATCGTGAAGCGAGCGCTTGGCCTCGTCGATGATCTATCACGGAGTCAGTAAACACATCCTTTTGTTTAAAAAAACAAGTCCACAACTTACCATCTTGTTGCTACCGCGGACAAAGACGGTCACCGCGCGGGTGTTGGCGCACTCTTCGATAACCAGCATCTTCTCTCTTGTGGTACCAAAGGTCATTTCTCTGACGATACCTGCAGTTCCGAGCTTCTCGGGCTTGAGATCCTCGAAGCGAGGCACGATACGGCCGTTTGTCGCGATGGCTACCAACTCGATTTCGGGACCTCCAACCCACCGCACGGCGGGGAGGTTGTTCTGGAGCAGAAGGTGGTTTGCCTCGTCGTCGAAACCCCACTGGCAAAGAGCGAGGTTGGCGCCAGAGTCCTTGATTTGCTGGATCATTTCGATAAACTTCTCGCGCTCGTAGTTCTGCAGCTTCTTGAACTCTTCGACGCTGGTGATGTCAAGCTTGTGCTTGGTCTTGGGCTTGGGGGGCTCAAAGGCACAGGTCAGGATGGCGATCTTGGCATCCTTGACCTCCGAGGGCATCTGCGGATGCGAGAAGTCCTTGTCGATAATGACACCCTTGACGAGCATAGTATCCTCCAAAGATCCTCCAACCTTGCCGTCGACCTTGATCAGCTCGAAGTCGACGTCCCTCCGCTCGAGATCGGCCACCGACAGGACGGCGTCTACTGCGATCTGAGAGAACTGGTCGTGTGCCTTGGAGACGATCTTGCTACCCAAACTTGTCCGTGCCACCTTCAACAGGTTTCCTGTGTCTTGTTTGCTGAACTCGATTACGTCTGAGATCTTATCGAGCTCTGACACGGCAATATCACAAGCCTGATCATATCCGTCCGCGATGCGAATGGGGTGAATACCCTTATCGATCAGCTCCGCCGCCTGCTCCAGGAGAGCTCCGGCGAGAACAACGACGCCAGTGGTACCGTCGCCGATCTCATCATCTTGCGACTTGGACAGCTCTACCAACAGCTTGGCGACGTGGTTGGAGATCTCCATCTGTTGCAGGATTGTGGCACCGTCGTTTGTCACTGTGATGTCTCCGTCGGGGGAAATGAGGATCTTGTCGAGACCGCGGGGGCCGAGAGAGGTCTTGACGATGTTCGCGACCGTCCGGGCGGCGAGGATGTGGTTCTTGACGGCTTCGTTGCCATATTGTCTCTTCTTCTTTCCTTGGCTGTGTGCAATCAGCATAAGCCCCTTTATTGGGCCGCAGGTAGTATGGGTAGAACCTACTCTCTGACGACGATGAAGGGGCGGCCCTGCTCATCCTTCATGACGGCCGCTGAAGCATATCTCATTAGCATTTCCATTGCGGAGCTCCTAGTCATCGTGGCGCTTACCATTGGCCATATCAAGGTCTATGCCTATTGTTAGCGGCGTGCAACACAAACCAGGAGGAATTCCACATACTCATAGCCATGTTGAAGGTATTCGCACTTTACTGGGAGTTCGGGATGGTAGTGCGATTCAACTGGGAGTGACGCCGAGGGGGGAATGGAGGTATCGTGCGTTGAGGGGGGTTGAGCTCCCAGGACCGGGTCGTGGTGGACCAAAATTTCTGAATAATTGGTGGTGCCTACCATTCTGGGCCACCAGAAGCTTCGGTGCCCGGGGGGCAGATAATCCGGGAGCTCACCGCCAAATGTATCGGAGAAAGGCCTGGACAGCACCAAGCAATACCCCGCCATTCGACGTGGTTGCCCCTCCATGACCAAAGCGCCCCACATCCCACTCCATGACCAGTGCAGGTGCCGTCATTTACAAGTTTCCAACTACCACAGCAAAGAAGTCCGAGTCACAACTTTCAGTGCATCACTCACCCGATAGAAAACCCCGATCTGGTACGGAATGCAATAACGATTCTGATTCCTTCCGATTCCGAGAATTTCTGTTCACGACATCCCCAAACTCTCGCCACTTTCCCAGTCGCGCCAGTCTCAGGAGAGTCCTACCGTACTCAAAATGTCGCGCCACCAGGCAGTCCGCAACCTTGACTATGAGGAGGCTCTTGACGAGTATGAAGGCGAGGACGACTTTGAGGAGAACGAGGCCGATCAGCTAAGCCCCGAGGATCGCGAAGCTATGAACGTAGGGACCGCAACAGTGCAAAGCGCACTCGGTCCTGACGGCGACAAAGTGACTGTGCAGCAAATCCAGGATGCGCTGTGGTACTATTACTACGATATCGATAAGACGGTGTCTTACTTGCAGAAGAAGTTTATTGCACCACCGCCAGCCCCAAAACAGGAGCCCAAGAAGGCCAAGGATGGTAAGTTACATTTCTATACGCATGTTACTCATGTTTCATGTCAGGCAGCGGCAGGAGCAGAAATTGAGTGTTCGGCAGATGGTTTTGGTCTTGGGGGCATCAATGGTGAGATTGCGGATTACGACACGACATCGACTTCAGAGTATCCCATTCGGAGGGTGGCCTCTCTATCCCCGTCTTCCTTTTTTCATGGAATATCTTGGATCAACGTGCCCAGCAACCGAACGGCTGTCTTTGTTCCACCCCGTCCTCTCCCAGGTGGCCTGCTTGGTGGCGGCGAAGGTCCTAAGCTTTCCAAACTGCAGGCATTGGCTGCAGCGCGGAAGAAGAAGACGGCGGACGCGAAAAGGCCAGACGATCAAGTTGATCGAGCGGAGAAGAGAATGTCGACTTTGGCCCTTGACGAGACCTCAAAGGAAACTCAGAGATCTGGTTCGAGCATTCTTTCCAAACGACAGAAGCTGGCGGAAGGCTCTACCTCGGGATCTCGAACTTCAACGCCTGTCTCGCAACCGCAACAAGACAAAGCTGCCCCAAACCCGGTCGGCATGGACCTTGGCCAGTCCCGTACTTCGTCTGCTGGAGGTGGGGAGGAGGCTGAGGATGACCGTCTCGTGGTGTCATCAATAAGACCATCTGCCTTCGCTCAGACACTTTTTGGACCTGCTCATAATGCTGCCGCCGCCACCCCAACCTATACTCTGCCGTACATGGACTCTTCCACCTTTGTCCCTAGTGCTTTTTCCCAGCCGAGCCCTGATGACATCGTACTCGCTGCTCAGGCGAAAGGTTCGCGTTTTGCGACGACCCAGTAAGACGCTGACTCTAATACCTCCCAGCGGGCACCAAGTTCGACGCTGCTGCTGCCAAGAGCGCCACCAAGAAAGTCGTCACCAAACCGACAGGTTCCCAGACACCTACTGGAGAGATGAAGCAGCTTCAACTCGACGATTCGGCGGCACCGAAAAACAAGAAGCTGGATGTTCTCAAGGAGTTCGAAAAGAGCGAGAACAAGAGAAGCGCCAGCTTCGTGGTAGTCGGTATGTGGCATACTTGGATACCTTCGACCGGTATACTGACACCCATAAGGCCACGTCGATGCCGGAAAAAGTACCCTGATGGGCAGGCTGTTGTTGGAGTTGAAATATATTGAACAGCACCTCATCGATCGCTACCGACGACAGGGCGAGAAGATTGGAAAGTCGTCATTTGCCCTTGCATGGGTGATGGATCAGCGAGAAGAAGAGCGTGAGCGGGGTGTGACCATTGACATCGCTACGAATCAGTTCGAAACGGATAAGACACGATTTACTATCCTCGACGCCCCGGGCCACAGAGACTTCGTACCCAACATGATTGCAGGAGCCAGCCAGGCAGATTTTGCGATCCTCGTCATCGACGCTAATACGGGAGCCTTCGAGAGGGGCTTGAAAGGGCAGACCAGAGAGCATGCTCTTCTGCTGAGAAGTCTGGGCGTGCAAAGAGTCATTGTTGCTGTCAATAAGCTTGACATGGTTGGCTGGTCAAAAGATCGATTCGATGAGATCGCGGAGCAAGTCACCGGGTTCATGAAGGGCAACGGGTTTCAGCTTCAGAACGTCACCTTTGTGCCCATATCCGGACTGAGTGGTGCCAACCTAGTGCAGCGGCCGGATGATGAAGGTCTTTCATGGTACAAAGGGCCAACATTGATTGAGGCTCTGGAAGATTCTGATCCGATGACGAGGGCGCTCGAAAAGCCTTTCCGGATGTCGGTTTCGGAAATCTACAGGACACAACAGAGCCAACTCACTGTGGCTGGTCGGATAGAGTCGGGCACGGTACAGAATGGCGAATCGTTGATTGTTCAGCCGAGCGGAGAGGCAGCGTCAATACGATCAATCGAAGTGGATGGCGAGGTACAGGACTGGGCTGTGGCAGGACAGAACGTCAACATTGGCCTGTACGGCATCGACCCGATCCATGTGCGCGTGGGCGACATCATCAGCACCAAGGCGGCGCCTATCGAGACGAGCGACACCCTGACGATGAAGGTGCTGGCTTTTGACCACTTGATGCCGATGCCTGTGGACGTTCATCGCGGCCGGTTGCATGCGGCGGGCAGAGTGGGGGCGATTCCAGCTGTGCTGGACAAGCTGACGGGGGCGACGGTGAAGAAGAACCCTAAGATCGTGCAGCCTGGCAAGGTTGCGCGGGTCGTGGTCAAGTTGGAGTCCAAGGTGCCGTTGGAGGCGGGGCAGCGGGTGGTGCTAAGAAGTGGCGGAGAGACAATCGCTGCAGGGCTGTTGGAGTAAACGGTGCAGATATCAACAAAAAGCAACATGGCATGGTCCTTAAATAAGGATTTTTAAAAGGATGTGGTGATGACCGTGACACGATACTTGCAAGCATGGGCCCGCGAAAGAGTGCTCGCATTGAAGCTCGATTAGAGTTGGGTAACGAAGATAGAGTTGGCGACTTTGGTTGAAGCTTAGCCAATAGAGATGGATACCCGTGCTCAAACGAGAGTTGGTTGCCAAATTGATGTAACTCGTACGACTAAGTACTTGGGTAAGTGAGTTTACGACTAGACTATTCTTGGAGCGATGACTGCTGTTAGGAATGATGGCCGCCTACAGCAGATCTGTTCGGGTTCCGCCCACTCGATCTCGGGGGATGTTAACAGATATGCCATGACCCACCCGTCGGCTCAAGGCAACGGAGACGCCGTCGTACCTGGGCGGGTGCACACTGTATTCGTACTACACTGCTTGAAAGAGCATGGGCCAGGAGCCAAAGCTCACCCCTGTTACCCCCCTCAAAAGCACCTTAAGTGAGGTAAGGCGCCCCCATTCTGTCTATACCTTGCCCCTGACCTGGTTGGCCTTGTCTTTCCCCAAGGTACCTACCGTAATAGTAAACCACCTTCTTTACCCGGAATGCCGCCTGACCGCCCCCACAGCCATCAAGTGGTGGGAATATTCTGGAAAGGGAAAAAAGGCATAAATTGGCCCGAGATGAGGAGCGGAAGGCAATCAAACGTTTGAGAAGAAGAGGCCACTCTGTTCGTATCCCCAGGCGTGTCAGAAGAGGACAGATTGGCGATATTAGATGGTAGAACTACCTAGGTAGCGTGTGTACGGTAGGTAGGACAGAAAACTGGTTTAATGTTACCAACGACGGACGCGGACAATGAAGCAACGTGGCGATTGTCTCTTCTTCTCTTTGGAAACAGGAGGCAAGTGCTGGATGGTGAGTCACTGTCAAATAAAAAGGAGTCAGACAGCTCAGGCCAAGGCATGGGTATAGCATGTTGTAGAAACCGGCCGAACGTCCATGGAAGGCTAGAGGCGAACTGAACAAGAGGCCACCTGTAATTAATGGATGGAAATGTCCAGAATCCGCAGCCTTGGTGGGGTAGACGTACGAATAGAAGGGCGATGCAAAGGCTAGCATCAGCATTAATAAGGCACGCCAGGACGGTAGGTAGGCAGCACACCTTTGGCGGCTGTCAAGGGGTGATGTGCTCGCACGGTACTCAGCTTACTGTGCTCGTGCGCCGGAGACTGCTCCCCCGAGCGCCCATCTCTGCCATCCCATCATGTCCGTCCCTGCAGGCATTTGCCGAAGGAGCTGCATTACCTACCTACAAACACGATGCAGTGCAGGTTGCCCACTGCCCGCCTCTGGGGACCACACAGTAGGGATCCACCATTGGTACCATCCAGAGTCCACGGTCCACCAAGAGCAACCGATCCCTGTCACGTGTGGCGCCTCTCAACGTGAAATCTGGCCTTTTGTGCAATCTGGACACCTCAATCTTTTTTTGGAGAAGCCATTCATAAAGCCGACAGCTCTTCCCTCCCACCGCTTAACCTTCAACCTCTCCCAATCCAACACCTGCCAAACCACCTCAATTCGATTGGGTGCGCAGCTAGTAGAAGGGAATTTCGTCAACCTTCTCTCCCACGTCTTCCATTGACGGCTTTTTGTTTTTTTCTTTTCTTCCCTTTTTTTCATTATTGCTCAAAAGCTCGAGGTACCACGCGCGCAATCCATCCTCACAAGGTAGCTTCATAGCACCAAAATCTCCCACAATGTCGAGATCAAGAAACTCGATGGCCTTTGGCTTCGGCCTCCTGGCCTGGATGGTTCTCCTCTTCTCCCCCCTGGCTTTCTTCCAGACCGCTCAGGCTCAGGACACTGAGGACTACGGCACTGTCATCGGTATTGTAAGTTGGCATATCCACTGCTGGCCGCGCTTTTGGCGCTTCTGCCGCAACCGACAAGAAAAGACGCCATGTCCTAACCATGCTGTCTTCAGGATCTTGGAACCACCTACTCTTGCGTCGGTGTGATGCAGAAGGGCAAGGTTGAGATTCTCGTCAACGACCAGGGTAAGTCTAGACCGTCGAAGCCGTCTTAGGTCCAGACAGCCCAACTGACTCTCCATCCCAGGTAACCGTATCACTCCGTCTTACGTCGCCTTCACCGAGGAGGAGAGACTCGTCGGTGACGCCGCCAAGAACCAGGCCGCGGCCAACCCCCAGAACACCATCTTTGACATCAAGTAAGCTCCAACCCGGCCCCCAAGCACTCAAGACACAAACTAACCAACGCTAGGCGATTGATTGGCCAGAAGTTCTCCGACAAGAGCGTCCAGTCCGACATCAAGCACTTCCCCTACAAGGTCATCGAGAAGGATGGAAAGCCCATCGTCGAGGTCCAGGTCGCCGGCTCCCCCAAGCGTTTCACCCCTGAGGAGGTTTCCGCCATGATCTTGGGCAAGATGAAGGAGGTTGCCGAGAGCTACCTTGGCAAGAAGGTCACCCACGCCGTCGTTACCGTTCCCGCCTACTTCAACGACAACCAGCGCCAGGCCACCAAGGATGCCGGTATTATTGCCGGTCTTAATGTCCTCCGCATTGTCAACGAGCCCACTGCCGCCGCTATCGCCTACGGTCTTGACAAGACTGACGGTGAGCGCCAGATCATTGTCTACGACCTTGGTGGTGGTACCTTTGATGTCTCCCTGCTCTCCATTGACCACGGTGTCTTCGAGGTCTTGGCTACTGCCGGTGACACCCACTTGGGTGGTGAGGATTTCGACCAGCGCATCATCAACCACTTCGCCAAGTCCCACAACAAGAAGAACAGCGTCGACATTACCAAGGACCTCAAGGCCATGGGCAAGCTCAAGCGTGAGGCCGAGAAGGCCAAGCGTACCCTCTCCTCCCAGATGTCCACTCGCATTGAGATCGAGGCCTTCTTCGATGGCAAGGATTTCTCCGAGACTCTTACCCGTGCCAAGTTTGAGGAGCTCAACATAGACCTCTTCAAGAAGACCATGAAGCCCGTCGAGCAGGTGCTCAAGGACGCGAAGGTCAAGAAGGAGGACATTGACGACATCGTTCTCGTTGGTGGCTCTACCCGTATCCCCAAGGTTGTTAGCCTCATTGAGGAGTACTTTGGCGGAAAGAAGGCTTCCAAGGGCATCAACCCCGATGAGGCTGTCGCTTTCGGTGCCGCCGTCCAGGGTGGTGTCCTTTCTAACGAGGTCGGCGCTGAGGACATTGTTCTCATGGACGTCAACCCCCTGACGCTCGGTATTGAGACTACCGGAGGTGTCATGACCAAGCTGATCCAGCGCAACACCCCTATCCCTACCCGCAAGAGCCAGATCTTCTCCACCGCCGCCGACAACCAGCCTGTCGTTCTTATCCAGGTCTTTGAGGGTGAGCGTTCTCTTACCAAGGACAACAACCAGCTTGGAAAGTTCGAGCTCACTGGCATCCCCCCCGCGCCCCGTGGTGTCCCCCAGATCGAGGTTTCCTTCGAGCTCGACGCCAACGGTATTCTCAAGGTCTCGGCCCACGACAAGGGCACTGGCAAGCAGGAGTCTATCACCATCACCAACGACAAGGGCCGTCTCACCCAGGAGGAGATCGACCGCATGGTCGCCGAGGCTGAGAAGTATGCCGAAGAGGACAAGGCTACCCGTGAGCGCATTGAGGCTCGCAACGGTCTCGAGAACTACGCCTTCTCCCTGAAGAACCAGGTCAATGACGACGAGGGTCTCGGCGGCAAGATTGACGACGAGGACAAGGAGACTGTAAGTTTGCTCATAGCCCTTGACCAGTCGCTACCGATTACTAACGAAGCATCCAGATTCTCGAGGCTGTCAAGGAGACCACCAGCTGGCTCGAGGAGAACAGCGCCACCGCCACCACCGAGGACTTCGAGGAGCAGAAGGAGAAGCTGTCCAACGTCGCCTACCCCATCACTTCCAAGATGTACCAGGGCGCCGGTGACGCTGGCGGTGATGATGAGCCCCCCAGCCACGACGAGCTCTAAATCCATAGGTTTTTTGTTGCTTCGTTCGGGATTTAAAAAGAGACATTGCCCAAAGATATTCCATGATGCAATTTTCGTCTCTGGTGTTGGCAGGTTGATCGGCGTCGGCAGCATGAAGCATGACATAACTTCACTATTGTGTACACTTAACGCGCATAAATGAGGACGTATTGAACACATTTCGCTTTCCATGAAGGTGCTTTACAAAAATGCTCCATATCGGTGTGGAATTGTTCTGACGAGGGATTTATAGAGTGTTTAGAGCAAGCTGTTACATCCGTTTGTTTGTCTTTGATAGAGTCCCCATCGTCCCCTAACATATTGCAAGTTCTATGGATGTTGCGAATTCAAAGGCTTGGTACCATGGATTGTTTCTGGCCCAAGCCGACAGCAAATTATAGGAATGCCCTGAGATGTGGCTGTTAACAGCCACTGTAGCTGAATAAACACGACGGTGCCGCCAAGCAGTAGATGCTATAGCATACATTCACAATCGGAGCCGTCATGCGCTGTGACATACGGCCTGAGGTGACCTGGTGGTGGCCTTTTTGCAAGCTTGGCATTACAGATAGGGTGGACAGGGAAGACGTTAACCACTATGATGAGCAGGTAGCAAGAAGTCTGAGACGGGGGGTTTCCCAGATGTTTCTTCTCTTTGGGGAGGATACATCATCGGGGGCTGTTGGACTGACAAATACAAGAACGCTGCCGATGTGAAACGGGATCATCGTGCACCAAAGCCGAGGCCGAGAACGCCATTCGCCATGCCATCCCCCAACACAACCTCACTTCAAAGAAAATCCCTCGGATTCTAAAGGCAGGAAGAGCATTTAATCACATATCCGGTTCGAATGATTCTATATCCTGGCAATTGCGCGCGTGGGCAGGCTTGAGGGGGGGTGGCGTAGCGACACCGACTTACACGCACCATTGCAGGAAAGAGGCTACATAGACAACTTGACATCGCTACAACACCACATACGACCATACCCACTGGAAAACTCGGGATCCCGTCCGCTCTCCCATAGATAAGCCAGTGAGGGCCGGATTAGTAGTTGGGTCGGTGACGACCAGCGAATACCTGGTGTTGTATGTTTTTAATGGAATTTTTTTTTTAAGGCCTATGTTATCTAAGGGGGGCTAGGTAACACGCGTGTGGTAAGTGACGATGATCATCTAGTGCGTATGGCTTGCAAGAGATTAAAATGGCTATTATTACCGCAATGGTGCATGTACGCACTGACGTCGGCTCTTGCGGTGACAGGTACTCCTGCGGCGGCGAGCATGGGGGATCCTCCGCCCAGGATGCCGCCTTGTTCAGAGGCCTACACGTCCTCCTACTAAAACGAGATGGGAGGCGGTTGGTGGGGAAGCCGAGCCTGCGCAGGTTAGGGATGAAATGGCCTAGGTTACGGCAGCCTACAGGGCTTACTCTGTTAAAACAAAAACTTAGTTATAGAAACGGCAGGTGTACCTAGAGCTATAAGAAAATCCTTATTGCCCTACCTATCTCTCTATTATACTAGATTAATTAGCTATAGCTTTATGCTTTTAGACTATTAACAAGTTAGTGAGGTATTAAGACCTACAAAAAGTTAACCCTAGATCCTTGCGCTAGTAACAGTGGGTAGGCGCTGGCAACAGTAGGCAGGCGCTAGTAACAGTGGGTAGGCGCTGGCAATAGTGGGCAGGTAGGTAGGCGCTAGCAACAGTGGGCAGGCGCTGGCAACAGTGGGCAGGCGCTGGCAGTAGTGGGCAGGCGCTGGCAGTAGTGGGCAGGCGCTAGCAACAGTAGGCAGGTGGGCAGGCGCTGGTAACAGTGGGTAGGCGCTGGCAATAGTGGGCAGGTGGGCAGGCGCTAGCAACAGTGGGTAGGCGCTGGCAATAGTGGGTAGGCGCTGGTAACAGTAGGCAGGTGCTAGTAATAATAGACAGGCGTCTACAGTGGGTAGCGGTTAACAGGCAGACACATTGCAGGTCTGCCCACGGGCCCCCGAAGTACCGCACTGCAACCAACATTAATTATATTAAAATAATAGATATATTCAGATATTCTGATTAGTTAATCCAGTTAATGTGGGTCCACCACATCCTCCGCGTTTTTTCAGGGTCAACCAGACCACCTACCTACGCGTAACAACAGCAAGTCAATAACCTATTGCTACTAACCTATTGCCACTAACCTATTGCCGCTAACCTATTATTAACTACGTTATTTATTACTAATTAACCCTTTACCCTATTATTATTGTTTTCTTTATATTACTATAGTATTAGATATCCCTCTATTAACTACTAGCAAGGCTAATATAATTAACGCATTAGATAATAAAATTATAACCCTTTAAGTGCCCTTACTACCTAACTATAAGGACAATATAGTTAACTTTAACCTAGAGAACTTTTAGAAGAAGCTTAATAGTAAAAATATTCCTTTTACTAGCTTACCTACCTATTTAACTATTTACTCTATTAAGACTTACCTTATGTGTCCCTAAGACCTAGGCTAGCCCTATTATTATACCTAATAACCTTGCTACCTACTATAAGTAATACTTTTACCTTACTAAGCCTATAAAGGTAGACACTACTAAATTTAAATAAATATAGGCTTTTATTAGTAATTTCTTTAATTTAACTAAAGCTTAAGGCTATACCTTTAGTAGTACTACTACTACTTACTATTACTGCCTACTTTAGTTAACTAAAGCTAATAAGCCTTAAGGCAGTAAGGCTATAATAACCTATAACTACACTATATAAGTAAACACTAGTTGCCTTATATATACTAAAGTTATTAAGTAATAGATAAGTAACTTTACTATAATAGTAGTTATTTTATAAGTTAGCCTAGGCCTTTATAACTACCTACTTAAACGCCTTAATTAAATTTGCTTACTATAGGGTATTAAAGACCTTACTACTAAGCAAGTTACCCTTAGTTATTTACCTACTAAAGTCTACTATATACTCTAAGGCTACTTTAGCTACTACAAGGCTATTAAGTAGGCGCTAGTAACTATAGGCAGCTATTAGCTTTCTTACTAGGCTATATATAATATAGGCTACTACTAGCTAGCTGCCTACTTTAACCTTTACCTTATTAACTATAACTATTTATAGCACCTATAAGTTACTAAAGCTAAGGCTTATTACTATACCTATAACCTCTAATTTTAGTATTATATAGTCTAATGTACTAATAAGGTAAACAAAAGGCTTATATAGGCCTCTAAGGCTAGCCTTACGTTATTATAGTAATATAGCCTTTTTACTATAATAGATACTACTTACTAGACTAATTAGCTTAGCTAGCTACTTTATATAGTTATAGTTAAAAATACTATAGGTAGCTAAATACTAGTTAGCTACTTTCTTACTAAAAAAGGTAATACTAATATTATTACTGCTTACTTATATATATTAAAAGGCTAAGCTAACTAGTAGTTATATTACTTTTTTACTAATAATTTAGCTATTAAATAACACACTATATATAATGCTTTTTATAGCCTTATAGATAGTAAGATAAAAGTATTATACTTCTTCTACTATATCTACTATAAAAGAACCCTTTGCTATTATCTTATAAAACACCTAACTAGCCTACGCTATATAATCTCTATATTAAAATATTACTATATAAGGCTAAGTTATTATAAATCTATTACTACTATAATAAAAAGTTTAATACACAAAGAAGCTACTTATATTAAAAATAACTAGCTACTAACACTTAACCTCTAGGCTAACTATACCTATAACTATTTACTACTACTACTCTAGGCTAAAATAACTAACCTACTTAAAGGCCTTTACAGCGTTATTAAGCGTAGCTACTATTATATACTCTAGTAATTTAGCCTCTAAGGGGCTATTAAGTACATTAACTATATTAATAGTAGATACTTTACTACTACTAAGCTATACCTTATAAACTTTTATAGTAAAGTCCTCTATAAATAATAGGTCTTACTTTATCTTTTTTGCCTACTTATACTTATATAAAAGTTAATTACTAGTAAACTTTATAAGGTAAAGGTAGCTACTACTAATAGTTTAGATTTATATTATAATATATAGGTAAATAATAATAGGCTAGTATATAACTATAGCTTTTATAAGTAGTAGGTTTTACTTTACTAATATATCCTCTAATAGGCTATAACTAAGGATAATATTATAGGCGCCTACTAGTAGTAATAGATATAGGGCTAAGGTAAGGCTAAGTATAAGATATATAAGGCTTATAAGGTATACTATGTACTATATATAGCTGACTGTAAGGGTATTCTTATCCCCTCTAGGCTTACTGTTTAGAGCTATGTAGAGGTTTTATTAAATTAATACTATTAACAAGAGGAGGCCTATTGTAATAAGTAACCTAATTACCTTGCTTAGTATATAACATAAGTAGAGGAGGCTATTGCTTAGCTAGTAGGTCTTACACTTAATAATTAGCAGCAGGGCACTTTAGTTAGCTATAATAGTTAATTTATACTTTTTAATATTACAGTAGGTAACCTAGTAAAAAATAGAAACGTAAACCTTACTGTTAATAAAGGGATAAATAGTAGTAATATAAAGGAGGGAAAAAACAACAGTTAACGCAGTAGGTAGGCAAAGTGTTTATGTATAGGTACAGATGTGGGCACATCTGTGCTAGCCCCCCTAGTATACCCCCTATACTGCCTTATTAGGTTTAATGCTGACTTTAGGAGAAATAGGTGGCCGCCAGGGCGAAAGTCCCTGAGGTACGCATGCGCACAGATGCCAGCCCCGCAATGTGTCTGCCTGTTAACCGCTACCCTACAGTGCCTACTGTATTAGCTATATTATTTAGCTAATTATATTACACTATTGCTTACAATAAAGCAGAAGGACCAATTAAAAAAGGGGGTAGCTGTATAAGCAAAAAGTGGCTTTTTTAATATCCACTCGGGTTTTGACGGAATAAGCCCTGCAGGCTGCCGTACTAGGTCCAACGGGCCGGTCTTGGCCGTGCCAATCGCTTCCGGATTTAGTGGCGGGTAGTCGGCTTAGGAGAGCTTAAACTTAACCTTATCCATAGTGAAGCCGATGGCAAAAGAGATAAAAAGTAGCTGAGGGTTTTAGAAGGTAGGAAATAGGTAAAGGAGACTTTATTTCGGAGGACAGATGACGGTTCCGCAATTGTACTCGTAAAGTAAGGCCTCCGGCTGGCCAGAGAGACAGGCATAGCCTCCTCCTCGTTGGGTGAGGGACGCGAGAAGTACATGCGATCACCTGCAGCGAACCAATCGATGGCGTCGGTTCGCAGCTGTATACGTATGTATGCTTGCCAGATCAGCAGCCGAATAGCACACCGTTCTTCATTTTCGTAACCATCGCCGGTTTGACCTTTCGGGCTGGCTGGCGCAAGAGCAGCTCATAAAAGATTGGCAAAACAGCAGGGCAACCGGCGCCCCGCCGCTAATAACTGGAAACAAAAACGCTCATCGATGAGTCGCGATCGGCTATACCGCGTTGTTCAGTGCCGTTCGTTTCTAGGAGCGGTGGTGCCCACCATTGTAGGTTGTCGAAGCTATTAATATGAAGAAAGAAAAAAGAAAAAGGCTGCATTTTATTGTTACCTGTATCCACATACGCGGACCTACCGACGTGTTATATCCTAGGTACACCACACTTAGGTTCACAGGGGGCACTCACTGTTAGCTTATGCGTAGACTCGTGCATCTTTATCCCCTATTCTGTATTACTAGTATATGTTACGCCTGGCAGCAACCAATGAGGTCGTAACACAAAAAGTTAAAAACTACTTTACCCCCACTACGCTTTGTGTAGTATAAAATGAGCCCCTTATTAAGGGCAAGGTCTTGAGGGCTCGTTATAATTACTAAATTTATTAATTTCAAGTTGCATAGAATAATATATATCCCGAGATTTCAATGACTTACAAGTGGTAGGATCATTGATTTATAAACACATTACCACTTAGTCTTCCTTAAGAGTACTATTTGAATCGAATATATCTTCGCTCATGATTACCCGGCTTCTTCCCTACAGTGACCAAGATTGATGCGACCTAGATTTTTCTACTCTGTTGTACTCTTACACTGATTACAAGATGCATCGTCTCAAGTTATTGTTAATTTTCTGTCTACCGAATCTCGTCTCCGCCGGATGGAAGCTGAAGAGCCCATTTCGCCAAAAGAATTACGGATGCCGCTCAGCAACTGGCAGCTCATCACACTCTACCATCATAGCAGGAGCAAATAATATCGGAATTGTCGCTGGGGACATGGGCAATGGCAATGCCTTGAAATGCTCAACAGCCCAAGCCCACAGAATTAACAATACTATTAAGAACATGCACGAGTATGCTGGAGCTGCATACTCTTTTCTTAGTCAACCCGGAGCCGAGAGATCTGCTGCATTCGTTGCGTGGTTCGGAGGTAAGTTTCGCTCCGACGTAAGGCACTTGAAAACGGAAATAGCTAATTTGATCTTTACTAGCGGGGAACGCGGACGTTCACGGCCTGACAAAAATACGCAGTATATTCAGGAATATCTACGGCTTAGGGTCAACAAGCAATCACTATATTCGAGATATGGAAAACTTAGGCCAGACTGTTGGTATTGCCTGTCAGACTCTACACCATCCCGGCCCTTGCCACAAGCAAGGTATTCTAGCTTATGCTACGCCCACAACGGGACAGGTATTCGTATGCCCAGTCTCCTTTATTCGAGACCAATATTATCTGTCAGATGAATCGGATCGGGCTACACGCTCGCTGTGGGCACGATCTCGAGCCTTTCTACCAACCGGCGCGCTTACCTTGCTTCACGAAATGACGCATTTACAAGTAATGTCTGGACCGTGTAACATTATAGACCATGCTTATTTAGTACAACAGTAAGTGAAATTGACAGTTTCACCTAATATAAAAGTAAAAGACTAACGGCCAGAACAGATGTATTACCTTGGATGACGAGAAAACTGTTAGTAACGCTCAGAACTATATGTTCTTTGCACTAGAAGTAATCAGTAATCCTGCAAATGCACGCAAACAAGTCGACTGGAATGCGGGTAATAGATGGCAAGATGCTGTAGGAAAGCTACGTGCAGATGTTCGTGGCCAGCCTGAGACAGAGGGCAAGCTTCTGGTTGCCGTAGGTGGGAGTAATGGCCCGCATCAGAGTCATGACCCGTATCAGAGTCATGACCAGTATGGAAGTATCAACCCGTATCCGTATGGGAGTAATAGCCCGTCTGGGGCTCATGATTTCATAGAGTGGTTATTTGGGGCGTAATATAGAAAAACGGCTTAACTATCCATGTGTAAGATAGACTAGTTACACAGATAGGAATATGTATGTATAGGTAGTTCAAACGAAAGGCTCTCGATTACGCCGCCTCACCTCGCCGCCCAATTCAAGCCTCAGGTGACTATCACTGAACTCCTTAAACGCCTTCGAGATATCAAACACCCAAGAGGGATGCATTTACTCCAGGATACCTATCTATCTTGGCTAATCTATTGCTTTGGGGTACCTCGTCAGCACAATAAAACAGCCCCCAGAAGAGCCAGTTAGCCTGCCCACACTACTTCTGATTCTTGAGCCTCATCAGGTCTAGCCAGATGACGACCAGATTGCTGTTCAGACTCGAAAGGCTCCTAACTATAAGAAGTTATTCCGTCTTCTTTGACATCCTTGCTCTTGATGGCAACAGGGTCTTCGGGATACAAACTACCTACAGGGAGTTACCTTTACGCGTCAAGACGTCAGTGCCTCAAAATGCCTTGTCTGACGTTGCGGTGACACCGCATAAGGCGCACCAAGACTATGAGGTCGGGTGACCTCAAAATCTGCCTTGCCACCATCTCGCAGATAATATGAACCTGAAAGCCTCTGGGGCTGCCCCAATCTGTCTACAACATACACTCTATAAAGGTTAGCTCAGTCAACAGTCAGACGTTTTCAGATGCAGAGATAACTGGCTAATATGACTCATTAGGTAATGAGGCCGAAAGGTTCCTCGCGCAGACGGCGGAATTGGATATAAGAGGCTGGGCTTCCAAGATTCACACTGCTGTGTCAAGATGTCGTGAAGCCGGCCAATCGTGTGCTCCTCGACCCCATGCTTTACCGAAACGTCTCATCCAAGTACAGAACGAAGATCTGGGTGAAGAGACTGTGAGGATGTACCAAACAAAGATAGGCGAGCTGGGCAACTACGTGGCTCTGAGCCATGTTTGGGGAGGCCCTCAGAAAGTCACCACAACACACAGCAATATTGCACAACATCTGGCCTCCATCTCCGTCAAGTCTCTAGGGAAATCCATTCGCGACGCTATAACCTTCGTCCGGGTGTTGGGTATCAGATATCTTTGGGTTGATGCGCTGTGCATCGTCCAAGAGAGTGACAAAATCGACGAGATCAACAACATAGGCAAGATCTATCGTGACGCTTGGGTTGTCATCGCAGCGGAGGCTAGTCACGAGGTCGAGCAGGGATTCCTCCAGGAATGGCCTGTCAGGCGGTCGCCTACCTTGGACATAAGTCTTCCAAACGGACGCAGTGGGACGGTGATGATCGGGGCGGGCGGCTTGGATTCTCTGGAGACGCAAGCACGACCTAAACCGCTACGATCCCGGGGTTGGGGTTTTCAAGAATCAATGCTGAGCCGCCGTCTTCTTACCCTCCACTCCGAGAGCATAAGTTATAACTGCACAACAAGCTCACATGGAGTTATGATTGCATTCGACAAAACCAGAAGCTGTGAAGGTGGGACCAGCAACATCGACGGCTCCTATATCAACTGGTGGTTAACAGGGGCGGTCATAAGCAGTCCCCATCGTCTGACCCTGACAATCATCCGGGCACATCCTCTGATAGATAAAGGTCTGGGAGCTGCCGCGCAATCACAAAGCGCGACCGATGTTGGTGGTCGCCAGTCCCTGCTTCTCATTTGGCGCGATATCACCTGGGAATATGCCGAACGGCAGCTTGCAGTCTGGTCAGACCGTCTCCCGGCCATTGCGGGTAAAGCCACACAATTCGAAGCGTCGATCGGTTCCGAGAATTACTTGGCCGGGTTGTGGAAACCATGGATCATCTCCCAGTTAGCATGGTTGCCCTACCCTTTGCTGATGGCTGTTCCAGAAAGACTACCCATCGACAAGGATGTCCGTTTCCTAAAAGCGATGATTCTCGAAGGGTTCGCAAAGGGAAGGTACCTGCCGTCCGCCAAGGATCGTGATGGAAGCACCACTTTGAATCCAGTGACCCAGTCAAAGCTGACGGTTTCGTCACCGGCACGTACCTGCCCTCTTCGCCCTCCGCAACACTGGCAAGATATAGGAAAGTCGGTCGTTCAGCAATCTTGCAATCGCCGACATGGTCTTGGTATACCCATCAGCATTCTGGCCGCTGGTTGAACGGTCTCAGAGAGGACGCCGTCATGATCAGCAGCACTCAAACCCTTGTCTCTGACAAGGTACCTTTCGGCGCCGTCCTGAACGCAACCATCACAATCCAGGCCCAATTCGTTTTCCTCTCCGCCATGGAAGAAAGGTTAAACTGGTCGAGTTCCTACCTCTATATGGAATACAGTGGAGACGTTATGGCCGAGTGCGGCATCGAGCCTTCGCTCTACATGTTGCTTGGTGCCATGATACCTGATAGTAAGGATCAGCTGGAAGAACCACTAGATACGATCGGACTCGTCTTGAGAGCATGCAAAGAAGATAGCCAACGGTGCTTGTTTGGGAAATCCCTACGAATTCCGCACTACCAGCGAATCGGCATCATAAAGGTAGCAAGCCGGGACTCTCATATTTGGTATGGTCTCAAAGCTCAAGGTGCTGTTGTTACCCTTATTTGAGACTATTTGTTCTTGTTGACAATGAATTGCTACAATACTCCCTTTCGGATGCATACCTTTGTACCTATGGTGACATGTGTGCCTTCACAACACAAGCCCTGTTACGAGGACATCAAAAGTACAACGCCATTTTCCGAGCAGCTTCAGCAAGCAGTCTCCCACTTTGTATTATATGGAGTGTTGGGGGTCCTCTCCTTGTGTATAACACCCACCTCCAAAATCATTGAATTCATAAGCTCGCGCATGGGAGCTCCGTGGAGCCAGTAAGACGGCCCGGCCCTGTATTCGGGGCATGGCTGGTTACACCATCGACGGCAACTTCCTCCCTCCAACATCCGTCACGCAACGCCTCATGACAACGGCCTAATCAAAGATTTCATGACGCCCACGCGAGAGACGAGAAGATGAGTGAAAACGGCGACCAGAGATCGAGGTGAAGCTGGTTTGGTTGAGAAACACCTCCTGGTACCTCAAAGCAGGATCCGTCGCCGACGTGAAGTTCGATCATACCATCACCTGAAAACTGAATTCGAGGAGCAAATCACCAAAACATGATCTCGGTCTCCGAAGACATCTTCGATTACAACGAGGGCCGAGTTAGTGGTTGAGTCGGTGACGATCAGCGAATGCCTGATGTTGTATGTGTTTTGCTCTCAGCTCTTCTCGCTGAGAGGCATTATATGTGCTACAGCTCCCAAGTATCACCACATACGACCACACCCACTGGAAAACTCGGGATCCCGTCCGCTCTCCCATAGATAAGCCAGTGAGGGCCGGATTAGTAGTTGGGTCGGTGACGACCAGCGAATACCTGGTGTTGTATGTCTTTTTGTGTCATTTTGTTGGGGGAACAGAGCTGATGAAATGTCGAGAGGAGAAACATGATGCTGTCACCCTGATTGCTAGAATGATTATTGCCCCCCTTGGCAGCAGCGTACGGTGTCATTCTCTTATCCGCTACCAGAACCGTCGAGGAGTCGAGACGGCCTAAGGAACGTTATGCCTTTACTGCGTCTCGGTGTCTCCTCCCTACCACTGGTGCCACCAAATCATACCTAACTAACTACCCTCTCCCTAGGCCTTTCCTCCTCTGAGACATTGCCTGACAAATCTTCCTGCGGCATCGGTATTGCAATTTTATGGCTGTGAATGCCAGCCAGTTTGGGCGTCTTTGCTAGGGACATGAGCAATATGGGATACGTCGGGGGAAGGGGGGGGGGGGGGCTCGCGCCTGAAGGACTTACCGTCGGTTGCTTGCCTACTTCGCTCCTACACCATTACGAATGGGCAGGTCCTTGATGATTTGCGAGCCGGCCCACTGATAACTTCTCCTTCCGTTGTCCACATTGCCGTCATGGAGCTGATGATGCGCACCACTCTTGCTTCGCCTTGCCTTTGGTCCTGCCACTGTCTCGCGCCTCCCTAACAGGACGTCAGTGCTGCCTCGTGTAGTTCGTTGTGAAATACCACTCTCTTCTTCTTACCTTTGCCCCGTTCTCTATGTTCTGGCTGACCGCGAATACGAATAGGAACATACTTAACCACCTTCTTTAAGCTGGCCCACTCATCACTGCTCCTTCTTCCGTTACCCTTCCTGCCGTCAGGGAACACTGACGCTGCACGCCGTTCTTGCTCCGCCATGCCTTTGGCCCTGCTACCTTCTCCCGAAGTTGGGTGCGTCTTCCTAGCAGGACGTCATTGCCGCCTTGTTCGATTCGCCGGAAAAGATCACCCCTTCTGTTTCTTACCCCCCGTTCTCCATGTACTGGCTGATTGAGGGCCACCCAGGAAGGGTATAAATGTCTGCCCATCCCCTAGACATCTCCTCCTCCTCCTCCTCCTCCTCCTCCTCCTCCTCCTCCTCCTCCTCCTCTTCTTCTTCTTCTTCTTCTTCTTCTTCTTCTCTTCATGGACATGCGGCGAGTAACCTTAGAGGGTTATCGCCGAGGCCGTGTGCCGCGAGCTGATCAAGAGAGCTTGGGCACGACGAACCTGGCGGTCCCCCTTCACTAACCCCGTCAGGCTTCGAAGGCGGCATGATTTTAGTGTCTGCTTGACCTGGTATTACACTGCCTCCGGGTCGGACCTCTACTCTTTTCATTGTCTTTGCTGGCTGGTCTAGTGGGATGAAGAAGAGATCTCTTGTGACAATGGCTTCTGGAGGAGTAGCTGCGGCGGCGATGGGTCCTGGTGCTGTTGGGTTGTTATCCTGTATCCATCTTCTTCACCTACGTACTCAAGTATCAGGCCATGTGCCGCACATTGGAATTGGGTCGCAATGCGATGGGGAATGGTCAGAAGGAAAATGAAAGTGGTGGGAGGGCTCCCGTAGGTGATGCAGCTTCTCTTAGGAATAGACATGGTGTTGGTGCATTGGTGCAAAACTCGTCTTTTAACAAGTATGAAGCGACCAGACGCGCAGCGAGGCGTGGCTACAGGTACAGGATATTCGCAAAAGTTAATTGCAAAAAGCCCAGGCCGTGACGTTGACTTGACTCCAGTCGTGTAGCCAGTATCGCTTCTACCCATTGCGATAGACCCGGATGTTGTACGTCAGTAGAAACTCTGATCCAGCCGCTGGGAGCATGTGAGCGGTGGAATTTGCTAGCACAGCGTAAAAGAGAACCTTGCGTGGTCCGACGGAAGATGATTTGCGAACAATGAGGTCGACGAATTACGACCCACCAGCCGGCTTCATTGGCTGGTAGTCACAACAAGTACGGTGGGCGATCTGGCTACAACCTCGGGTTTTGCATTAGTCTATATATATTAGGTAGATGACCAGTTCCTCCATGAACAAAGATCCATCACTTTTGGGGCCTCAAAATTACATAGTGGCCATCGCAGTCAGCACTCCTAGACTACCAGCTTCCTTTTGCAATTCCGCCGTCAGCACTTGGCGTATCACCTGCATATTCTAGCCTAGTCTAGATCATCCTGATGTTCAAGGACCAATAGAATTGTTTGAATACGTCGCCAGTCCCGCTGTCCGATGTGGTGTCGCCCGTTCGTGGCTGCCCAGAAATGCACATCGTCGTCTCGCAATGCCATCTTCGCTGGTGCTGTCCTCGCGGCATTTCACCGCCAGCGGCGTGTCGGCTAAGATATTTGACCAACGCATGCTGTAACCATGTCGCTTTGCCAAGTCTGCTCAAAGCTCGATATCGAGCAACTAGACGGGACTGACGTTCGCTTTCACTCCAATCTCAAGGCTCTTCAGCAAAGCGCTGCAGCGAGATGCCCCTTCTGCAGCCTTTGCTATACCCGCGTCATGGAAGATACCAGCCGCAGCATCACCGACGCTCTTCTCAATGATGAGGTACCGGAGGGCTACGAAAGGGAAACCTTCTTCCCGAGCGTCTGGCTTCACGGCGAAGTGAGGCAGGCCAGCCGCGGTGTCGGTAAACAAATTCCAGGAAGTGCTGTATGGATCTCATGTGGAAGGCTGCATCCGGACGGTGGCCAAGGAGAAACAAACCACCCTGGCATGCCGTTTGCCTCGCGTCTGTCTGTGTTCGCGTAAGTCTTCTTCCCATGATGAGTCTCTCTATGTCGGTACTTTGTACAGAAGTTGACTATTCGCAGAAGCGCCTCAACGCCGGCGGCGTTAAAGTATATCGAACGGTTCTCGACTGCAGACCACGATCCTGATCTCTACATCCACTTGGCTGGTTGGCGCATGAGAAGATGCAAGGCTTCTCACAGGCTCTGCAAGCCGAGGTCGTCCGAGATGCCAACTCGTGTCATTGCGGTAGGTCAAGCTAGCCAAAAGCCACGACTCATAGTCACGAATGGCCTCCGAGAGCCTTACTTGGCCCTGTCCTACTGCTGGGGCCCCGGGAGAGATACCTTCAACTTGACCCATGAGACTAAAGATGAGCTGTTTGGCGGCGTCACGGAAGGAAAGCTGACAAAAACTCACCAAGAGTCCATCCACTTTGCGCGCTCTTTGGGCATCAAGTACGTCTGGATCGACGCACTCTGCATCATACAACGCGATGCCGATGACTGGACTTTCGAATCGCAACGCATGGCCCAAGTTTATGGCAACGCAGCTTTGACCATAATCGCCGGCCGTTCGAACGATGCCCGCGACGGCTTTCTCACGAACAGGCTTGATCAAAAGGTCCCACCGTGTGCCCTGCCACTCGCTCCAAACACAACGGACACAGTCAATGTCTGCGTTCCAAGGTCTCACGCTTATGGTCCGGTGTCTACGCGGGGATGGTGTTTCCAGGAAGAAAAGCTCTCGACGCGGGCCATCATACTAGGACAGGAGCAAATCATCTATCAATGCCGCAGCGAAACATGCTGGGAGGACGGCCAAATCAATTTCGCGGATCTCAAACCCACCTTTCTTATCCCCGGCTTCTCTACCGGCGCGACGCATTCGGCGGCCGATAAAGAGACCACCCTGACAATGTGGTACGAGTTCGTCGACTCGTACATGATGCGGGATCTATCGAACCCTCACGACATCTTCGCGGCCATCGCCTCCATCGCGGGGCTTGCTCAAGACGTGCTGGGATCCCGCTACCTCGCCGGGTTATGGGAGGACGACTTGGTCAGAGGCCTCTCGTGGAAACCACGTCACCAGGTGAACGCGTTCTTCAAAGGGCCGTTGACACGCCCGAAGCCGACCCCCTTCGCGCCGGCGCCAGTGGTCCGCGCGCCGTCGTGGTCTTGGGCGTCCGTCCAAGGGCCCGTCCGTCGCTTCTATAAATTGAAAGAATCAAAGATGTTCCAGGACAGCGACTACGTCAAGATCAGACCCAGGCTGGGGAAGAAGAGGTGGGCGGTGACGGACGACTGCGGCGTCGCGGCGCTCCATATGCCGCATTGCGAGCTCCAGATCCTGGGGCGCACGGCAAAGGCTGCCCTGGTCAAGGCGGGCGTTGCGGAGTGGTTCGCAGCCGACAGGTCGAGGAAGCGATGGCTCCCTTACAGCAAGATGCTGAACTACGCTGTCTTGCTTACCTCCACTGAGAGGAATCCGGATGCGGCCAGCTCGGATGACGGTTTAGTTGCGGTCGGGGCATTTGACGTGGCCGAGGAAGCAGAGCAGTTCGAAGAGGTCTGGTGCCTTCCGCTGATTGAGAAAGAGGGGTTAATGGTTGTCCAGAGTGAGACGAAATGGAAGCGTGTCGGGTGGTTCGTTCTGAGAGATGAGTCCTGGTTCGAGGGCAGACCGGAGGTTGAAGTGGATCTCATCTGATGTGACATCAACTTGGACGATTCATCCTCTTCGTGTTGATTATACCGCTAGATAGTTTACAAGTGCCGGCGGTAAGGAATAACTCGCTCGGGCTCTTCCTTTCAAAAAGCCCTAGCCCCTGCTTGCCCTTTGATTTGGATGCTTCCAGGCCACCCATGCGAGAATGAGCTGGAGAAGACCAACAATCAATGAGAGGAAACCAAATAGCGCCGCCAAAAACAGCCCAGCCCACTAATGGCCACAGTCAGAGCGTTGCGTTCAGAGGTGTGTCTCTCAAACCAGGAAACCACCGGGTTTGTTGGTGGCGGACGTTTGATGGCGTCGTGAAGTTTGGCCAGGCGGTTGCCCCAGTACTCGAAGACCATGTCCGGCGGCACCGTCCGAACGAACTCGATCAGCATTGCCTCTTGGTCGAAAGAGTGTTTTTTTTGATCATCTTCTCCAGCGAAGAGTACGACTTGTCATCCTCTGTGTCGATAATTGGGAACAGGACGGTATGGACTGTGAGGGAGTGTTTCAAGCAGCAACCTCGGCGGCAATGTACCTCTATAACCTGTCAATAGAACGAACAAAGGGGCTTCTTGGGTCATTGGGACTTACAGAGCTAGGCTCTCCTCAAAACCTAGTTCCAAGGGCTGGTGTTTGGTGATGGCCAGATGCGCTCTGAGGAAGAACAGTTGGTGGAACACTCTGAGGGTTTTGGTACCCGTATCGTACGCAAGGTGCTCTAGCAAGTTGTTTGTCGGCCTGATCTTTACATCATATTCTCCCGCGAGTTTCCAGGCTTTGAGATATTTCTTTTGCATCATGATTTCTATAACCTTCCCCTTCTGATCTTCGGTAGCACAATGCTGCTGGGTGGAGGCTTCTTCTACGTAGGCAGCGAAGCAGACGTCTCCATCCCACTTGTTCCGACTGAAGTCGTTGCGTTCGAGCCCTACAGCGAAGTAGTCTCCGGAAAAACAGTCAATCATGAACGCAACCGAGACGATCAGCTTGGAAATGTTCTTCTTTTCTTTGTCGCTCGAAAGTTCAGAGCCCAGGGACTCTGTGATAAATCCATCGACTGTCAGAGAAGGGTTCCCACGGAGGGTCTTGACGCAGCTGACGACATCTGTATGACTCCTTAGTGTCTGAGTCCCAATGCGAATGATGGCATCCCCTGGATCTTCTGGGCAGATCAAAGAACAATAGTGATCGAAGTACGCTTTGGATGTTGGGTCATTCCAACGGTGTGCAAACTGTTCGCCAAAGACTGAAGTTGCTATTTGCTCGCGTTCTTTGTCGCTTGGGTAGAACATACTTTCCCGTGGACTATCGGCTAACTGTAATGGGTGGTTTCTGAGATGAGGGTTTGGGAAACATGATTCTGGAGCTCTTGCGATATCCATGATCTGGTTGTATCCAGAATCAGGCTGGCTCTTTGCCAAGGTTGTCCCAGCTTGGACGAGGCTAGGGCACATTAATGCGACCTACTGACCCCCTTCAGAGGCCTCAGCGTACCAAAGTATTTCATGGCGCGAGTTTAGGTACGGGTTGAGATGTCTCATTGCCCATGCCCTATCTCCCCCCTTTTCTTTCACTCTTTTCATTGAACTCCCTCCTAACTGCCCATGTGTCCTAAACTTGGGAAACATCGACACCCATCAATACTGTGCTGACTCAAGCCTCGAGTTATGGGGGAAGCTTCACAAACCACAGGGCAAAGGTGTGTTTCTCGTCGGATTGAAGTTGCGTTATGGGATAGAACCTAATTGTTACTGTCCTCCCCAACTTGCGACATCAGCTAGGCCAACTAAGGCTGGAGTCCACTTCAACTGATTCACCATCGACACTGTCCGATCGAAGAGTCAAGAAACTTCCCATAAGACAATCGCAACAGTACTCTGGATCTCCTGTCTCGCCGCTGTCTCAGACGTCTATTCAAACTACAAGGGTTGACGAGTTCGTCAGACCATTAGGATTTTCTGCGCAAACAACCAACAACAACGAAAATTCAAAGGGGATATGCGTTGTTGAAGACAATTTGGCCATTCCGGACGGCAAGCCGCGTGAGATACACTCTGGAATTACAGGGGGAAATCCTAATCCCCACTCTCCGTCAGCGCCCAAGATTGAGGACGATGACGGGGACATTGGTCCTCTTGCAACATCAGCCGTTGCTGAATCAAGTGAGGGCACGGCTTCAAGCCAATCCCGACTGCGCGATTCTGCACCTTCTGTTACCGAGAGCGACGATTATGCGTATCGTGAGGCGATGGAGATTCCCAAGCATCAACCGCAAATATTCGTCTATCCTCACAGCGGCGATAAGATTCCCCCAGTGTTCCAGCAAAGATTCAAGGAAGTTGTCAATCTGTTTATGCATAACACCAGGAACAATGCCCAACCGAAAGACAGTGCATCTTCCATAGACTACACGCTCAGGTTATGTGGTAAATCACCTGAGGATTCGCATCCATTCATTCTCGTCTTCTATCGAGCAAAAGATTTCCGGCCACTCAAAGACCTCTTATCAAAGGACCGCTTGCGATTTCAATACTGCCGTAGGCGGTCTCACGCGAGAGACTCTTGGAAAGGATGGTCGACTTCGCGGAGAGTTGCTGTCTCGGATCACAACGTACCGCTGTTCGACCTGTTTTACTGGCGCACTCAGCAGCCAAGGGTGCTTCTTTTTGGCATGTGTGCGAGGCCATAGAAAAGTCTTTAGATTGCTTTTCTTGAGAGGGGCCGAATCAAACTTGGATGAGATGACCATGGCCCGACACTTAACACGCCAGGAAGCAGTCAGAGAATATGCCATGAGAGAAGCTGATCCGTACCGAGAATCTGAGCACACAACAAGTAGGCTTAGGCCTAGGAGTAGGCCTCATGATCGCATAATAATCGTTCAACCCACTGCTAGCATGAGACGGAGGGAAGGCAGTTCAGAAAGAATCAACCACGAAATAGTGCGTCTGGATGATTTTATGATTTTTGGTGGGTTTTCAGACTTCAGTGGCAGAGCTGGTGCAGAGAGACCATGAAAAGGGAACATTGGTGGCGGTTCCAATCAGCGTGAACAAAGGGTTGTAGCATAATGGAATTCAGGAGAAGAAGAAGTGTGAAGAGTGCATAGTTGCAGCCTGCCATCGCTTTCACTTCCTCGTCCAAGTCATCTTTGTCATACTGTTGATACAAAGTTATGTGGGTTACTGTTCCTTTTGAATGTGCCCTATTCCTGATTTTTGTACCGTGTTCATTACCTAGGTATGGTGGAACAGTTCTACCTCGTCAGGTTTGCCTCGTCTACGCCATAACGCGCATCCATGGGCCATGGGTCTTTGGTCTTCTTAGCCCTAAAAGTAAAATCAGCGTCAAATAACACATCCACTGACACAGGTTTCGGGGCGCGAATGGACAAGAAACAAGAGGGCATCAAAAAGGAGGGCATAATCAAGACATACTTCAAGTCAGCCCCAGGCGACATCTTGGAGGCATACTTGCGTAAAAGCCGATAAAACCACGTCGACCCCAGGCCAACAGACCCGACCCACGACGCCGCGGTGGCCATCTTCTCCGATCTGGGTACCCGGAGCCTGGCATACTCCTCGACAGCTGCCCTGAGCTCGCCCCGCGCGCCTGGGGCCGTCCCGATGACGGCGGCGGGGCTGCAGTGCTTTAGCAGCATACTCGCGAGGACGGTGGCGTCCTCGATCGCGAAGCCCGTTCCCTGACCGCTGGTGGGGAGCATCAGCCGCGCGGCGTCGCCGAGGAGGACGACGTCGCCGCCGCTGCACCCGCCGGGGGCGCTCCACCGGATCTCGTCTTCTTTCCAGACCCGCTGGCGCAGGGGTGTGTGGATGATGCGGTCCGCCGAGTCCAGCATCGTCTTGAAGTTGCCGGCGAACGGGTGGCGGAGGCGCATGTGGGCGCGGAGGATGGCGATGGTGATGGATCTTGGGTATTGTCCGGATGCGATGGCGGCGTGCCACTGTTCCTCGGCCCCTCCCAAACCTGGGGTGGGATCGTCCATGTCTTTCGAAGCTGCGCTGGAATCTTCTGCCGGTTCGGGCCGGGGTCCTGGCGGCGTGTGTTCCGGGAGGATCAGGTCCCAGCGAACCATCCTTCCGGGACATGGCCCCGTGGCCAGAAAACCCTGCGGTAACCACACGGAATGCGATTCGGAAAACGGACGCTCAGGTGCGTGCGAAGCGGGCATCTTGTCGGCAGAGGACATGCCATAGATGCCTGTCATACCCATATGATCCGGCAGCCAGCGCCGCTCCGAAGTATCTGGGTTACGGAGGTTAAGGATGTGGCGGCGGACGTCGGAGTACCCGCCGTCTGCGCCAACGAGAAGGTCGACATCAAGGTGGGTGCCGTCGGCGAAGCCTACACGAGTTTGACCGTCTCCATGGCCGTCTTTCTCTTCCGTGTTGCTGCTGGAAGAGGCGAGATGCTCAAAACGGACGGCCCTTTTGGACCACCTTACTTCGCCTCCTAGCTCGCGCACGCGGTCGACAAGGAGGGACTGCAAGCCCGCACGCTCAAAGTACATGGCGCCCATCTGCATGTCATGGGACCAGAACCCGTTGACCATCGTTTTGAGGTGCGTGAGCGGGGTGTCCGCGTCACGATCCAGAGACGAGGGCCCGGACCAGAGGGTCAGGTCGCCGCATTCGTAGCCGTGTTTACGGATGGCGTCGCCAAGGCCGAGGGCCAGGAGGGAGTGTAAGCCGTTTGGGAGGAGGGCCACCGAGGCGCCGGCACGCTGATGGTTGGTTGATGGCGAGGATGGAGACGAGCCTCCACCACCGGTGACCGGGGCTGGTGCCGGGGACTGGTCGAACAGAACCGGACGAAAGAGGGTACGAAGAACGGGGTGGGACAGGAGGTGTAGCGCAAGGGTCGGGCCGGCGATAGCGGCGCCGCAGATACCCACCACTTTCGGTGCCGGAAGCGTCATTGCGGGGTTGAGGTTCGTACTGTCTGCGATGCGGGGAACGGAACGTGTTCACATTCCTCAAGCATGTGTGACGAGAACCGCGAGGGAATGAAGGCTGAGTGTAACCAAGTGCAAGTGTAGTGGGCGCGAGAAGTTGCTGATCGCTCGAGGACTTTATCATGACGGCTGTGTTACGAATAATGAATGTGCCCTCGTTTGCAAGCCTCGCTACCTTGGCTTCATGTCCTCTTTCAGGAAATACCTAGTGCATCTAAGCGGGTCGAAACCGGCATTCAACATTGCTAAGCTGATGCCACAAGAGAAAATCGTCCAATGGGAACTCCATGTTGGCCGTCAAGCGTGGCGCGTGGCTTCTATAGGGCCGCATCCTTCATCCTTCGTAACAATGGCGACGCCCGGGCCGTAAAGAGGCGATAGTCGTGTATGCCCGGCCCGGCATTGAGTCGCGACAGCATGTGTTGCGTTGTACCCTACGTCTGCTTCACAATATATCTCACTCGGATCAACAACTCCACGGAAACATACTGTGTCTATATTAGAATGATGAAAGATATGGCTGTCTTTTTGGAAGTGTGATAGGATCGAAGGTTGTTAGATGTCAAGATAGACTCAACGCAGTTCTGGGACATTGGTCTTAGTGCCCAATTTGACTGGCTCAGCCACAACAGTCCGATATGGTGTAGTGGCCAACATGATGCCCTCTCACCTTGTGAGAGGTTAGGCATAGCCCCGAGTTCGATTCTCGGTTTCGGAACACGTTCTTTTGGATTTTTGTTCCTTCTTCGATTTTACCTTCCTTCCTACAGAGGAACAAAAGGGATCAATCAATTATTGTTTGTCTGCTTTCTTTGCCATTGTTACTTACTTACTTACTACTACCATTCGTCCAACTTTATTTTTGGTGATTCTCTGGCGATCATCTTTTTGCTATATATGGCAGATTCGAAGATGCTGTCACGATTTAATGATGATATGCGAACTTGATATAATTAATAGAATCAAGCGAACAAGTCTCGGCCATGGACAACATCGGTAACAACCAGGTTCCAAGCTGGCCAGACGAGTCGCTCCTACAGTCACGTTCCTGGGATCATGTAGTACCAAGTTGACTCAAATATTGCGAGACTCGTACGAATCTACTCCATCTCTGCCAAGGACGAACCCGAGTCTCCCGTGTTGCGCAGCCAAGCTAAGGTTGCACGAGCGATAGGGATTCAAGGGAGCGAGGGTCAGCCATCAGCCGTCAACCGTCTGCGAGCCGGTTCAGCCTCATCCGCCAAAACCAGGACCGAATTCCCCGTTCCCGTCATGCCCTACCGGGGAAGCACGTTCCAAGCAGAGGCCATTGTGAAAGCTAGCGCGAGACAAAAACAAGGTAAGCTTGACCGTTCCTTCGCCGATCACTCGTGGCCCGTCAAGGGTCGCTTGGACCGTTTGTCTTATGACAGCCGCCCCCTCGGACGAAAATAGCTACCGGCCAAAGGACGGATCAGCGTGCTGCTCGGGGGATGGATAGCGAAGAAAAGGTGACTCCATATCGACAAGGCAATTAAGACCCCCACCGCGAAGAGATTTCAAACATTGGAGAAAAGATCACAATACGAATAGTGTAGGGTCACCGCCAAAATGAAATAAATAAAATAAAAAAAACCAAAAAAATCCCGACCACCGGGGCGGGGCGGGGCGGGATCGGCGCCCTACGTGTACGGATACACTCTCAGGAAATTGGCGGCAGAGAAACCCTCCCTCTTGTACGAAATGCTTTCCCCTATCGGGCTCATTTCCGGACGGGGGCCCATGAGCGGGTAAGAAGAAAGAAAGAAAGAAAGAAAGAAAGGAATAAAGTAATAAAGTAAGAAAAAAAAACCCCCCGAATGAACAAAACAAAGAAGCCGATTGCCGGTATTCCCACTCTGACTTGCATCCATCGCAAAAGTCGGAGCCGGTCAAGAAGACGCCTCCCTTCTTCGCGATAGCAATATGGCGGCAAGATCAACGCGTCCGTCCCCCTCCGCTTCACAATTTTCGATTCGCGCGATTCGCCCCAAGGGGACCGCAAAGGACGAGCGGTGCCGCGGAAACTCGAGGTAGACCTTGCAATCCACACCGTGATCCACCCATCTGGCCTATTGAGATCTCTTCCCTCGTCGTCCTTGTTCAAGTGCGGCGCGTACCACAGCTGGGACGGGCGTGCGCTGTCCGTCCTGTCCCTGCTGGGCCATGCCGCCCACTGTCCGTCGATCGCCTGAGCGGATGGGAAGCAAGGGGAGCAGGCTATTTCATATCAAAAGACAGGGGGGGAGAGCACAACCACCACTACACCAAGCCTGTTCCAGACATTCATGTGCCGCTCTCAATGTCGGCACTGACGAACCATCTAACGCACAGGAGAGAGAGAGAGAGAGAAAGAGAGAGACATACTACATACTATTTAGTGCACAGTATTACGGTACGTACGGCAGGCGCATGGAGTCTCAGACATACCTCAGTCCGCGTCCGCTGTGGGTAGCCACATAGCGTCCCTTGCCTCCTTGTCTTATTGCCTCGCTAGGTATTTGCCTGCTTGCCATCTGCGGTCGGCGATCGCCCACCAGAGAGCGCAGCCCACAGCCGGCGCGCGGAACGCATACACGCACACGCGGTACGACCCTACGATGCACGGGAACGGGGGCCGTTTCTTGATGGAGAAAAGCTGTGCGCGTGTCACGTGTGCAGTATGCTTGTGTTGTTGCTGCCAAATCAGCCATCTTGGCACAATCTCGCTCAGCGTTCTGCTGGAGCCGACAGTCGGTCCTCTCTGGATCATCATATACCCCCCCCCTATTTCAGCTGTTCAGGTGTGGAACGGCCGTCTTTTTCGTTCGCCCGTCCGCACCGTGTCGAGAGAGGCGGACGGACACGGGCAGGCCCCCCTCGCAGATACGTGTGCAAAAATACGGCGGGTGGGTGGGGAGGGCTGGCTGATTGTAGCTCCCCAATTGGTCCCCTTGCAGAAAAACAAAAGGAACCTTTGGCATATCGAGCAGCCGGGGGGGATCGGTCCGGTTTTCTTTTTATCTCAATGCAAGGAACGGTGTAAGGTACCTAGTGGAGATGGTGTGTTCGTACCGAGTCTCACCTCACCCGCCAGAGCCGACTTGTCCGAACCGAACGGATTACCTAGACTGCGCAGGCAACAACTATTACGGATATTCTGGTACGGGTACAGATCCCTATCGCCTCCTTCAAGCCCCCCCCCCCTTTTTTCCCCTTCTCTTATTCCCGGGCGTAGGAAAGAGAGGGTCTTTTTATTTATTTTTATTTTTTATAATTTTTACTGTACCCTCAGGGACCTCAAGGGAACCCTAGACGCGACAACATGGCCCCACGTCTTTTATGCTCAGAGATGACGGTAATCCCACCACACCTTCTCTCCTCGGTGTGTGTTGCTTGCTTTGTTGTTTTTGTTTTTGTTGCTGTTCGACTTCGCGTGGTGGCGGTGCATAACCAACACAACGGCCGGACGTTTCCCCCACAATGCCGCCCTTCTCCCTTGATAGATGAAAAAAAGAAAGGAAAAAAAGAGAAGAAAAGAATCAAGGGAGGTATAAAAATAATAACAATCAACTAACTGTAGTGACGAGATGTTTACATTGCTATCCATGTGGGCAGATCATGTGGCTTTGCACCTCCTTACCTTATGCCAAAAGCTCCGTTCTAAACGCACTGTAATCCTTGACGGCCGAAACCGACCTCGCCTAGCGCGTCTTTCATGTCTCAGTTCGCACCAGACACCCAACCGAAGAGCCGGTTGCCGCCGCCATCGTGAAGGCCCTTCGAGCGGCACCGAGTCCGATGACATCTTCACAAAAATCGCAAGCCACAGTTCAACATGCATCCTAGTGGTTACCTATGTGTGTATTGGGGGGTCGGGATTGAATGTTTTCAACCTTGATATTTACGACTTGGGTCTTGGATCCGAAGGAGTCTGATATCTCTAACCAACAAGCGAACTAGCCCTTTTGGCTACTTACACGCATACATATAAAACTGTGACTGCTGCTGCTTTTGACTCGTATCCACCCCAAAAAATAAATACCAAGGTTCATCATGGTTTCGCCGTATGAGATGATTGGGGGGTGTTGAACAACAAACAAGTACGAGAAAGATAGATTGCTCACCAGACCCACGTGAGAGCGATTTGGTGGGATCCCGGGGGGCAAAGAAAAGGGGTGAACGGCGTGCGCAAGGATAATACAAAAAAAAAACCAACCAAAGACCGGTAAAGGGATGTGATGATGCGCTGGGGCCAGAGTCGTCCGTTACTATCCCACAAACAGAAACAAAACACTCGAACGTGGAGTTTATTATAGTAAAAAAAAAAACAATCAAGCGTTGTGCCCGGCTCGCAATGTACTCCATAATTTCGAGGCTGCCCGGGTTCTTTTTCTTCTTGCCTTCTTCTCACTTCTCCTTTCTTCCCTTTTACAACTCATCAAAGAGCGGACTTTCCCTTCTTTTTGCTTACGCGAGGAGAGCAAATGAGGCGGCCATGACGGAGGCCAGGACCAGCGTCAGGCTGCCGCCAAGGCCAGCAGCGGCGTTGTCCTTGCCGGCCTCCTTGGTGCCGTTGGCGCAGATCGAGGTACCATCGAGCACCGACACGGGGACGACGGCCTTGGGCTCGCCCTTGTTCATGAACAAGGTGACGTTGCCGGTGCCGTCGGCGGTGCTGGTGGCGCACGAGAGAACCTCAACGACCTGGTCACCCGGGTTGAAGCCGCCCATGCTGAGCGTGTACGAGTCGCCCTTGGAGCTCTTGTTGGTGATGCAGAAGACGACCTGGGCGCCGTCGGGGCCCTTGCGCAGGCACAGGTGCGTGCCCTCGACAAAGAGCTGCTCAGACGGCGTCGTAGTGAAGGCGCTGTTCATCTTCTGCAGCTGGTTGCGCGTCTTGAGGAGCGTAGACGTCATCGTGTAGAGGGGCGCCTCGGTGTCGTACTTGGACTGCCAGAGGGGCTCGCGGTTGAAGGGGGTGGAGTTTCCATTGAAGTGCTGCTCCTGACCCTGGTAGACTATTGACACGCTTGTTAACAACCTCGCATGTCTATGAACTAGAGGATGAGACGGGAGGAGGGGGCCTTACCAGTGGGGATGCCGTCAGTCAAAAGGATGTAAGCCATGGCGTTCTTGGCAAGGGCCATGTCCTCGTCGCGGACGGCAAAACGAGGCATGTCGTGGTTCTCGACGAAGGATCCGAGGGCAAAGATGTCGGTGCAACCCTCACGGGCTTGGGAACGCCAGTCGGCGAGCGAGTTCATATCGCCGCCGAAGAAGACGCTGTTGAGGGGGTAGTACTCGACATAGTTGGGCATACCGGGCAGCAGGTTCAGGGTCTGGTAGCGGCAGAAGTCGTTGGGGTAACCGGTCAAGACCTCGCCGAAGGCGAAGACTCCGGAGGCGTTGACAAAGGTGGGCAGGAAGGCGTCGTTGACGTGCTTGGCGGCGTCGATGCGAAGACCGTCGATGGAGTAGTTGGAGACGAGCTCCTTGATCCACTTGCTGAACTCGGTGACGACGGGCTGGGTCTCGGTGGCCAGGTCGGCGAGGGCGACGCCGTAGGGGTACAGCCAGCAGTCCTGGTAGTCGGTGCTGTTGTCCCACTCGGTCACGTTGCAGTAGGGGTGGAAGTACTTCTCGTCGTTGAAGGGGTTGAACTTGGTGTAGTCGAGCTTGGGCGGGACCGAATCGAGCTTCTGGACCATGTTGTTGACGACGACGTCGACCATGATATACATGTCACGCTTGTGCATCTCAGCGATGAGGGCTTCCAAGTCCTCCTTGGTGCCGAACTTGTCGTTGAGGGCATAGTTGTCGAGGGACCAGTAGCCGTGGTAAGCCTCACCGACGGCGGTGTTGTCATCAATGTTCTTGACGATGGGGCTGATCTGGACGGCGGTGAAACCCATATCTGCACGGCGTTGTTAGTCGTGGTGCGTTGCTCGGGCGAGAGCGGATGTCGTGATTCGCCGTCACTAACCTTGGATGTAGTCGAGCTTGTTCATCAGACCCTTCCAGGTGCCGCCGCAGAAGTCGTACAGCTGGCACTCGTGGTCTGTAGAGCCGTCATCGTGGGCATAACGGTCAATCATGACCTGGTAGATGGCTCGCGACTTCCATTCTTCGAGGTCGGCGGCCGAGACCAGGGCGGAGAGGGCGGAAAGGGCTGCCCACGCAAACGTTGAGGTACGCATGGCTGATTAGGCTTTGCTGTGAGAGTGGGATTAAACGAGGGACTGCGCCGCGGATGGGCGACGATGAAACGATTTGACTTTGCGCTTTGCGTGTGAGCGTGGTGAAAGGAATGAATAGGGTCAGGTAGGTTGCGGGCGCGCACACAACACGATATAGAACTTTTGGGTGTGTAGGTAGGATGGACCGTCGGACTTGTCGGGGACGGAGAGACGAGCTGATGGATGGGGGATCCCTTCAGTGAATTGTAGCGAGTGACTGGTCCTTGGACGCCAGACTGGACTGGTGGACTGGATCGGGAAAAGGGGTGGGAAGACGGGGTAGATTAAGAGAGTGAGTAGGAAGCAACGTGGAGCCGGTTCACGGCAAAAGAAGAGGGGCCAACCGCGTAGAGTCGACGTTGACACGAGAGGAGATCGGCAGAGAAGAGGGTGGGAAAGAATGAAAAGCGCGTGGGCAATGGAACTCTATGTGCATGCAGCCAGTCCAGTACCTTTTCTTCTTTTTTCTTTTCTTTCATTATTACTTACCTACCTACCTACTGTAGGTGCCTATGTGCGATGGTACGGATACAGAACCTGGCCTGGTACTACGGGGAGATCCGATGCAAGGTACGCGAGACAAACAGACAGACAAGCAGACAGCAAGGCGCGCAGGAGGAGGAGTCCCAAGCTTAGACACAAGAGGGGGCGCACTGGAACAGCAACAGCACACTGGCTTGGAAAAGGCTTGGAAAGGCCTTGAAGGAGATGAGGGTTGCCATACTCGGGCGCAGAAGTCAATGCCTCGGATCAGATGAGCGATGAGGCCCACTGGGGGAGGGGCGGACACGGCGAATAAGCATGGCCAACAGGTGGTCGATAGGAAATTGAACCCAAGCAGAGAATATTAGTGACTATGGGATACGATGGTCGCCACGGAGGCCAAGCCTGGGGTGTATGTGCGTGTGTGTGTGTGGAGGCATTGTGGTGCCCAAAGGGGAATAGTCAGGCGCAAGACAGCTCGACAAGAGGCGAGGAGACGACGGTTGTGTGCGAGTATGTTCGATGTGTGTGTATGCATTTATGTGTTTGTGTGTTTGGTGTACGACTGCCGCCAAGGGCACAGCGAAATGGACGGTATTTGTTGTGATTAAAACGCCGCCTACCAATGAGGAAGGATTGTACAGATGTGTCCAAGGAGCTACTACTTGCCCACTACCTACCTCTGCACTAGGTATGCTATGTGACTACTTATACGAGCTGCGCGCGCGCGCCTGTGTGTGTGTGTGACGTGATGTGCCGTAGGTAGATGCTAAGGCAATTAATTATTGGCAGGTCCTCCTTATAGTAGGTACTACTACAGTACCTAGGCATAGTAGGTTAGTATCTTTAGGTACCTACCGGCGGTAAGTTGGCAAGGTAGGGTTATCGCTGTGAGAGCGTCCCAATTTGCAAAAGCCTTGCTTGTTCTCCTGCCAAGGAACGGCAGCCAGCACGGCCAACGGTGCGGCCTTGGAAGGGACCTTGGAACCTTCCCCCCAACGGGCTTTGAGCTTATCCCGATGTGGTATGGTGGCACTACGGCAGTGGCATCAACGGCACTGTACATAGTAATAACTTTACTTGCCATCGTGCTAGCGAACTGTCATGCGCCCCGCGTCGTCAACGGTTGACGGACAGACACGACGGTGGTGCTGACGCTGCAAAAAAGGCCAAGGGTCGTTTGCGTACACCAATGCCAGACTAGGCAGGCGATCAAGCGATCCCGGGAAGTGAGCAGCTCTTGCGAGGGGTTCTTTGCGTCTCTTGATGGTCTCTCGGGGCGTGGTGCTTGACAGCCAGTGGCTGGCGGCCGCTTGATGCCATTGGCGGGTTGCTTGATTGTTTGCTCGTCTGCGCCACAGGCCGACTGCCCGCCGCTCACCCATTCGCTGTCTCGATACTTAATTGAAATGCGTGATTGACGTGATTGCCAATTACCTACGGTCGGCCACATCCTTCCCCCATGCGCAATATCTAGTGTACATTGCACTTTCCCGCCAGGGTGGGATGGATGGATGCATGGCAAGCGCTACGCTGTGTTTTAGGGTGCTGTTACTGCCAGTTACCGACGGTAGCAACATAGCCGTGGGCGCCGAGGTGACTAAGCCACCCATCGCGACCTCCCGATTTGGAAACACCTCGCTCGGCGCAGTTTCCGCCGTCACGGTCGATCGAACTCGATGGAACTGGAAGGCTGCTGGGTCATAGCCGAAAATACCTACTACGTGTACTGAGCAGCGCCTGCTCCGTACTCCAGCTCTATAAAATCAGACAGGGAGTTCCCTCATTGTCAAACAGGCGGGTTTCTAAACCGGGCTCTTTTGCTTGATGGCCCTCCTGGATGGGCCTTTCTCCTTCCTCCTGAAAACCAGAAATGGCCGTGAGAAGCATGGGCAGACCCGGACACCCACCGTGTCTGGTAATTATGAGACACGCTGCTAGGAAGACCAAGGGAGAGAGAGGAAGTGAAAAATAATAAAACACCGATAATAATAATAATAAAAAAAGACAACGCCACCCCAAGAATAAGATCAAAAAAGGGGAGCTTGCAGGGCTTTGGCCTTGCTCAGCTAGCCAGCCTTCTGGCCTTAGGCGAACATGGCCCCCCGTAGCGAAATCCCCGTTTCTTGCATTTCTCCTCAGCACCTCCTTCCCTCCGCCTGCCCGGTTTCAGTGCGCCCAGGATGCCCAGCGCCGCCGACCAACGCGCACAATGTTCAACGGCGCGCCGAGTCGTCATCGTCACCCGCGTCTCATCTCTGACTCGTCCGTTGAACACTGACTGCCCTCTTGCTGCATGCTATGCAATACCCGATTGCTAACCATGGCAAGAGCTGCGCTGCATGTTAATGGGAGAAGAGCAGGGGTGATCCCTGCCACACACCGCAAAAGTGCAGGTGCAACTCCGGCCCCTGTAGGCTAGACCAGAGATCCCGGCCGACGTCGTCCCATTGTACACTAGGATAACTTCCTCGTGCCCAAGTGGATATCGTAAGTGGGGTTGATACCGGACACGCTCCAGTAAAATAGAACCGAGTGGGACATGTTCCTCTTGCCGGCGTGGAAGGTGGGAGGCGTCAGGAAGGCGCGCTCAGTGGACAGTCATCGGAGTACTGAGGGAAAACGGGTGGATGCGCCACAGATGTGTGGCTGGTGAGGTCGGAACGATGGCGGCTGATTGGCCAAGATGACCCAGACCTGACCCATTATCCGACCCGCCCACCTCTGGGTGGCTCGGGATATTTTGCAACGACACTCTCACTGTCCAAAAAGAAAACCCTTTTTCTCGCTACTGCGGACGATACGGCTCACCCAGTTTTCCTCACCTGCTGGCCGACTCTTCTTGTGACGCTCAGTAAGGAGGATACTGCATCGGCAAAGAGTATCATATGCATACCTACTAGGTGCTTGCCCGCTTGCTTGCTTGCTTGCTTGCTTGCTGTGCCACCAATGTCACCACCGTCTGAACGCCAGCCGGGATTTGCTTTTTTTGTTCTTGCTTTTGCAAATCCTTTCATCCTGCAGCCGCCATGATCGACTTGGTCTCCTTTGCAGCCGGGCGATGTCACAGCTATGATTCGACAGATGCCCCCAATCTGGCTTGATCTTGGCCCAGCCCACTCACACCAGAACAAACCTGTTCTCTGCCTTACGGGGAACTGGCTGCCAACAACGGTGGAAGGACTCCTAGAAACCATCGCCAGCCGAGCATTAAACCTTTGGGCAATGCGAGTTTAGATGAACCCCTTCTCCATGGCTCATCGTTGCGCGTCTCAGCATGCCTCCGCCGCGCCTTGCTCGACGGGCCCTGCCCTTGAGCCTCAATCGTCCCGACCGGGAAATCGCTGCTTCTGGATAATCTTCGAAAGCAAGCATTATTCGCCCTGGGCAGCCCAGTTCGTCTCCAACGCCTCGTATTCTCTTAGGGGGGGAGCAGGAGGAGGACCACACAAAGTAAAACTGACTCGATACAACACAGCACGCCCACTGGCCAGGGCCGATTGACAGCGGGTGCCTCGACCGACGAACTCAACCGACTCGACCAACAAGAAGCACCGCACCGTGCTGGCCTATCCTTGGTCTTCAACACGAACCCCTGCGCCTGCTGGCCTCGGGCCACCGTATTGGTCAGTCTCTGCTGTGGGATTCGACAAAAAGGGCAATCCAAGACGGAGTACGCCAATCTCCCATCGCCCTTATGGTTCGCTGCTAACCAGGCATTTGCCTGCACCCTATGCATATCCATATTCCAAACTTCGTATAGCCAGAATTAGCCCCAACCACCCCGGAGTCACATAGTCATGGTACCACAGAGAGGGGTTTCCGGGTACCTCTCTCTCTCTCTCTCTCTTGTTCTCTAATTCTCTTACGCCCTCTTGAGGGAAACTGGGGAAGGATGAAGAGCTAACGATTCGGCTGGGCCGTTCCTGCAGAAAGGGCACACCCCCCCCCATCGCCATCACGGAATCAACGCCCTGCGGCATGCATCCCACTCTAGCCCCTCCCCTCCCTTCTTCTCCCCTTTCCGTAGACCGCGAAACTGGAGCCTTGGGAGGCGAGGCGGACGGGATAGATCCTTCTTGGACTCTTCTACGGCCCCAGCCACTCTGGAGTCCGCTAAGTATGGCCCATGCCTGCACTTTTGCCTCTGTCCATGTCTGTGCCTCCCTACCAGTGATCCCCTTTTCCGCCTCCAGCCTGGGGCATATTGCATTTTGGGCTGACCCAAGCTCCCGCGAGATTACCCCCTTTTCAATCGGTACCAACGTGGTGTTGACGGCCGAGTTTTCTTCCCATCCGTCCCGCGCCTTGCCTTGTGTCTCATCCCGTCATTCGTTTTTGCTTGCTTGCTGGTCTGCTTCGCAGCCTTTCTCTCCTCACCCCCATCCCACCATCACCATCACACTCCTTGGAGCTTCACTTCGTCACTCATTCCTGGTTCATTCTTTTTTCTTTTGCTGTACAGTTTTGCTCACTCGCCCCTCCAGGCGAGTAAGAGTCGCAATGTCTAATTCCGTATTGGCTTGGGCAATTACACTCCTTACCGCCTCATCAACAGTCGTTTCTGGCCTCAGATACACCGCGAGCGAAGCCGATTACAACCTCAACCAGAACAGGTTAGCAACCAACCCATACGAATACTCGGGAAAGAGAGAGAACCACACATTCTCCAAATCGCCAGAAAACTGGCGGTTCCCCTACTACACATTATTCATCGACCGTTTCGTCAACGGCGACCCCGAGAACGACAATGCCAACGGCACGCTTTTCGAACAAGATCCCTTGAGCAACCAGCTTCGCCATGGCGGAGATGTGGCCGGGCTCGTCGACGCCTTGGATTACATCCAGGGCATGGGAGTCAAGGCCATCTACATCGCCGGTTCCCCCTTCATCAACCAACCGTGGGGAGCTGATTCTTACTCGGTACGAAAATACTCCTCTGCCCGTGACCGGCGCGGCAGGACCTGGACAGGAGCGCTGACAGAAGCCTTAGCCACTAGACCTCACCCTTCTTGACAGGCATTACGGTAATATCACGGCATGGCAAGTGGCCATCGACGAAATTCACAAGAGGAACATGTACGTGGTCATGGACCAGACCATGGCGACGTAAGTATCTGATTGTCCGTTACGGCTTTGCTGTCACTCACTGTTTTCTTCTAGCATGGGTGATTTGATCGGATTCGAGGGGTACCTCAACACATCGACACCGTTCAAGACCGATGAGCACAAGGTCCAGTGGAAGTCATCTCGACGATACCTCGACTTCGACATTGGCAACGAGTACAACGAATCCTGCCAGTACCCGGCTTTTTGGTTCGAAGACGGCAAGCCCGTCGCCCAAGATGTCGTGTCCCAGCTAAAGGGCTGCTACAACAGCGATTTCGACCAATACGGTGACATTGAAGCTTTTGGTGTTTTCCCCGACTGGCAGCGTCAATTGGCAAAGTTCGCGTCCGTGCAGGACCGTCTTCGTGAATGGGTTCCTTCGGTCCGCCAGCGTCTCGAGCTCTACTCGTGCATGACCATTCAAATGCTTGACATCGACGGCTTCCGTATCGACAAGGCCGTCCAGGTCACCGTCGACGCGCAGGCTGAGTGGAGTACTGCTATGCGCAAGTGTGCCAAGGACCTCGGCAAGGATAACTTTATGATTGTGGGCGAAATCACCAGTGGTAACACCCTGGGATCCATATATCTCGGACGTGGCCGAACCCCGGAGATGGCTTCATCGTTGGAGCTCGCGCAAGCCGTGTCCCTCGACCCGACGAGTAGCTCTGCTTCTGGCAGCTTCATCCGTGAAGCTGGGAAGAGTGCTCTTGATGCCGGTGCCTTCCACTACTCCATCTACCGTTTCATGACCCGCTTCCTCGGATTGAGCGGTAACCTTGAGGCCGGTTATGATCTCCCGACCGATTGGGTTCAGACCTGGAACCAAATGATTCTGACCAACGACTTTTACAACGCCAACACTGGCGAATTTGACCCTCGTCACCTCTATGGTGTTACCAACCAGGACGTTTTCCGCTGGCCTGCCATTGAACTAGGAACGGAGCGCATGCTTCTCGCCTACTTCATCACCACCCTGCTTCTCCCCGGCTCCCCTCTTGTTTACTACGGCGAGGAGCAGAGCTTCTACGTCTTGGACAACACGGCCGAGAACTACGTTTTCGGTCGTCAAGCCTTCTCCCCCTCCCCAGCTTGGATGATTCACGGATGCTATGCGGGCGATAACTCCGTCTACGTTGGCTGGCCCGTCGCCAAAGGCAAAACGGGCTGCAAGGATCCAACCGTGGCCTACGACCACCGCGATCCCTCAGCATCGATCCGTAATTGGATGAAGCGCCTCTTCGCTTTCCGCGACAAGTACCCCGTCCTCCAGAGCGGCTGGCTTCTCGAGCAGCTGTCGAAAAAGACGCAAGGTATCCAATACAAAGGCAGTAGCGTCCCGACCGAGACCGGAATTTGGAGTGTCGCGCGTGGCTACCTGAGCAACCAGAAAGAGACGGGTGACCCGGTCTGGCTGGTTTACCACAACAGCCCCAATGAGACGACTTACGAGTTCGACTGCAGCAACGAGGCGGATGCCTTCCTCTCACCCTTTGACGAAAACTCGAAGGTCAGGAATCTGTTTGACACCGGCGGCGCCGGCGCCATCACCCTTGAAAGCTCGACCAAGGACAACGGCTTCAACGGCAACGGCAAAAAGGCCGGCTGCATCAGCAGCATCACCATGACGCCCTTTGAGTTCCGAGCATATGTTCCCGACACGGAATGGATGGACATTGCGCCTTCCATCACCGGTTTCGAGCCTGGCCATGATGCTCCCATCGACTCGACCAATGCCAACGGCCAGATTCCCATCGCCTTGAAGTTTTCGACCGAGATGGACTGCGACGCGGTCACCAAGGCTGTTTCTGCTCGCGTCACTGTTGATGCCAACACCGAGACCGCCATCACTTTCGACACTCCTGTCTGCGGTGCCATGAATCCGATCGAAAAGGACTCTTATATCGGCGCCATCGCCTCTGTCTGGAAGTGGTCCGCCAACCTTCAGAACGTTCCCGACGGCATCGTCAAGATTACTGCCAACAACATCACCGCGCCTGGCGGTACGACGACCAAGGCCATTGATCATTTCCTCATCCGCTTCGGCAAGCCCTTCAACCCCGTCGTGTTCCCCGCTACTGCCAACTACTCGCGATCGCTCATGCAAGAGAGCGGCGGCGTGTACTACATCAACCACGCCGCTCCTGGTGCCACCAAGTTCCGCTACAGCACCAACTGGGGTTCCAGCTGGAGCAACTGGCAGTCGTACACCGGTGCCAGGCAGCGCATGGTTCCGCAGTCGTGGGACGGAACCGACCTCCAGAAGTGGAAGGGCGAGCATCTAATGGTTCAGTACTTCAGCAAGCCTCTCGGTTCGTCTTCCTTTGTCCAGCACTCCGATAGCAGTGATATCCCCTTCTCCCGCCAGTGGCCTCACATCTTCCTCCACGGGCCCTTTAACAAATGGGGTTACGATGCCGGTCTGCCAAACTTGATGACCCAGGTTGGCAACAACCTCTGGGAGCTGCATTTTATGTACGAATGGCCCGCACAGATCCAGTTGAACATCTGGGGCATCAACGCAGACAACCAACCTGACGCCTCCTTCATCTACGGCGACCCCAACGGCGACGGTGTCCTTGACCGTCTGCCCCCAAGCAGTTTGTCCGACAACGTTGTCAACTTGACCTCGCCACCCCCGATGCCTGCGCTTTCCTACAAGCTCGTCTTCAACGACGCCAACTTGAACTACGTCGCTGTTCCCGAGGGCAACATGTGGATTCAGATCATCTTCTTCTTCCTCCTCGGCCTCATGCCCATCGTCCTCGCGGGATTGGCCGGCTGGATCTACATGAAGGGTTTCTACCAGGTGAAGATCAACAAGTCAGGATTCTCCAAGAAGGGTTGGTTACCACTCAAGCTCGGGAATGAGTCCAACATTAACTTCGGCGAAAAAGGCAAAAGTCTCGAGATGTCCCAAATTCCTCCATCCCCTCTCTCGCCCGCTCCCGCTGCGGCTGCTGGTGGCGCCGCCCGGAGGAAGGTCCTCATCGCCACCATGGAGTACAACATCGACGACTGGAAGATCAGCATCAAGATCGGTGGTCTTGGTGTCATGGCCAAGCTCATGAGCCAGGCCCTCTCCCACGTCGATCTCATCTGGGTTGTCCCCTGTGTCGGCGACGTCGACTACCCCCTGGAGAACGAGGCCGAGCCGATGTTTGTCGAAGTCATGGGCGATTCCTTCGAGGTCAAGGTCTACTACCACCAGTCCAAGAACATCACGTACGTCATCCTCGATGCTCCCATCTTCCGTCAGCAAACCAAGGCCGATCCCTATATCGCTCGCATGGATGATCTTGAGAGTGCCATCCTATACTGTGCCTGGAACAGCTGTATTGCCGAGTCGATCCGCCGCTTTAACGTCGACATCTACCACATCAACGACTACCACGGCGCCGCCGCACCCCTCTACCTCCTCCCGCAAACCATCCCCGTCTGCCTGTCCCTGCACAATGCCGAGTTCCAAGGCATGTGGCCCATGAGAACCGAGGAAGAGCAAAAGGAAGTCTACAGCGTCTTCAACCTGCCGCCCAAGGTCGTCAAGGACTACGTCCAGTACGGTTCGGCCTTCAACCTCCTGCACGCTGCCGCCAGCTACCTCCGCATCCACCAGCGCGGTTTCGGTGCCGTTGGTGTGTCCAAGAAGTACGGTGATCGTTCCCTGGCCCGTTACCCCATCTTCTGGAGTTTGAAGAACATTGGTCAGCTGCCCAACCCCGATCCCTCTGATACTGGCGAATGGAATCCCGAAGAGGACATCTCCAGCGCCCAGGACGAGATCAAGATTGATGAAACGTTTGAGGCCAACCGAGCCACTCTCCGGAGACAGGCTCAGGAGTGGGCCGGTCTTGAAGTCAACCCGAACGCCGATCTCTTCGTCTTTGTCGGTAGATGGAGTTTGCAAAAGGGTGTGGACTTGATCGCCGATCTTTTCCCCAGCATTCTCGAGAAGTACCCCTCTGTCCAGCTTATCGCCGTCGGCCCCGTCATCGACTTGTACGGCAAGTTCGCCGCCCTGAAGCTCAACAAGCTCATGGAGAAGTACCCTGGCCGTGTCTTCAGCAAGCCCGAGTTCACCCAGCTGCCTCCCTACATCTTCAGCGGTGCCGAGTTTGCCCTCATTCCTTCTCGTGACGAGCCCTTCGGTCTGGTCGCCGTCGAGTTCGGTCGTAAGGGTGCTTTGGGTGTTGGTGCCCGTGTCGGTGGTCTCGGTCAGATGCCTGGTTTCTGGTACACCGTCGAGTCCATGAGTCCCACTCATTTGCTCCATCAGTTCAAGCAGGCCATTGCCTCTGCTCTCAGCTGCAAGCCCAGAAAGCGAGCCCTCATGCGCGCTTGGAGTGCCAAGCAGCGTTTCCCCGTCGCGCAGTGGATCAGGCAACTCGACACGCTCTACAACGAGTCGATCAAGATCCACAACAAGGAGGCTGCCAAGCAGAAGAAGGCCGGCGGCATCCGCAACCTGACCGACTCCTCGTTGAGGTCAAGCATGGCCGTCAGCGAGTATGGCTCGGAACTCACACCTGCTGGCTCAAGAGCCCCATCACCTCTGCCCCCTCCGAGCCGGATTGCCAGCCCGGCGGGCCGCATCAACTCGCCTGATCTGGGCACACCCAACATGCCGTGGAGCACCATACCCTCTTCGCGCCGCGGCTCCTTCTCGAGCTCCATCAATGGCCGCGACAGCATGCTCGCACCCCGCGAAAGCATGTTCGCCACCGGTCGTGAGAGCATGGTCAGCGTGGACAGCTTTGCCATGCGCGCCCAGCACGACGCTTCATCTCCCCAGACCCCCGGCCTCGATGGCCTTGGCCTGCCCCAGCCGAGCTTCTACAAGCAGCAGCGCAACAGCTCCCAGCTGTCGTTGCCGGATGTCGTTGGTGACCGCCACGACCTGAAGCTGCAAAACGTGGACCAGAACTTCACCGATAAGAATGGCGAATTTTATGCCGAGTTCGAGCAGATGCTCAACAGTCTGACGGCCAAGAACTCGGGCACTGACCTCTGCATCGAGAATTTCCTCAAGAAGAGTGAGAAGAAGTGGTTCGCCAGATACCGTGACGCCAAGCTTGGCCGAAGCGACCACAGCCGCTCGAGGAGTCCCGCGCCCAGCCGCCCGGGCTCAAGCAAGGGTCTCGGTGCCACCTTTGACGGAGACCGTGGTCGCAGCCGCACACCAAGCGGCCTCACCGCTGGCTCCCACTACGATGACAGCCCCGTCGACGACGAATTCCTTTTGGGTGACAACTACAACGCGCCCACTGGTCTCAAGAAGTGAGCTCGCCCGACCCTATTATACTTTTGCAGAGAAAGCTAACCCGCTCTAGATTCCTGTCCATCCGCATCGGTGACTGGCCCGTCTACGCCTTCTTCCTCTCTTTTATGCAAGTCATCTCCATCAACTCGTACCAGATCGTCCTCCTCACGGGCGAGACCAACCAAACTCCTAGCAAGCTGTACATTGTTGCCGCGACCTACCTCATCACGTCCATCTTGTGGTGGGTCATGCTCCGCTTGACCAAGTCCGTCTACGCCCTGTCGCTCCCTTGGGTCTTCTTCGGCACGGCCTTCTTCCTGCTTGGTGTGTCGCCTTACCTCGAGCCCTGGCAGAGCCGCGCTGCCATGCAAGATACCGCCACCGCTCTCTACTCGGCCGGCGCCAGTGCCGGTGCTCTGTCTTTCGCGCTCAACTTTGGTGACGAAGGTGGCGCCCCGACGAAGCAATGGATTACTCGCGCTCTCTCTGTTGCCGGTGTTGCTCAGGTGTACTCTCTGATGCTCTGGTACTGGGGGTCTCTTACGCACACCCCGGAGACGTCCCCCATGGCCTTCTTTGACGGCACCAGCATCCCCAAGGCTTTGGCTATCTGCGTTCCCATCGCCATCTTGCTTTGGGCCATCGGTGCAATCCTCTTCTTGGGTCTCCCCGACTACTACCGCCAGGCACCAGACAACATTCCCGGCTTCTATATTTCGCTCGTCCGCCGCAAGCTTGTCCCGGTCTTCTTCATCATGATCATCATCCAGAACTACTGGCTCTCGGCTCCCTACGGTCGCAACTGGCAGTTCCTCTTTGCGTCGCAGTTCATCCCTGGGTGGGGCGTCGTCTTGCTCGCCCTCGGCTTCTTCGTTATCCTCTGGTCCATCATCCTCTACGTCTTCTCCTTCTTCTCCGAGAGCCACACCTGGCTTCTTCCAATCTTCGCCATCGGCCTGTGCGCTCCTCGCTGGGCGCAGATGCTCTGGGGTACCAGCAGCATGGGCATGTACCTCCCCTGGGCTGGCGGCCCTGTTGGTTCGGCCATTCTTTCCCGCTGCCTCTGGCTCTGGCTCGGCCTCCTGGACAACATCCAGGGTGTCGGCTTCGGTATGATGCTGCTTGCTACGCTGACGCGCCAGCACGTTTTGGCTGTCCTCATCGGAGCGCAGGTTATCGGCAGTGCCTTCACGATGCTAGCGCGCGCGACGAGCCCCAACGCCCTGTCGCCCAACACGACCTTCCCCGACTTCTCCCAGGGACTGATGCCCGGGATTTCAAGTTGGTGGTTCTGGATCTGCCTGGGCTTCCAGCTGGTGATCCCCATCTTGTTCTTCAAGTTCTTCAGAAAGGAGCAGGTGTCAAAGCCGTAAAGGAGACACCATGCAAGAATGTGCGATGCGAAGCAAAAAAGAAAAAATACCCGGAGGCGCGGCTACAGAGCCGCGCCTCTTGTCATGTTTGGTCTTGGGGGATCCAGGGAGAGAGGATGGGCGGCACCGGTTCTCTCTCCTCCCCGATTTATGAACATTTTGGTTGTATAATGATGCATAACTTTCTTCCTGTTCTATATACACATGGCTCTTTGTCATCCCTCTCGCTAGCTCGAGGAAGCAAAAGGCGTTTTGTACCTAGCCACGAAATAAATAGGGAAAAGGGGAAGGGAAAGGAGGGGGCGCAGATGACGGCGATAAAAAGGGACCCCTTTGGCTGTCCTTGTCGCAATTGCTTCTCCCTCTTTTTCTGTCATAAACCCACGCTCACGTTTCCGAGCTGAGGCGGCGGGCAGGAGGATCTCTGATGGCACAAACACATCAACCGCCCGTGGAAAACCCACCATTTAGATTTTAGACTCAGCTATGTCGCTCTTTTTTTCTCACAATCATGAATAATAACCTTGCAACCCTATGGCATAGTTCCTCTCCAGGTGGATACCCAGTTGCATTTGAGGGAATATACGTAGTAGTCGCTGACAACGATGAAGAGATGGAGGCCTTCTGGGGCGGGATAAGGCAGGGGACTAAGACCGAAAGATACATTGCTTTTCCTTTTCAGATGTACCTACTACTAAGCTTCTTTTACCTTGTTATGTGATGCTCGGAATCCGAACGACTCTTGGCTGGAAAGAATATGATCCAGGCGAACGTACACACGAATGACACTCTTGTTGCCGTGACAGCTCGCAACGCAGGACCTGGACTAATACATGCAACCCATTCTGCCCAGAGGCTCTTCCTCAAAGAAAGGCCGGATGCCTCTCGGTGCAGCTTCAGTCGTCGTGATGATGGAGGCTAATCTAGGGGTTGGCCAAACCTGGGGTACCCCAAGTTCCCCCCCCCTCCTTTCGGACGGGAATAAGCATATAGGCCAAGGACCGGTCTCCTCACGACCGGATCTTCTAGTACACAGAGGCCCGTACGTAGATCATCAAGTCTTGGCTAGTGTCTTCGCATCGTAGAATACGAAGATGCGCTTCTCTAGCGTGCATGTCCAAAATTGGGAGCCAGCGCAGGGAAATAGATTAACGGGCTAACAGACCAAGCTCAAGATGGCAGGTCGGTGCAAGCAAGGCGCATTGGGGGTGGAACGATGATCAGAGGTGGGCCGGAATTGTTTGGCTTCAGCGGTGAGGTCGCCTCGGGGGTGGAGATGTTACTGGGACGACTGCCCAAAGGGGACAAGAAGCCAGGGTCCGCAAGTTTGTCGCGCGTACCGGGGCATCGACTTCAATACGAGATCGTCAACGGATCATGGCATCGTGGAAGGCGTGCCCAGGCCCCCCCCGGCATTGCGGGTTGTAGGCTGCAGAGGCTCATTAAAAGGTGCCTGGCGCCGGGCGAACAACGGGGAGAAAGAGAACAAGCCATCGGCTCTCGTCTCGAGTCTCGACATTCCACTCGTTCATTGTTCGACTATGCGTGTCGCGAGTGCCCTGGTCTCCGTGCTGGCGTTAGCCGGCACGGGCGCCGCCAAAGTCTCTCGGCGTGCCGCCGACGAGGACGTCCGCCCGTCCGACGATACCGTCGTCGCGCCCAAGAAGTTCATCCTTGAGCTCGAGCAGGTATGCAAAACTTGGCGAGACCGATCCCTGAAGGGGGGGGGGGGGGGGGGGGGGAGAGGGAGCAAGACGCTAAACATCCCGCAGGGAGCCGACAAGGACGAAGTGGTCCAGCACCTCCAGGCCATTCCTGGGAGCAAGGTCCTCAAAGTCTTCGACTCGTCCGTCTTCAGTGGCATCGCCGTCGAGTCCGACAGCGAGAACACGGACTCGCTCGAGGCGCTCGCGCCCGTCGTCAAGGCGTGGCACTCTACCCGCATCCAGCTTGCCCCCGTCGTGGCCGGGGAATCGTTCAGCGACGACGCCAAAGCGCTCAACTACTCAATCCACTGGATGACGGGCGTCGATAAGCTCCACGAGCAGGGGGTTCTGGGGAAAGGCGTCAAGGTCGGCGTTGTCGACACCGGTACCGACTACACTCATCCCGCCGTAAGCTTCGCCCCTCCGCGTGCTTTGGTAGACTGCTGGCTAATCGGCCACAGCTTGGGGGCTGCTTCGGAGAGGGCTGCAAGGTTGCTGCTGGACATGATTTCGTGGGCGACGACAGTGAGTTGAGCATTGGATACCAAAGAGAAACAGTGACTAACTACATCAGACAACTGGCCCTACCCCGGCGCGGAGAGACAGCCCGACGCGGACCCCCTTGATTCCATCGGCCATGGCACCCATGTTTCCGGCATCATTGCCGGTAAGAGCACGGAGTGAGTCTGCTATCCAGACAGACCAAGCGAGTCCCGACTTACTCTCTCGTCAGATTCACAGGGGTCGCGCCTCAAGCCACCATCTATTCTTACAAGGTCTTCGGGCCCTCGGTAATAAGTGCTCGCCCACAATTAACGATGGCCTCTCCCACTGACTCTACTCTGTTGAACAGGAAAGTACCAACGAGGAGGTCTTGATCGAGGCGTTCCTTCGCGCCTTTGACGACGGCGTCGACATCATCACGGCCTCCGTCGGCTCCACCGGCGGCTGGTCCGACAACGCTTGGGCACTCGTCGCCTCCCGCATCGTCGAGCAAGGCGTCGTGGTCACGATCGCTGCCGGCAACTCGGGCGATCTGGGCGCCTTCTTTCCCAGCACCGGCGCCGCCGGCAAGGAGGTCCTTGCCGTGGCCTCCGCCGATGCCTACATCGTCTCGGCCCGCCAGTTCGCCGGCACCTTCAACCTCGATGGCCAGTCTAACCGGACCATCCTCGGGTACCGTCCCGCCCAGGAACAGTTCCCCGCCGAGATCGTCGGCTGGCCCATCGTCCCCGTCACGCTTGACATCAACGTCGAGAACGACGCCTGCCAGCCGCTGCCTGAGGGCTTGAACTTCACCGGGACGATTCCGCTCGTGCGGTTCGATGAGGGGTGCGATGATTACATCAGGCAGAGATGGGTCCAGGAGCGCGGGGCCAAATTCATGCTCTTCTACATGACAGACAGGCCCATTGTCGGGTTTTCCGGCACCGGCTGGGAACAGAGCAGATGGGGTCTTCTCTCCAAGGACGCCGGCGAGGCCATCGTGAAGACCGTCATCGCCGGCGGCAACGTCACCGCCGACTTCTCCCTGGATCAGAACAACAGCTACGTCGCCATGTACAACGCCGGCGGCGGGAAGCCCTCTCTGTTCACCTCTTGGGGCGGCACCTTCGACCTCGAGCTGAAGCCCGACATCACCGCCCCCGGAGGCAGGATCTTCGCCCCCTTCCCCGGCAATAAGTACCGCGACCTCTCGGGCACCTCCATGGCCTGCCCCTACGTCGCCGGCGTCGCCGCACTGTACATTGGCGCTCACGGCGGCCGCTCCACGCACGGCGCCGGCTTCGCCAAGGCCCTGCACGCGCGCATTGTTGCCTCGGGCCGGGCAATTCCCTGGTCCGACGGAACCAACAAGGACTTTGGCTTCTGGGCCCCTCCCATCCAGGTCGGGAGCGGCCTCATCGACGCCGTCTCCGTGCTCAACGCGACTTCGCAGCTGTCGGGCGAGACAAAGTTCGCGCTCAACGACACGGACCACTTTTCGCGGTACCACCAGGTCGACATCACCAACACCGGCGCTACGGAGCTCGAGTACGTGTTCCAGGTGCAGGATGCCGCGGGCTTCGAATCGTACTGGACCGCGGACGCTGCGGACGCCGGCATCAATCTCGTCCCTCGCATCAAGGATCTTGTCGAGATCGAGCCGTTCAAGATCGGCACTCCCGTGAGCGTGCCTTCGGGCTCGTTCAAAGTCGGGCCTGGTCAGACCAAGACTGCAAAGTAGGGTTCCCTCAACGACCGTCCCGGGGTCGGTAACGACGAGCTGACGTGCTTGCCAGGTTCTCTTTCGACATCCCGCAAGGTCTAAACGCTACGAGACTGCCTGTTTTCAGCGGCAAGATCCTCATCGGTTCCAGCGCTGGCGATGTGCTTTCTGTACCCTACTATGGTGCGGCTCAGCCCCTCCGCTTTGACTCAACCGTTGCTAACCATCCATCCACCCGCAGGCGTCGGCGGAAGCGTCGAGCATAATATCGCAGACATGTACTACACGTCCTTGGGATACCCCCGTGCCGTTTCTGGCGTTAACCGAACATCGCTGTCCGACAAGTCGAGGTAGGCTCCCGATATCCCGTGCTGAGGAGACCACCATGACTGACCCGGGATGGCTCAGCTACACTTTCGACCTCTCCCTCGAGAAGCAAGATTTCGTCAGACTTCAAGTCGCATTGACCTGGGGAACTCGCGAACTGCGCTGGGATGTAAGCGACTTATCTTCCCTTCCCCATACCCCCGCCTCGCAGCCGGAGAATTGCTGACGTAAACCCTTGTAGGTCTTCCAGTCCAGCTACCAGGAGCGTGAATGGGTCTACCCGCCGGTCGTTGGCCAGAACAAGTACGTCGGCTCCGTAGCCGGCTTCGACGTCTACAACGGCGTCAACTATCCCGTCTTCGACCCTGCCACCGACAGCGTCAACAACACCATCTCCTTCCCGCTGAAGGACCATCCCCGCGACTCACCCTACGAGTCGTGGTGGCTTGGGAAGCTGGCGGACGGGAGCCAGATCAAACCTGGAAAGTACAGGTCAGCAGACCCCAGACGCCGTCTCGTAGTGGTTTATGATGCTAACTATTGTGGCCAGGTGGCGCTTCGCCGCTCTGAAACCGTTTGCCGACCCCAAAGCGTCGGACAACTGGGATATCTTCGAGACTCCCGAGATTGAGATCTTGCCCCTCACCGGAGGCAACTCCACAGCCTCTCTCCGTCACCGAACGCTATACAGATAGATGCTGCTCGTTCCGCTCCGTGGACCAGTGATAATCTAGCTCCTTTTTCTCTGCAACGTGTGTGTGTGTGTGTGTGTGTGTGCCTATCGTCCAACAATAAATATCACTCCATCGCCACCAGTTCGTCATTGGCCGTCTCGGGCGTCTTATCGCCCTTGTGCTCGTCCTTGCCGAAAATGCCCTTCTCATCGAACCAGTTCACGTCCTGCTCGAGCGCGTGCTTTGCCAGCCTGTCCGCCTCCTTGTTCTCCTTCTTCGGCACCTGCCAGAACTCCACCGCCACGCCCAGCTTGCCCAGCGACATCATGGTGAGCATCAGGTTGTCCCACAGGTCCTCGTTCTTGACCTTCTCCCCCTTGGTGTTCTTCCACCCGTTGGCCAGCCACTTCTTCATGTGCGGCGGCTCCCCGCTCCGCCCGCCCGCCACGCCCTCCACCAGGTACGCCGAGTCGCTCTTGACCACGACGTGGTGCAGCTTGAACGGCGCCGGCGCCCTGCCGGCCCCGCGCGGGGACGGTAGCCCCTGCTGCGCGAGCCGCGCTGCCTCCATCAGCCCCGCGATCGCGGCATACAGGTCGGCGCGCTGCTGCGTGTGCTGCGGGCGGTCGCGGCTGTCGCTGCCGTCCGTATCGCGCATGACGTGGCCGCGGTCCGCCGCGTCCGGGATGCGGCAGGCGCGGTTGGCGACGTTGTTGGGGCCGAGGTAGACGCCGACGGCGGACCTCGTCGGCGGCTGGCCCGGGCTGTTCTGAGGGGGGCAGACGCCGTGGACGGCGACGACGAGGGAGTCGGTGTGGCACGAGGGCTTCTGGTCCGCCGCGGCTGGCGCTGCGTGGCAGCGGACGTGGAGGAGGCTGAAGTGGCCGGTGCCGCCGGGGATCTCCAGGTTGGTGGGATTGTCGCCGTAGACCTCGACATGGTCGGTCGGAAAGCGGCGGACAACGTAGCCGTCCGAGTCCGGCTCAACGAGCTGGCCGATGCGGTGGGGGGTGTGGGGATCGTGCTTCTGCTGTGCGCGACTCATTTTGGCGACGGAGGTGCAGTAGGGGTCTCTGGTGAGATTGAGTTGGTGTACCCGCGAGCCCCTGTCTATTTCGCAGTAATATATAGACCTGAATCTGCTTGAATGTGTGGGCGGGTGAAATGGCCGAGTGTGTGTAACAATGGCGGTGATTGAGGCTGATGAGTGAAGTGGAGAGGCGATGACAGTTCGAGGTTGAAAACTCAGGTACCTCTTACAATCGATAAGTCATCCACCCCCTCGGATTTTCACGGGCCCCGGGGCGTTCCCTTCTGTCGTCTCATACAAGTCTTTACTGAGTGGTACCCGAAGAGGGGGGAAATGGGAGTCGTCGGTGAATGAGCGTCGTCAATGGTTCATTTACAATACCGAAAGTCAATGAGGCGTTCGGCCTTTTCGGTGCTTGCCGCGGGCGATCGGTACCGTGGCGATCGGAGCCGGCAGTGGGAAAAGTGGGGAACACGGCACACTGACGGCCGCCCGGTCTTGCTGAGGGTGGTATGCGTCGGGGTCCTCCAGCATTCCTTGACGGAGGAGGGCGCCAGTTAGTCGGTAAGTTGAAGTTACACAGGAGCAATACTCCCTTCACAATATCAAACATAACCAATATGGATGCGACTTTTGTACATAGTCCCTAGCCTCGCCTAGTCTTGAGACTTCCCCTACCGTCTTATTCATGTTTTCGATCAATTCGACTCAAGCGCCTGCCTTGCAGTTTCCGCCAAGGCTGCTAAATCTCTTTCAAAACAATCCATTGTTTCTGGTTTTTATATGTTTGTTTGCTATTTTTTTAGTTGTTGACCATCCTCTACAGCTCCTCACCTGGTATCATAGCAAACACCAGACTAGCGCCTCCACCAGTGAACTAAGTGTCCTAGGTCACAATTTGCGAACTTCTTGCTTTACGAAGACAGCGCGCTATGGCCAAGAGAGGAATATTTCTTGTGTGTACCATGACTAACAAGCGGACGAGCACTTGTCTGTTCCCTGTCCTTCTTCAGAGAAAGCGAATTATCGCCGGCGCATACCTCTTTCGTGAGAAAGAGCAGCTTATATGTAAATGACTAACGACTCCCAGTTGAAAGGATCTGTTGTTTTCTAAACGAGAAGGAATGCGGAATCCTGCAAGCAACAACATGGTATGCAAAAGCATGAATGACATGGATGAGGCCTTGACCAATGTTCGCTAGTAATCCCGGCAGTCTATTTACTGACCAAGTACTCATTATACACAGTTTCGTCCAATTCCGAGTCCTGCATTCGCCGGCGACATGGCATTAGTCGCTGTATAGTATCCTGGTCAATCCCGCCTTCTTATGAAGCATTTTCCTCCTTGATTTCTCGTTCTCCAATTATATTCAGTTGGTAGCCAACTTACTCCAGTCAAACGGAAGAAATCTATAAGTCTTACCCTTTCCATCATCGGATATGCGGCACTCCGCCCTCAGACACTCGCCTATGCCCTTGTGATCCTTACAGCCGTTGCGTTTGAGGGCTTCAGCCTGTTGACCTGCCTCAACGTTGACTTCCCGCAGCGCTTGAACGATGCAATAAGTCGAGCCAGATCTCGAGTACTCCAAGAAGGCGTCAAATCCGGGTGTACCTCGCTGGGCGCTCAGGAGAGGAACGAGCTCGAGGAAGATGGACTTGTAGGTCGGGGAGTTTTCGCTTTCGGGGTCCTGAACGACATCGAACCTGTTTAGGTTGGATGTCAGTCTGATGAGTCGGCTCTGCCAGACGTGTGTGAGTGGGACGTTCTCAGAGACGGAGATTTTGCGACCTCTCTTGCGCGCCGTTATCTGCAAATCGAGGGGTTGTGGCGACTGCAGACTATTGATGGCCTGCAGAATTTCGCTGTGCTTCTTGTCGCTCTGAGTGTTGCTGTCATCACGACCTTTCGGGGCGTCCATGTGGTGGTCGGCCATTTTGTCCTCCAGCTTCTTGAGTCTAGCCTTGGTGTCGCTTAACTCATCCCGAAGGCCGGCGTTCTCTGCCTGAAGGCCGCCCTTCTCTGCCGCGTTCGTCAGCTGAGTGACTCGGAGGCCCTGCAGCTCTTGGTACAGGGCCTCTTTCTGCTCTTTCTCCGTGACTATCCGGGCCTCGATGAGTGTGTTCTGGTACTTGATGTCGTGCAGCTCCAGGCGGAGGTCTTGGTTCTGCTTCTTCTCGCTCACTAGCTCGGCTTCCAACTCGTTCTGCTTTTCCACTTCGGCCTGGAGCCTGGTATCAAACATCTCTCTCTCGTGGGTTTCGGACACACCAGCTTGTCGAGCGACCTCGAGGGTTTCCACCAGATTTTTCGCCTTGTGAAGGGCGGAAACAACTAGATTTATGTTGGGGCCATAGTCCTGATTAGTCTCAGCAGACTGTTGGGACGAGAACCGAACGACGGGCTGGCCAGAATCTGGTGTGGTGTATGGGGACGTCAAGACCCTTGGCGTCTGCTGGCTTGAAATTTTCTGGTTCGAGCGCGTCTGGGACAAGTTGGATAGTGCGGGCGAGTGATAGAAAGAGGATACGGGCATTCTCGTGGACCGAGGTTGTTGGCTGTCGAGTGGCTGTATAATGTGGCCGTGTCTATTGATGGGAGTTGAGGCGAGGCGCTGGATGCCCGTTGGATGGAAAGGCGAACTAAAGGGCGCGTCGCTTGAGACGTCGTAGTTACAGATTCCGTCTGGCTGGGGGAATTCAAGAGGTTTATCGACCGTTTGTCCAAAAGTGCCAAAGTCGGACGGCTCGCTTCGGATGGCAGGTGTTTGCTGGCTCTCTCGATTCTCTCTGTTGGTTCCCCGCGGTTCGGTACCGAGAATTTCTCCTCTGCCCCCTTCCTCCAGTCTATTTACTTCCATTTCGGGTTGGACTGTGGTTATGCGCAAAAGGGACTCGGAATCGGAGATAAGCAGGAGTAGGTGGGAAGGGAAAAAATGGATGGATGGGATTTCAAGGACTTGTTGGGACGGGTGGAGAGCAAATAGAATCATCACCTCAATTTCTTTCAACGCACAACCTAAATCACATGACTATTCTTACTTAGATTGGTCTGTCTTCTGGTTCAAACGTGCTGCATGCGAGGGGCTATGTTACAGAGTACAGTCTTTGGAAGTGTGACCGGTATCTTGCATGGATGTTAAAAGCTTCATGACTTGTGAAGGGTCGTGGTAAGTGTCAAATCCAGTCAAGCTAGGAGCTTTACTTGAAGGCTGTAGTGAATGTAAGATTGAAAGTCCTACTCCTTTGATCAATCAAGCTGCTCACAGACTGAGAGGGAAGGATGGTTAAAATAAAGAAAATGTTTCGTATCCAGCCGCTCAAACCACATTATCAATGAGCACCTGAACCATTACAATTACAGCCTGTATCCATTAACGAGGTTTGGGCGCAGTGCGTCATGTCCCTTGCGGCAGTGTTAAGAGCAAACGGAAACATACTGACGATAGCCAAGCATGCTGTTAGTCACAGTATTCCCAGGTTATGTGGAACAATTCCCTTCCAGGGAACCTACGAACACTGTCGGAGAATAGGCTCGGTATGAACCCGTTACTGAGACTTCTGTCTGAGGTGCTTGACGCACTAAGGGTGTTTCTTACAACGGCAACGGCATTGTGCTTTGAGGCTTATCATATCATCGCCGCACAAATATATGGAGTATGTTTCAGTAAGAAAGCTCATTAGTCCATATGCAGCCATCCCACATATTCCTCTCCTCGTGGTAGATAAGGCATTCTTGAGTCGAATCGCGTATAGCCCCGTGCACGCAGTCAATGAGCCAGTGTATGTTCTGCGCATGATGTAAGTAGCAACCATTCAGAACCCAGACTTGCTAGGTTCGAGTTCCAGGAAACCGGAGTTTTCTAGGCTTTCTGCCAGTTTACCCCCCTCCGCTCGGCTACTGCGGTACGATAGGACCGCCTTTGACCATTTATAGAGTCTCTCGTTGGCCTGCAATGACACCCAAGTTGCCAAAGGTGGATGCGTGATGCTGCGGGTTTCCGGGCTGGCAAGTAAATGTGCTCGGAAAAGAATGCATGCTTGCCTCCAGAGCCATTACTAGGTGGGGAGGGACGGAAGGCCATGAGGTTCCGACTATCTGTCAGTAGTCTCCAACTTGCACTGAATCAAAATTCTAATAACATGAATCATGGGGTATCATTGTAACAAAGTTCTCTAAAGCCATTTCTCGGCCTTGTTGGGCATCAACCTTCTGAGCACATCAATCTGCCGCGCCTGCGCCTTGTGTTTCAAGTCTGTAACTCCTCGTCTGTCGGTCCGTCGCTGACCGTTTGAGTACACAACTGTGTAGTCTGGTATCTTCTCGCCAGATTTTATGACGGTCGATGGTGATATCGTGCAATTCTATGGTGGTCAGCATCCGAGCTCGTTGAGAAACATTACACAAACCTTGCCAATGACAGCGCCGCTTCCTATCCGAGAGCGAACTCCAATTACGGTATCTGTCCCAATCTCTGTGCCTCCTGCTTCAATGACCGAGCCGACTTCTACCGTCACGTAGTCTCCGAGCGAAAGGCCTCCATCGGTAACGTCATTGCCAACCGCGCCAACATGAGCTCGCTCGTGGATGATGCATCTTCGACCGATGAGGATACTACCGTTGGTCGACTCCACCTTCGATCGCGGATGCAGGACGCTTTCCGACTGAATTGTGATGGAGTGCGTTCCGACGAGAATGGCGCTGTCGGCGACGGTGAGGGAGGAAGAGAAGTTGACTGGCGGTCGCGGGCCGGTGCTGGATACAGAGGGCAGCATAGAATGCCGCTTGCTGGACGACATTGTGAAGTGTGATTTGGGTTGCCCCACCCCTAAAGACTTGCTATCCGGCAGGTATAGTACATTCTTAAAGATGATGGCAACGCGGAACCAGGTCTTTGTAGATTGTCCGACGTAAGACGCGCAGCAGTGTTAGTGACCGGAGAGCTTGACGTGGGGCATCGCACCAGCCGCCGTTGCTCAGTCTCTGGAGCTGGTCTAGCACATAACCCCGGTTGATGCATCAATTATAATCACGTGATATGATTCCGCTGACTAACAGCCCGCATTGGCCAATCAACGCCAATTGGAAATAAGCATCATCGACTGTGCAGCAGAGCTTCGTTCCCACGACGGCGAATTCATCCGACCGACACCCTCCATCCACCCCCAATCCCTCCCCCAAACGCCCACGATGGCCACTCCACGGCGGTTGCCCGCGCAGGCCGCGCAGGCTGCGCGAAACTACGCAACGGTACGAACATACGGCGGCCTGAAGGACCAGGACCGCATTTTCCAGAACCTCTACGGCCGGATGCCCCCGACGCTGGCTTCTGCGAAGAAAATGGGCGATTGGCACAAGACGAAGGAGATCATTCTCAAGGGACACGACTGGATCATCAGCGAGGTCAAGGCCTCCGGTCTCCGTGGTCGTGGAGGTGCCGGTTTCCCTTCAGGATTGAAATGGGTAGGTTGACACCCCACGTTCCTGGCTGAGTTATTGCCGCGGCAATCAAGGGAAGGGACGGGACAACGGGCTAACGTAGATGGCATCCGCGTAGTCGTTCATGAACTTCAAGGACTGGGACAAGGACGATAAGCCGAGATACCTGGTCGTCAACGCCGATGAGGGTGAGCCCGGAACCTGCAAGGACCGCGAGATTATGCGAAAGGACCCCCACAAGCTTATCGAGGGATGCCTGGTCGCTGGTCGAGCCATGAACGCCACCGCCGCCTACATCTACATCCGCGGCGAGTTCGTCCACGAGGCCGCCGTCCTCCAGAACGCCATCAACGAGGCCTACAAGGACGGCTTGATTGGCAAGAATGCTTGCAACTCCGGCTACGACTTTGACGTCTTCATCCACCGCGGTGCCGGTGCCTACGTCTGCGGTGAGGAGACCTCCCTCATCGAGTCCCTCGAGGGCAAGCCCGGAAAGCCCCGTCTCAAGCCGCCTTTCCCCGCCGCCGTCGGTCTCTTCGGTTGCCCTTCGACTGTCGCCAACGTCGAGACCGTTGCCGTTGCCCCTACCATCTGCAGACGTGGTGGCAACTGGTTCGCGGGCTTCGGCCGCGAGCGTAACCAGGGCACCAAGCTCTTCTGCATCTCTGGTCACGTCAACAACCCCGTCACCGTCGAGGAGGAGATGTCGATACCTCTGCGCGAGCTGATCGACAAGCACTGCGGCGGTGTTCGTGGCGGCTGGGACAACCTGCTGGCTGTCATCCCTGGTGGTTCTTCCACCCCGATCCTCCCCAAGAGCGTCTGCGACAACCAGCTCATGGACTTTGACGCCCTGAAGGACAGCCAGTCCGGTCTTGGTACCGCCGCCGTCATTGTCATGGACAAGAGCACCGACGTTGTCCGCGCCATCAGCCGGCTCTCCCACTTTTACGCCCACGAGTCCTGCGGTCAGTGCACGCCCTGCAGAGAGGGTAGCAAGTGGACCGACCAGATCATGAAGCGCTTTGAGAAGGGTCAGGGCCGGCCACGTGAGATTGACATGCTTCAGGAGCTCACCAAGCAGGTCGAGGGCCACACCATTTGCGGTATGTATTCGCCATGACGTAAACGACTCTTAACACTAACGTATTGTTTTCTAGCTCTTGGTGAGGCTTTTGCCTGGCCGCTGCAGGGCCTTATTAGACATTTCCGTCCCGAGCTTGAGAAGAGAATGGAGGAGTACGCCGCCCAGAACGGCGGTGCCAACGCCTTGGGTGGTGGCTGGGCGCCCGATTCCCGGGCTCAGGGCAAGTTGGTTTCGCCAGGACAGTAGAAGGCTGAGATGTTGCATGCTTGTAGACTGGCGCCTGGGGGCTTGTATATATTAGTATCGTACATTAGCATAGCCCTAAATGTGCCGGAGTTCATTTGTTCACGATAATCCCATATTCACCCTTGGGATTGATGACTAATTGATAGTGAACTGACGCAGGACGCGGCGGGTAGAGTCCCAAGGATACATACGCTGTTTGGCCAAACGCCACGAATGCAATCATGTCTTGGGAGGGATGGCTAGTCTGTGGTTCATTTCCGTCCGTTCCTGGCAAAGCCTCGATTTCGGCGTTAAGTCGCAGAATGCTTACCCAATGAGGCCATTGGATTTTCTCAGCTTTGCTCGCTTTTCCCCCTTCCTGCAGCCAGGATGTCTCTCTCGGCCCACAGATCCGACTTCCGCTGGACCCGGTCGGTGAGCCTCCGACGGCGGTGGGGGTTTCTTTTCACCACGACCACCGAACGCCCGTCTCCCCCAACAACCAGTCCCCGGCCGGCGGAAACATCGACAGTCGGCGCTTCAGTCCGCTTTATCCTTGTTTTCTGGCTCCTGCGCGCGAGTATTTCTTATCTCTTGTTGTTGGTGGAAACATCTTCGGACATGACTTCTTTCAAGTATGACCAGTTTGTAGCCTTCGGGTCCGACAGCGGTTAGTAGAGTAACCTCCCCTTCCTTGCTTTTGTCCTCATACACACACCCGCCTCGCCTTGTCGCGACTTTTTTTTCTTTTTCTTCTTCTTTCAGAAATGACGTCCTGTCCTTGTTTTCTTCTCCTAGCTTCCTAGCTGTTCATCGACCGCTCGCAGTGAGCGCGCGTTTTCTCACTCATGTCACACCGCCCACTCTCACCTCCAAATACTGATGGGACTACAGCCGGGCTCGAGCGTATCCTGCGCAGCCTCCAAGCACTCACCATGATCTTCGGCGCGTACCCATCCCTCATGTACCTCGTCCTCTTGGCCTCGGACTCGCCCCTCTTCGAGGCCCTCGGCCCGCTGAAGGATCACCTGAACCTGGCGCGCCGCTTCATCCGCTTCTTCTGGTTCCTCAACTCCTTGGGCACGTCCTACAACCTCTTCAGCTCGGCCCGGGTCGGCGGCTCCCGGGAGAGCGGAGGCGCCATCGGCCTGGAGACCTGGCTCGACATGGCCAGGTTCACGCTCCTCGGCCTCTACGGCGGCATCGAGTCCCTGACGCTGCCGGACCTGCTGGGCGTCCCGCAGCTCGAGGTCTTTGGCGCGGAGCGCACGAGGGCGCTCAACCTCGAGGCGCAGCGGTTCTGGCTGCTCGCGCTGGTGTCCGGGGTGCTCGCGAACCTGGCAAAGATGCTCAAGGCGTTCGCGCACGCGCCCGTGCCGCAGCACGGCCACGGGTACGGTACCGGCGAGCAGGCGCAGCAGAAGGCCGGGGATGCGGCCGGGGAGAAGGCGGGCGGCGACGGCGAGGAGAAGCTCGACTGGGAGGCGGAGCGCGCCCGGCTCAGGGTCATCGTGGCCAAGCGGCGGGAAGAGAGGAAGAGGTGGAGGAGGAACGTGGCCTTCCAGGTCAGGTCGCTGGGACGCAAGATCGTCGCGGACTCGTTGGACTGTCTCGTCCCCGGCGCCGTCTTGGGCTGGGTGAATGTTCAGCCGGGCACCGTCGGGGTTGCCATGCTCATCACGACTTTCCTGACGGGTAGGGACATATGGGAGAGGTGCGGCGCCGCAGTGGAGGCAAAGAGAGCTTCTTGAAAAAACAGTACGTGGGCTAGTAGATAAAGGTTTTGTTTGCGATACAATGTATAGATGGGATAAAGGGGTTGAGCTACCCGCTCTAGAGCCCTGAACCCCCCCCCCCCCCCCGGGCTAATAGAGACGCGTCGGTTCCACGCTTTCCGCCTTCTTCGTCCCCGCGGCGACTCTTTTTTCTTCTTCCGTAGTCCAACACCGTTATAGGACAGGCGGAGCTGGCAAGCCAGCACCTGCATCATTCTGAACAGCGAGCTGCGCCTCGCCGTCAGGCTGCAACAGACATGGTGGCATGTCTCTGCTCGGGGCTCTGGGGGAGGCGGATGCGGTACTTGTGCGAACCGAGGTCATCCTCTTCTTCACCCGCATCCCACACGACCTGGATCCTGCCACGCCTCAAAACTGCAAATTGCTGGGCAAGCGCGACGACGCCTTGCAGGATTTTGTAATTTTATTTTTTTGATTGTCATTAACGAATCGTCAGAGAGAGAGAGAACGCCTGCCATGGCCTGATGGATCGGGGGAGGGGGGGGGGGTTGCTCACCCAAGAAATATACCAAAAAAGGAGATGCCGACATGAAGTCCCCAAGACCAGCATCTGGGGTCGGTGGCAGCGAAAATGCCGGCCGTCAGGGTGATTATCGCAAAAGCGATATCGACGGCGGTGTGTGTGCACCGTGGCCGCCGTGTTGGTCCTCTTGCTGCCGCCGTCCGTCGTCCAGGCCAGCATGCCCTCCGCTTCGCCGGCGTCGTCCCCGCGATGCCGTCTCCGCCCGAAGATGCACTCGACGAAGCCGAGATCGACGGTGAAGTTGTTCTTTCGTCCTCATCCTCCTCCGCTAGCGCGGCTAAAGTGGCTCTGCGTCAAGAGCGCCACGACGAGCCAGGCGAGCTGCATACTGGCCAGAACGATGAAGAAGGTGGCCAGCCCGTCGCGCCACGACCGGCCCTGGACCTCGATGACGGCGAGGGGGATGGCAAACGGGATGGCGGCGACGTGCAGCGCGGCAACCGGGCTGAAGGCGAACCTCGCGAGCACCCTGGGCGAGCAGCCATCATCGCTGGCGCTGACGCCGGCGCTGGGGGCGTAGAAGTCAGAGGCGGCACTGGACGGGGGCGTGCCGAGCGGCAACACGACGTCGTGGTTGAGCGGCCTGTTCTCGGCCGCGGAGGTTGAGACAGTCGTCATGCTACGGAAGGTGCTCAGGCACTTTGTCGAAGGGAGGTCGTACGTGATGTCGTGTGTGTTGTCTTGGGAGGGGAGGATCGAGTAGCTGCCTGACTTGAGCGAGTCGGAGGAGGGCATCGAGAGTCGTTTGACGGTAAGTGAAGGGAGATACTGGTTTTATACGAGCTGGGTACGCTCCGTCCCAAGAGATGCCATGCCCTGAGAGGCAAGGCAAGACAAGGCGAGGCGAGGCAGGCTAGGGACAGTAGCCTAGGTAGCGAGAGCTTCTGGGATTGGCGGTTCGTGTTATTTTTGTTTTGTTTTGTGTGTCTATTCAACGAAGAATCGTCAATCTTGTTGTTTGGCTCCAATGGGTCCATCTCGGTAGCCCCTTTCTCCCGCCGTACCCCCAGTGAAACCAGGCCATGATACCCGCCGATCCGCCCGGTCAAAGCCCTGCGGCTTCGACAAGTGCTGGCTTGAACCACGGACGGCGCCCGGAGTTCGGCTGCCTGGAGATCCACCTACGATCTTCTTTTTGGTTCGACACCATGATTGGCCCCCCGCGCCGCCGGGCCGCATGAGTTTCGGCCCGGGGGGGTTGGCGGCTGCCGGCAAGGTAGGGGTTGCTGGAGGTAGTTTGGTTTTACCTGTTAGTCAACCGGCTCGAGCTCCGGGAGGGGGTTGAACAGGGTGGTTGTGTATAGTGTAAGTCTTGTGTGTGCTGCGTTACGCGTCATCAATCATCTGCAGCAACGTGCGAATGGCCGTTTTGGACCATCAAAGATCATTCGAGGCTGGCAGGCGATCCTGCGGCGGTTGGGAATGTCTACCAGGCAGCATGGCGGTTGGTCATGTCATATCATGTCATGCCGGCTGTGCGCTCACACCTTCGCGGGTGCAGACGCCGTTGTCATGTTTGTTGCTCCGCGGAGCGTTTGATACCAGATGAATTATCGACCTCTGGATAACCCGTCGTCGTATTGTGTCGCCGTGATGCAGGTATGATGCAGTTATGATGGTGGTATGCAGAACAAGAGACGGAACCGTTGTACCCCTCTAAACTTTACTTCGTCATTGAATCCTTTCTCCATCGTTTTAGATTCTCTGCCAGTGATATAATAGCCCTCAATTACGCCATCACCTCTATCGCAGTACGCTCAGACGGCATACAAGTCGCCTCAAAGTTGTTTATCCCAATGGTATCTTGCTTATGATCGCAATTCAAAGAGTCGTCGTCCGGACTTTACCTGCCCCTTTAAGATAGATAGCTCCACCTCTTCACAGCTAAAATGGCCCACCTCCGGGCGGTGAGATATGCAAGTTCCAAGACATAGAATGCTGGTGCCTGGCCAGAAAAGTCTCCTGGCAAGCAAACAGTGCTCTCCCTAACAAGGAACGCGTCCTCGACCAACCAGATCACCGGCGGCCAGTCACCCGATAGCTCCCAGTCCCCACCGAAACCTTCCATCCATCGTTGACAAGGGCGGCGATGACGCCCTGTCTCAGTCGCGAAACACCTCCAGCGCTGTGAAGACCCCGGCCCGTGACGATCGTAAAGCCCTCCTGGGCCTTCCTCGTCCTGTACTCCCCCAGGTTGTTCCACCAGTCCCAAACGCGTTCCAGTGCGATTCGCACGCCGTCGGCGACCTCGACACCATGGAGGTCGATCTCAGTGGCAGAGCCGGTGCTCGCAACATGTATGTCGGCGGCCACACTCTTGGCCTTGGCAAAACTGCGCGCTTCTTCGCGTCCACGCTCGGCGTAGTATCCTGCTGCCTGCCTGTACAGATGCCCCTTCTTGTACACCTGTCCGGCGGTGCTGTACGAGTGGTTACTAGCATCACGATACATGGCGGCCGTGTCCATGGCTTGCCTATAAGACGTGGACGTAGACGGACTGGCGCAGGAGGAAGTTGATGTACTGAGCGTACGTCCAGTTGGTGACATGATTGAGGAAGTGGGTGTGCTGAGCGTACGTCCAGTTGGTGATATGACTGCCAACTTTGGCGAGGCCGCCCTTTGCCAGCCTTCGGACGACCCTTCCAGCTCCGTGTTCGCCAGAGGCGTAAGCCTGTAGTTAACGTCTAGTCGCCTGGCCGGTAACTTGCCGAAGTAGCGATTCAGCAAGGTGGCGACCTCCTCTGTCCATCGTTGGTCACTCCGCGTGACTTCGTCAAGAGGGGCGAGGTATTGCTCGGGAATGTGCCGGTACTGCTTCTTGAGCTCCTGGACGCGCTGCTTCCGGTAATCGTCTTCGCCGCTCCATGCGCCGACGCCTTGTTTAACATAGCGGTCCAGGAACTCAATGATGGTAGGTTCCATGGAGCCTTTGTGTGCATCGAAAACGTCCGAGACGTCGTCGAACGGCAAGTCGAGCTTTTCAACAATGAAAAGTATCTTTTTGACCCCTGTAAATCGTCAGCCATGGTTCTTTGTTAACTCGGTTGTGATGCATACTCTCATTATCGTCGTTCATAGGCGAGCCCTCCTTTATGCTGCTAGAACTTGACGAAGGATCCGAACGTAAATCCGTCCGTTTCTTTCTTTTGCCTTTTTTCTTCCCAGAAGGCTGTGTGTTTTCTGACTGGAAGAAGCCATCGACCCCCTTGGGCCTCTCACCAATAGACTCGAGGAACTGGAGGTTCAGCAAGGTCTCCAGAGCTGTCTGGAAGTCACCCTGGGCCTTCATGAGGGCAAACTTGACGTCGTGGGGCTTCAGATCCGAAAACATGTCCTGAAGCTGCAAAAGCTTCTCCTGGTCCGAGTCCCCGTCGAATGTCTTGATGCGCGGAACATCGTACTCAGGCTCAGAGGGCGGCGAGCTCGTCAGTGCAGTTCCTGAAGAGTCTGTATCTTTGGGTTGCAGGCGCTCTGAGGGGCTTGTAGAGCCATCCCGCGCATCGGCTGCCCCGTCTACAGAACCGATGGTGTCGGGCACACCGCTCGCATTGAAACCGCTTGCTTCCTCGTCCAAGACATTCTGGGCGAGACTCTGCAGCATGCCTCGGACTTGGCCGAGCTGATTGACATCGTCGAGGTCCACCTCACTCGCAATAACGATGACAACAGTCGGGTCAAGGAGAGGAAACTCCGCCTATGGAATTACTTTGTTAGTCTAATGCACGGAGCGCAACTCCCGGCACACTCAAGCGCCGGGTGTTGTCGCAAGTTGTCTAGTATGACGTGACTGGCTCATGATGTCATCTGCGCATGAGACCGAGTAAGTCATGTCAAGCTGAGAAGCATCACTCACCACCAAGGCGTCGAGTTTTGATGTATTCATTGGACAAGGCAAGACTTTAGGGTTCGAGATATCGTCGTGGGATAATTCGGGTAAGCTCGTTAATCATACTGAGGCAATAAAAAAATGGTACAGAAAGTCTTGCTCAGGGGTTGGTGGTCGCAGAAACAACCAGATAGTTTAGGCCGGTCAAAATCGAGATGTTGGATGACGGACGACAATGCAAGCACGAAACAGACAGACGAGCAACGCCGGCCTCGTTGCGCTGCACACAGAAAGGCTGGGGGTATTGAGGAAGAAGGCGTTGAAGCGACAAAGGGAATGACGCGGGATGCGGGGCGGGCTGTTTTCTTGTTGGAAATAATCGTTGTCGATTTCCGCTGACGCCTCAAAGAGGGGGGTGCTTGGCGCCAAATGGTTCAAGCGCGAGATCTAGTAAGTGGTTGGTGATTCATGGGAAACGCGGGCTTGGCACGCGTATCCGAAGAGAGAAAAGAAAAGAAAAGGAAAAATGAAATAAAATGAAAAATGATTGAATGGCTTGTGTCATTGGGGGTCGGACCGTTTGTCCAGTCAAACAAACTGCCGCATTGCGACCGGGTACCGAGGCAGGCACCAAAAAGTATGTAGAAAAAGGTAGTGGGTGTCGTCCATGTCCAGCGGCTGGTGTGGCGCTTACGGCTGGAGTCCTTGCCAACACGTAACTGTGGCTGACTCGTGGCTGAGGTAAAGCTGAAGCAGTATGGTGGAGTACATGTGGCTGAGGCGTAGTGGCCTTCGAGGCAGCTCCCTACAGATGGCTTCACTCACGAGACATGCGATTCCCCCCCTTCTTCTGAACCACCGTGGCGCGATATCAGTGGCCCGATCAGTGGGTTTAGGTAGGCACGAGCTGATGATTTCCTCCTATCCGAGGCTGGTTCGCCGCAATCGGGGGCCTAATCCATTTGCTGGGTTGTTCCTCCGCTACCAGAGAGAGAAAAAGCGGGACGATGCTTTCTATCTGTGTAAGCACTGCCCGTATGTGTTCCTACCGCAGTGTATGCGATTAGGAACCTCGTGTTGATCGCCCAATGTCATCCAGGAGCTTCCGAGACGCATTATCTGTGTGCCCTTTTGTCCTCCAGTTGCCCGATGTGGCGAAGGCACTGGCGCGGACTTATCAGTCAAAAACCTAAACAGGAACAAGCTCAGTCAGCTACGTGGGTATGATTCCGTCTGGACGTTTCCACCCCCGCGTAACTCTTTACCTGCATGCATTCGGCAACGGACCAGGACTGCAAGATCAGAGGCAGGGATTACATACCTGCTGAGGTCGACCGAGGATCCCGGCATCGACCATCCGGAGGCAAACGCGACCAGCCTTGCATCGTCTACCCGGAGTAAACGAGGAAGTCGGAACGCAGGCCCATCGCTTTCAGACGAACGCGACTGTTGGGAGAAACGACTGAAGCTACCTACCTACCTTATATCACGAAACAAAAAGAGACATTGCACGACTAGACGACTGCCGTACTGGACAGCACTCCCCTGCGACAGACTTCGTCCCTCCGTACCTGGGCTCGGCCAACTCTGCATCGTTTGTCCTTTCCTTCGTTCTTTCGCGGGCTCCAAGCAGGGTCTAGGCGCACATCTGTCGCATAGTCGTGCTCAGGTTTCTCGTACGGGGGAGGTCCTGGCGGCTGCACCCCAGCGCATCAACCTTGACTTTTATGTTTCCGACACAAACTCGACACTGGCCTATATAACTTTCTGTCGGGCCCCCTCCGCTGCGGCTCTGTTTCAATATGTCACGTTCGACGCCGACTCTCAATCCCGTCCTTGAACCCGAAACCGATATACAATTGAGGTTTGAATCCCAAACTCATCTTCGACTTGGACCTGATACACAGCACCATACCGTCCATAGGCGGCCCATCATGAGTACCGAGACTCGGAAGAAGTTTATCAACTACCCTCTGCCGGTTCCTGGGTGGGTTTTTCTCGTCCCGAGTTACTCCATGTTGAATGCCCCTTCGTCTCGTACGGCGGGCGCCTTCGTCAACTCGTTTCCCTCGCTTGCATGTCGCAACAGCCTGCTGATTGATATTCCAGGCCAGCCTTCCCGTACTATAATGACAGGAAGAGCAACCCGCCTCTTAGAGGGTGGGTCTTAGTCGCGGCGGCGTGGACGTAAGTTGTATCCCTGACTGAATGGCGCGTGCCCGGAAATGCTGACAAGATGCAGTATGGAATGCTTTTGGTTCGTACGCTCCTTCATTTGGAAAAATGCCGGCTTCGGCAGTGTTAGGAAGATTCGCAAGCACATCGAAGATGCCGAGCCTCGTTACGACCCAACTGTTTTACCCGTGCCGACGGATGAGGCCAAGGACCCGGCTGTCCTCCATCGCGAGAGCGCGGTAAAGGCGAAACCACACCCCTTCAAGTACTACACCGTCAACGACTATCATGAGATTTACCTGTCGGGCGTGGTCACGCCGCTCGCTGTAGCCCGAGTTATTCTGTCGTTGGTGCGCCGCGATACAAACCCGCCGGGCGAACACTCCCTCGCGTGGTTCGACACCAAAGTCGAGCAAGTCTTGGCCGCTGCCGAGGCCTCCACGAAGCGGTACAAAGAGGGGCGCCCACTGGGTCCTCTCGATGGTGTGCCTACGGCTGTCAAAGACGAGTACGAGATTGACGGATACCGGACCTGCCTTGGTTCCAGGAACGACTACACCACGCAGGCCGAACCTGGCCAGTCGATCACAAGCTGGTGCGTGAAGAAGTTGGAAGATGCAGGCGCTGTCGTTATGGGGAAGCTGTCCATGCACGAATTCGGACTCGGTGAGCCTGGGATTATGATGAAACAGGATGGGGAGCCGTACGCTAACGATTCACCAGATACCACCGGAAACAACCCAATCTACGGAACGCCGCGGAATCCTTACAACCGCGGCTACTACACTGGCGGAAGCTCCTCGGGAGCCGGATACGCAGTCGCGACCGGCTTGGTCCCCGTAGCTCTCGGCAGTGACGGCGGCGGCAGCATCCGCATCCCCTCGTCCATGTGTGGCGTCTACGGCCTCAAGCCCACCCACGGCCGCGTTTCGTTCCACCCCTGCCCGAATCACAGCAACAGTTGCGCGGTCAATGGACCCATCGCTGCGGACATCGAGTCCCTTGCGACCTACTTTGAGACCATCGGCGCGCCGCATCCCGACTCCTGCTTCATCCAGGCGTCCCCATTCATCTCCTCTCCAAGCGAGAAGCGCGGCAAGATCCTCGGTGTGCCCGAGGCCTGGTTCGGGCAAGCGGATCCGGCTATCCAGCGCATGTGCAGGGCCATGATTACGAAACTGGTCACAACATACGGTTACACCACGGTCCCCATCGATATCCCGTTTCTGGTCGAGGGCCAGTTCGCGCACGCCATGACCGTTCTCACCGACGGTGCCACCCTCCTCCCGGAAACCAAGAACCTCACGCACGCGAACCGCATCCTCCTGGCAATCGGCCGCGTCACGTCCGCCATGGACTACCTTCTCGCCCAGAAGCTCCGCGGCCTGCTCATGTCGCACCTCGCGCACCTCTGGCGCACTTACCCAGGTATGATCATCGTCACCCCCACGACCGCCTGCGCGGGATGGCCCATCATGAGCAAGGGCGAGCTGGCCTACGGCGTGAGCGACGGCGACCGCACCATCAGGTCGATGGAGTACGTGTGGATGGGCAACTTCTGCGGGCTCCCGGGCATCACAGTCCCGGCGGGCTACGTCGTGCCGCACGATCAGCCCGGCGCCGGTAGCGAGGCCGGGCCCGAGACCATGGGCAAGATCCCCATTGGGCTCATGGGCATGGGTGAGTGGACCGACGAGCACAGCCTCCTCGAGTTCGGGCTAGACGCCGAGGATCTGTTCGCGAAGGAGCGTTGCAGGCCGCCGAACTGGGTTGACGTTATCCAGCGGGCCAAGGACGATATGGCCAAGAGTGGGGAGGACAGCTTGATAAACATCTAGAGACCATGTACATACATTGTATATCGCAGCGACAGAATCGGCAAAACCAGCGAGCCAGGAGTAGGCATGTCAAATCCAAGCAGGAACCCACAATCATTCATGCCTTTTGTGACAAGCTGGCTCTGGAGCCACGGCGGCAAGCTACAACACGCCATCCCCACTGCTCTGAGGGGGACGCGGCTAGGCTCGTCGCGGGGTTGATTCGTTCGTCATTGAATCAGAAGCAGGGATAACCCCTCCTCATCGACGGAGACGGAGAAGCAACTGGAAACCATCTCCCATTGACAAAAGCTCTTCAGCACCTCCCTTCCCCTCCCCTGCGTAGATCAATGCGAGTTTGGCCCGGGAAGCAAGGGCCCGAGCTGGCGGAACATGTGGACGATTTTGGTGAACTAGACAGGTCGGAGCAAACGCTACGCCGGCGGACAAAGCTGCAGGAGCCCTAACAGACCCGGTTCACCTTCCAGCAGGACAGCTCCCGTTTCTCGAATCCGGACGGACGGACTCGGGAATTGCATGCGTCGATATGGGACGCAGGCCCAGTCCGCACCAACCTTCATCTGCAGCTTGGTCATGCGACAGCCTGCCTGTCTTGGTGCCGTCGATGGCACGGGCTGCGGGGGTGGAAGGAAACAGGATGAAATGTGCACTGTGTGCAGGGAGCCCAAGATGTAAGCGCAGGGACTCGGCGCAATGCGGGAGTTGAAAAACCGCCTGGAAGTCTGGCGCCGAAGCGTTGCGTTCTGGGCGCCATCTGGACTTTGGTATCTCCTGCTAGATCGCGGGGCTGGGGACGGAGACACGGAGGGGGGGAGGCATTGTGACTGATGACGGAATGCCAGGTCCTTGCAAAGTTTACTGCAAAGTTTCTCACGCACAGCTCATGGTGATGTGTAGTTTTTTCTTTTTAAAAAAACACGTCTGTTCCCGGATGGAAGGACGGCTTTTTCTGAATTGGTTATGCCCCGGTGATCCAGCCCGAAGCCGGATTCATGGCGGTGGGGCCGCCCCGCTTCGCCCACCCGGCGCCGGTGTCGAGTCTCTAGACTGCCCACAGCCGCTTCCTTACGTGCTGCAGCGCAACTCCATCGGGACACTCGGTAGCTTACTCTTCCTATCGGGCTAACCGTTATTTCTGGTCAAAGTATGCGAACGTCGTGGCTTGCCTAGGTAGCCAGGTAGGCTCACAGGATTCGGCCCGGCAAGCAGTTCCAAAAATGGAAGCAGCCTGGAGCCGATGGCTTGCTTCGATAGTGAACCTCAGGTCCCGATCCACTATACCGGCGGGGAAAACATCGCAAGCCGCCGTCTCTGTAAGGTTTGCGTATCTGACCGGCGACTTCGAGCGATAGCATGCCCAATTAGCCGCATAACAAACCCATTTCCGATATAGGCCTGTGGCAAATCCAACCTTGTGCGCCAGGGATGGTCGCGCCACCAGACAGCACGCCGGTCAACTCTTGGCTTTTAGTCAGGCGCCATCTACACACCTACTACCGGTACACTACTTCTGGCATGTTATGCAGGCAAACTGCAGTGGCCGAAACGAGACAGCACAGACTGATGCAGGACTCCGGGAGCCATCCAATCAACTGTGGCGCCGTTGACATTCCCTGGGGAAGGGGGAGCACAGCAGACGATTGTCCAAACGGCGGCGGTAAATCTTTCATATTCCCGAGGTCGCCAGCGACCGAATCGGCGTCTGGGGATCGGACGTACGGAAGCTAGCCAGGCGGCCCTCGGGAGCACGAGGTAAGGGCGTTTTTACCAGTTCGGGAACGAGCAGACAGAAACTTGTTGAACGTGAGAATGGCACACACACACACACACACACACACACAGAGAGAGAGAGAGAGAGAGAGAGAGTAAGAGCTTTGACACCCCAACAAAATGCAAGGAATCTGGCCGGTTGAGATGAGGGGTTTGATGTAGGTAGGTAGTTGATACATACCTACCTACCTACCTGCCTGCCTACCCCTGCTAACTACTAAGTACCTAGGTAGTAGGTGGCCCAGGGCTGGCCGTGAACCGACTAACGTACAGTAGCGCAGGGAGCTTTCATGGCTAAAACTGCCATTCAGGTAGTGAGTATAATGTGCAACCCTCCGATGGTACAGAGTAGGTGGTACAAATACCGCCAAGTGATAACCTGGCGCCCCAAGCTTCCAGCTTATTTCTTCTCCGTCATTGGGTTTTTTTTTCCTTCTTTATTGGGTAGCTTAGTTTGCCTCCCCCGCATTATCTGAGCAAAGCATTGAGCGAGGGATGATCTAATCTGTTCTGCAAGGACCTAGGAAGGAAAAAAAAAAAAAAAAAAAGAGCTTCCCCACCAAAGATTCGACTGGGGAAGGAAGAGAGATACGTGCACCCACAGTGGGAGGCAAAGAGAGAGAGGGGGGAGAGAGAGCCGTTCGGCCGCATTCTTCGGTTTTATTTTTATTTATTGAATTTACAGCCATCACACGCGACATTGCTGTGTGTAAACACGTGTCTTGCCTTGAAGAAGCGTGCCGAATGAGACGAAAGACGCAGCAAGAGCCGCAAGTGAAAATCCATAATTTACGGGGCCCCCGTGACATCTAGCGCCTAGAAAGATTGAAAGAAAAAAATAGAAAAGAAAAGAAAATAAGAAGGGCGTCTGGGGGAGAAAACTGGATGACATCGCGGGCTCGGCCGATACTGTGGGCCACCCCTCCCCCCCCCTTTGGTTGGCGCATTCCCCTTGCCTCGCCTTACCTTACTTACCTACTCTTTCTCTCTCTCCATCATTCCATTCCGCCAGGCCTCCCTCTCCGTAGAAGCCCATCCCTCCCATTCACTGGACAGCCCATCCTCAGCTGTCCTTCTTGCGTCCCCAGTCGCATCGCCGGAGAGTAAGAGGCGCCATACTTCGTCTCTGCCCTGCCGCTCGTTCTGCTCTCCATCACAATTCTTCTTCTGGCGATTACCGGGCACCACCACCTACCTAATCTACTCTTATCGCTGCCGCCCTACTGCACCCGAAGGTTCCACATCACACCACACCACCAAGGATGAAAGGCTAAGGGAGTGGCGCAACAGTTGGCGAGATTTTTCACACAGCTGTCCCTTTCCCATCTCACTCGCGTTCTAAACCACCCAGATCGTCCTCCGACGCCTTCCATCCAGTCGTCATGCCCGACCACGCCGGGACGGCGGCCGCCGCGCCGCCGCAGAGCGAGTCTAATCCGACTCCTCCCAAGGAGCTCTATCCCATGGTCAACTGGAAGTACGACCTCTTCCTCTGGGTATTGGGCGTGTTGGTCGACCTCTTCTTCCGCGAGGTTCACCCTCGAGGCGCCTGGAAAGTCCCCAAGACGGGACCTGTTCTCTTCGTCGCCGCTCCTCACGCGAACCAGGTCCGCCCATCCCCTTGCTGGAACCCCCTGTCAAAATCACATGCTAACCGCATTCTCTGCAGTTCGTCGATGCCCTGATCCTACAACGCACCCTCCGCCACGAGGCCGGCCGCCGAGTCTCCCTCCTCATCGCCCAAAAGTCTGTACACGGGTTCATCGGATGGGGGTCGCGCCAGGTCGGCTCCGTGCCCGTCGGACGCGCTCAAGACGCCGCCAAGCCCGGCGCTGGCGTCATCTACCTGCCTGACCCCATCAACGACCCTACCCTCATCCGCGGCGTCGGCACCAAGTTCGGCCAGGGTGAAGGCGAGGTCCATGGTATGCTGTTCTTGCCCTCTGCCAAGAAGCAGACGGGTGCCAGCGTCGACATCGCACAGATCCTGGGCCCCGAGGAGATCCGCATCAAGCGTCCTTTCAAGGGCAGGCTTGCCATGGAGCAACTCACTGGGCGCGACGATATTGACGAGAACGGAAACTTCACCAACAAGGATCTCAAAGGGTGCCAGCCTGGCTTCCAGGGTACTAAGTACAAGCTCGCTCCCCACATCGATCAGACCAAGGTGTACGAGGCCGTCTTCGACCGTCTTAGATCTGGAGGCTGCGTTGGCATCTTCCCAGAGGGCGGCAGCCACGACCGTACCGAGCTGCTGCCCCTCAAGGCCGGTGTTGCCATCATGGCCCTCGGCGCCCTCGCCGAATCTCCCGACTGCGGCCTGACGATCGTGCCCGTTGGCATGAACTACTTCCACGCCCACAAGTTCCGCAGTCGCGCCGTTATCGAATTCGGACCCCCCTTTAGTGTTCCCCCGCACTTGGTCGAGATGTACAAGAACAACCAGAGACGCGAGGCCATCGGCCAGCTTCTCGACAGCGTCTACCAGGCATTGAGCGCCGTCACCGTTTCTACCCCCGACTACGACACCTTGATGATGCTCCAGGCTGCTCGCCGCCTCTACAATCCCACCGGGAAGAAACTGCCCCTCCCCGTCGTCATCGAGCTGAACCGCAGACTGGCCATGGGTTACGAGAAGTACAAGGACGACGAGCGGGTCGTCAACGTGATCAAGGCAGTCAAGCAGTATAACAAGGAGCTCAGTTACGTCAACCTTCGCGACCATCAGGTGCAGTACGCCAAGATGTCCACTCCCAAGGTCATTTTCCTGTTGCTCTACCGGGTTATGAAGCTTCTTGTCCTGCTGGTTGGCGTCCTGCCCGGCCTCATCTTGTTTGCCCCCGTCTTCGCCGCGTCCAAAGCCATCAGCGTTCGTAAGGCGAAGCAGGCACTGGCGGGCTCGACGGTCAAGATCCAGGGACGCGATGTCATGGCCACATGGAAGCTCCTGGTGGCCATCTTCCTGGCTCCCACGCTCTACCACTTTTACTCGGCCATTGTTACGTACAAGGTGTGGCAGGACCATCTCTGGGGCTACGTTCCCGAATGGGTGCCGTGGTGGTCAACGTACATGGTCATGTGGCCGCTGATGGTGGGCGTCACGTTCGCCGCTCTTCGTTTCGGCGAAGTTGGCATGGATATTCTCAAGTCTCTGAGGCCGCTGGTCCTGTGCTTGAACCCCGCCTCCAGCTACAACATTCATCAATTGCGAGCGAAACGAGCCGACCTCAGCGCCCAGGTCACCGATCTTATCAATACACTGGGCCCCGAAATGTTCCCCGACTTCGAGAAGACTCGTTTGATTGCGGATCCGTACAAGGCCGATGGGCACTCTCGACCTCGTACTCCGCCAGCGCGTAGGGATAGCGACGCATCCAGCGCCTACGAAGCGCCTACGCCACCGTCGTCCATCTCCAGGAGAGCGACCCACCAGTCGAGCCGCGGTCTGCCTCGTAACGAGTCGTACAGCAACATTGGCGGTGTCGGCATTTTCTCCACCAGGCCCCCGTCGCGCTCAAGGAGTAGGAGCAGCAGCAGCGGAGGCGGTCTTGGATCCGGCGGGTTCCCTATCAGCGGCTTCACGACGCTGGACTCTGCCGGCGGGTTTGACGAGGCAAGCAAGAAGATCCGCGAGGCTATGAAGTTGCGCAGGAAAAGGAGCGGCGACCCACGGATGGAACTGGGCGCCGACGACAGCGAGGACGAGGAATACAACGAGGCGCGCAAAAAGAACGCGTGAGGTCACTCGGCTTTTGTAAGCTGATGAAGAAAAGGCACTCTACGTCTGTGGGGACGGAGGCGCGAAGCAACTAAACTATAACTGGAGTAGGGGGTACTGTGAGTACGTATAGACAGCGATTTAATAGTTGAGGAATGGATTCCCATTCCGTGTGAAAGTCAATCGTTCCCGTTGGGCGAAACGCAAAGCGATGGGTGGGGCAAGTGCACGCGGCCGATGACGGCGATTGCAAAGTAAGAGCCGAGTTAACTCCGCCGGCTGCTGGTGGGCGTGGGGTCGGTGTGGTGGTGGCGGTACCTAGGTTGGATCTGATAACTAGGTATAAAAACAAAAAAAAGTGAAAAACCCTCCTGCCCACCAGCTGTTAGCCTGTTGCATCACGGATATTTCGCCGTATTTACTTTTAGGGCTGTTGTACACGAGCATATTTCGCCGTGTTTACTTTTCGGGCTGTTGTGCAACATGCGTGGCTCGACCGGCTATCCATGCGGCCGTTGACAAAGAAGCGCGTGGGACTGACTAGCAGGATGCAGTCATCGACCTGGTTGGATTCGTCTTGACCTCTCTCTCTCTCTCTCTCTCCAAGCAAAGTAGGTACTTTCGATATGAGCGTCATTCCTTCCGGCTTGACAAGAAGAGAAAAACTTGTAATGAGAACCTCTGACTAGGTAGGTAGAGAGGCTCATGGGTCCGACCTCATCCATCACGTGCTGTATGTTTCGTGTTCCGTTCATCAGTCAAGTAAGTACCTTATATATACCAACTGCCTATACTGCTCAACCGAGTTTCCTCAATTCAAGCATCCTTCGCTCCAATTCTTCTATGCTCTGCTGTATGCTCTGCTGTATGCTCTGCTGTGTGCTCTAGCTTGTGACATCTCTATACCCCACCTCCCGCCCGCCGCCTTTCGGAAAGGTGGGCCGAACGACGCCGCGTGTCCCCCTCATCCGGGCCACACTACCTATCGTACACAATTCTCCAGCTCTTTAGACTGTCACTGCCCATCCTCTCTTTGACCTCCCGTCTCCCCCCCCCCTTTTTTTTCCTGAGGAGAGTTCGTCTCACTGTTCTGCAAAAGTCAAAGGCTGGAGCGAGTCTATTTCCGAAAACCACAACAGGCATCATGACATCCACTTTGAAGTCGCTCGTCACTGGCGCCAAGAAGTTCGCCCTCGGCACAGCTCACGCGGCGCCTGCGCTCGAGCTATTTCCCAAGACGGACCCTGCCGTCGACGGCGACGATTGCGACCACGACTGCGAGAGCTGTAATGTCAAGTACCCTAAAGGCTTCAAGATTGAAAAGAGCGACGAGCTGTATGGCCATATCAAGAGATGGAGCACCCACGCCCTCGTTGCGACGGGCAAGAGTGACTGGGTGAGGGACGTTGCGGACGAAAAGGGGAGTGTGATGGAAGCCATTGACAAGGCCGCCGCACCCAGTAATGGAGTATGCGCTCTCCCTCCCTCTCTCCCCTGCACGTTCGAGAGAAATCACGCTGACCCGAGAAACAGAAGCTGATGCTGTCCGCTTCCAACATCCCTACCCCGACACACTCGAGCAACTATTCGGAACCCACGACCGTCCTTCTGCTTCCCGCCTTCGTCATCATCGACAACGTCACGCCCAAGCGGGTTCCCAAGCTCATCACCGAGTTCGTCGACAAGGCACCGACCAACAGCTCCCCCCTCGCGCCCCTCACCCTTCCCGCGTCCGTTCCCGTGGAGTCGTCCAAAGAGGCCGCGAAGGGCATACCCCCTGAGATCTCCCGGCGTCCGTGCCCGCACAGCGCGCTGATCCTCCTCTGCTCGCAAAAGACGCGCGACGCGCGGTGCGGCCAGTCGGCTCCACTGCTGCGCAAGGAGCTGGAGCGCCACCTGCGGCCCCTGGGTCTCTTCCGCGACCTGGACGATGAGCGGCCCGGCGGCGTGGGAATCTACTTCATTTCGCATGTCGGGGGCCACAAGTACAGCGCCAACGTCATGGTCTATCGCCGGCCGGACGCGTTCGGCCTGGACGGTGTGGAGCGGGCGAAAGCGAGCGAAGACGAGCTCGTGCCGAAGCCGAGGACGGCGGCCCTTCCGGAGACGGAGGACGTGGGCGCCGCACAGTGCATTTGGTTGGCGAGGGTCAAGCCGGAGGACTGCGAGAACCTGGTGCGGTACACGGTCCTCCAGGGCAAGGTTGTCAAGCCCGAGACGCAGCTGCGCGGCGGTTTCGACCGCGCAAAGGGGAAGATGAGCTGGTAAGAGAAGGCGGGGCTTGGACGGATGGGTATCATTCGTCATCGGAGTACAATACATTTAAAGAATCGCATTCCACAAAGGGGGTTAGAGCTACGGAATGCTAGTGTGTTTGGGCGTTTGGCGTGTATACAACGAGGCAAAAGGACTAGCACAGTTCTACGTAGAAGAGCTTTACGAGAAGGACACTGGTCGAATGCAGAGAGTTAATGGAAGCAATCAGCAGGAAGACATTAGAGGAAAACGAACCCGAAATAACTGATACTCACATTGCTGTCACGGCTTTTTAGAGGCTTATGCTGGATCAACCTTGATGAGCTGAAATGTTGCGATCGCTTTGTGGCCCCAATTTGTATTGGGAATAGTAAGAGAGAGCCATAGTCGACCGGAGGACGGGTCCCGCTCACTACCGGCCCGCCCCGCATCCAACCGTGTCGGCCGATAAGATAGGGAGGTAGGTACCTCAGATACCTAGGTACCTCAGTAGCCGGATAGGTAAGCACCTTACCTAACTTAGTAACCCTCACTGCAGTGACGGCACAACCGGGAAGGACCCACCACGGTCGCCCGGACAACTAAGCTGCCTGCATAAACAATCCCCACGGTCATTCCCTCGAGCCAGTACCACACTTCCAGCTCACCGACACGACCATCCCCATCCTATCCCAGAGCTCCCAATCTTTCTTATTACTACGACAGAGAGAAAGGAGAAAAAACAACATTCGCAAAGGGGAACGTCGTTTGGCTCTGAGCCATCTCCCGCAGCTTGCTCTACCGCCGATTCCTTTCCTCACCTCCTCTCCGTCTATCCCCCAACATGGTGTGACCAGGAAGAGGAAAACATCGAAAAGCAGCTGTCGAGGCTCTCTCGTCTTCATTCATCACAGAAGCATTGGAATTAAGAATTTGTTTTCCTCGAGCAGCATTGACTATAGTCACATTCCGCCCCCCGGGATATTGTTTTCGTCCAACGAAACCAGCAGAACCCTGCCTCGAACATTCCCGCCCCCATTACCACTCGACAATGGGCTCCGCCGCCGCAGGAGATAACAATGGAGGAGGCCGCCCCAGGTCCTCAGTCCTGAAGAGCTTCATCCACCGCCGTAACCAGTCCGAAGGCTCTGCACTCTTGACCTCCCCGCCCTCCGTCCAGGTCACCACCACCCCCGCACAACACATCCAGACCACCTACGCCCAACTCGAAGGCAGAATGCCGCCCCCTCCTATCCGCACCGAAGGCCTGGGGGCCCTCGGCGAGCTGAACAATAACTTCCAGAAGGACCCCGTACCGCGTTCCCCCCGCAAGGACGACGACCGTGACCGCTCGCGCTCCCCGACGAAGTCCACCTTCGGCAACATGTCCTTTAAGTCTTTCGCCAAGGACGCACGGAAATCACGCGACGTGTCCCCCGAGAAGCCCAAGAAGACGAAATCGAGCACGAACCTAACAGGTTTCCTGTCACGGCCCCGGTCGGCCATATCCCTCAACAAGAACCCGAAGGAGGAGGAGGAGGAGGAGCGTCGCTCGGCTAAGGACAAGGAGAATCGCACGCCTCCGAGCTCGACGTCGAGCGCGGACATGACGGGGCCGGCGCCGCCAATCTACGCACAGTTCTGCAGCCAAGACCTTGGGAACAATGGGTTGCGCGGCATGACATCCTTCGATGCGGGTAGCGGGCGATACGGAAGCGATGCCTCGAGCGAGGTGAAGAAGCAAAGGCCAAAGTCCTACCATCCATCCACCGCTGTATCCGAGGCAAAATCGACATCCGACCTGTGTAGCGGGTTGACGACGAACGGCCGCGCACCCTCTGCCTCTGAAAGAATCAAAAGCAAGGTACAGCGGCCGAAGCTCTTCACGGCCTTTTCCGCCATGGGCCACAGTACAAAGTCCAAGGGGTCCGATGCCTCTTCCGACAAGACCATCGACCCCAACGAGATCGATTCTCATCTGGAGGCCATGCTTGATCGGCGCAACATTCCCGAGAACCAGCGCTACAAAATGCGTAACCTGGCAGACACCATCAAGATGGAATTTATCCGACAGGATTGGGCAGAGATGGCTGCCAAGGAGCAGGCAGGTACCGCCGAAAGCAACGAGTCCGCCTCCGCCGTGACTGGAGGTTCAGATCGCGAAGAGACACAGTCTAAGCGCTCGAGGGGCAGAAGCTTCACGCTCTCGCGCAAGAAGGACCCTGCTTCCCCAACCAAGAAGTCCAAGGGCGATGGGAGCACCATCGGTCGCCACTTCCGAAGCAAGTCCTCCGACAGCGTAGTGAGCGACCGGCCCGTGTCGGCAAGTTCCACGGCGAGCAACGGCATTCTTTCGAAGATCAAGTTCGGCCAGGGGCCGGGCGACTACGTCTCGTATCTACGCAAGGTGCAGAAGCCTGAACTGGTTGAGGTCGGGAAGCTGCACAAACTCCGGCTGCTCCTGCGCAACGAGACTGTTTCGTGGACGGAGGACTTCATTCGCCAAGGTGGCATGGAAGAGATTGTCGGGCTGCTGAACCGGATTCTTGAGATCGAGTGGAGGTATGTCGGACCCCGACTTACAAACGGGGGGACCAATGCTAACAGACAATAGGGAGGAACACGACGACGCCCTACTCCACGAGAACCTACTATGCTTGAAGGCCCTCTGCACGACGGCACTGGCTCTACAATATCTCCACTCCATCCACGACGACCTTTTCCCCAAGCTCCTCCACATGCTGTTCGACCCCGAAAAGAAGGGTCCCAGTGAGTTTACTACACGCAACATCATCACATCAGTGCTATTTACGTATATTGAAACGGCTTCTCCCGCGGAGCGGGTTGCTCGCGCTCAAAAGGTGCTGTCGTTCCTGCGGAATCCCCAGCCCAAAGAGGAAGAGAAGCCAGTCGGCTTCGTGCTGGAAATGCGAAAAGAGCGCCCTTACACCGTCTGGAACAAGGAGGTGGTCAGCGTCACAAAGGAGGTCTTTTGGATCTTCCTGCACCACCTCAACGTCATCGCCCTGCCATCCGAGATGTCGACCAAGGGCGGCGCGCCGCTCAGCGCCATCACGAACGGCGCCCAAGAACCGTACGGTTTCATGAGCAGGCACTTCCCCTCGGAGAGACCGCCCGTTCCGGCGGCGCCTTATGTCGGCGGAGTTGAATGGGACGCGACCAACTATCTCGCCTCGCACCTCGACCTCATGAACGCCATCATCGCGTGCACGCCGACAGCGGCGCAGCGCAACAACCTGCGCAACGACCTGCGGATCTCGGGCTGGGAGAAGGTTCTCGGCGGCAGCCTACGGCTCTGCAAAGAAAAGTTCTACGGCTGCGTGCACGAGGCCCTCCGGTGCTGGGTCGCGGCCGCCACCGAGGACGGCTGGGACGCGCGGGACGTGCGGTACGGCCCGCCGCCCGAGTCACGGAACACTAGCCCTGCGAAGAAGACCAACGCGGCCCAGAAGGCCAAGGCACCCGAGGTAGCGCCCAAGATCGAGATGCCCAAACTAGATTTCGGGCTCGACAACCACCGCGTCACGCCGGTCAGGGAGAGGGATGTCTGGCTGTCGTGAGGTGTGTATGTGTGTCGGTCTGTGTGCGTGCCACACTACAGACTGGATAGTAGAAGGGGGGGATTGAAAAGAACGGCAAACACGCTCGGAGACGGTTAGCCTTACCGGCAGGGGGCCTCTTCTCCGAGATACAATTGTACATGATTGCAACAGGGACGCTAAAGTAAAACAGGATGGGGGGGCTGACATGTCGTCCGGGCTCCCTCAGTATAAGGGAATCCCTCAAGATTGTCAACACAGGCAGGCGAAGCGGCCCTCCATCTGTTCCCCATCCCCCCCCCCCCCTCTTCTCTTTCACACACACATACACATTCTCCCTCTCACACTCTCTTATGCCGCCTCCCTCTTCTCTGACCGAGAAAGGGACCACTACGGACGAGGGGGAGGGGCCGGGAGGGGTCGCGGAAGATCAAAGGCGCTGCTTGCGGGTTTCGGTTGGGTTTAGGAAAGGAAAGGAAGGGAAGGGAAAGGAGTTGTCGTTTTTTTTTTTTCGTTTTTTTCTTTTCTTTTCCCCCGTCATCGGTTCACCCTCTCCGTGGTTGTCATTGTTCTTGTTTTCCCCTCCCCTGTTCATGTTGCGTCTCTCTCCCCTTCTCTTTTTCCATTGTTGACCTCCTTTTTTTTTTTTTTTTTCTTGCATGGGGTTGCGATCACGGGGAGAATTGTCTTGTTTATACATCCATGCTGCCTAATGCTTCTTATGAAGGGCACGTTTATGAATTGATGATCATCATACATAGAAAAAGCACTTTTTTTCTTCCGGTGAGCTTCGTCGGTTTATTTTTCTTAAAAATCCTCACCGGCTCTCTCCCCTCCTCGTCCGTCCTATCTGCGTGTGTAGGTGTCTGTGTCTTATCTGTGTCAAAGTGACTTGTTGCATTCGAGCGGAGGATTCCATGCGAGGGAGTGGGAGAAAACCTGAAAACTGACAAGACTCGTCGTTGTGTACCGTACGTGAGTTCAAGGGGGGAGGGAAGGGGGCGCCAGTAAGCCGAGGGCACGGATGCCAAATAAGCCGTCAGACTCCGAAGAGGGCAAACCAAGAGACGGGGGGGGGGGGGCTAGCTATCTCAAAGCCCCCCTCTGACTGGCAGATCCGCTGCTCGTCCTTCTGCATAAGTTGCAAATGGACCAGCCCCAGTGAGAGGGGGAAGGAGGGGTTCGTTGCCAAAAAGGCCGGGGTAATGAGCCCAAGCCTCCCCTTCATGGGTCGTGAGTTTCGGGGGTTTTCGGCGGACGAGGTGACGAGACGACGGGGTTGTGCATTGCATCGGCCGGGTGTGCCCCTTCTCTCTATCCAGGTCCTCGGGAGCACGGTAAGGGCAAACGAGAGACGGAGGCTGGATGCTGAGTATCGCTGGAATTACGCCTTTGAGTTCAGAGACAGGTGTACAATTCGAGTCGTTGGCTTCGTTGCCGGCATCTTCTTCACCCCTGGCCAAACATTAGTACTACTGCAAAGCGCCAACTCGTTTGGATTCGGCTCGCGAAAGACGGTGTCGCCCAATCACGTCGTCGGCAGCGAGACACGTCCATCCAGAGGAATAGTAGCCGGGGCTCAGAGGTTGCTTCGATGGGCCTTGAAGGCTTCGTAGACTGTCACGCCCTTCAGCACGTCCTCCTTGACCTTTTCGTCAGCGGTCGTCAGCTTGGGGAGCAGCTCCACGACCTGGCTAACCAGGTCCTTGGGGATGGAGACGACCCCGTTGGCAGGGTCGGCGAAGATGAGATCGCCAGGGTTGACGACGGTGCCGTCGACGTCGATGGGCACTTGCACTGCCCAAGGAGTGCTCTCTGCCCCCGCGCCGACGGTGGAGAGCCCTCTCGTCCATATCTGGGGGTTGGTTCAGCCATTGGCCGGTGATGACGGGGGAAATTGCACGCTTGGTCAGACTCACGGGTAGGCCTGTACTGGCGAGCTCGCCCTGGTCCCTGGCACGGCCCACGACAACCACCGCCTTGGCTTGGCGAACCTTCATCCTGACAGCCATGATGCCTCCGCAGACGGCGTTCCTCTGCCCATCGGGCTGCCTGATAATCACGACGGTGCCGGGCTGGGTGATGTCCGCCCAATGGGCACCTTTGGGGATGTTGGCCGAGGGCGAATCCAGCGTCTCTCCTTTCCGAGCAAACAGGATCGTCGACGCCGGTGCTATGATCACGGGTGCATCTGTGGCGCTTGATTGGCCTAGCAATTGAAGATCGGGCAGTAAGCCAGCTCCGGGGACCTTGAGTTTCACGAGTGCGTCTGATATATCACAGGCGGTGAAGTTCTGGAGAGATGCGATTCGCGCGTCGTCATCCGTGGCTGCCATGGTGACGGGGACTGAAGGTGTCAAGAAGTAGGTAGTCAAGAGCGAAGATGGAGCAACGGATTCGGGTCGCAATGCTAGCATTGACTGGTGTTGGCTCCAAAGTAAGTAGGCATGGAGTTAGGCACAGCTTTGGGGAGGGGTTCCGGTGATGTTGGATGCTCGGGAGCCGCTGAGGGAGAGCCCCTCCAATCAGATGGTGTTTCTAGACGGACATGTGTGGGCTGCTTTTGCGGGGTGCGGTGGGGGGACGACAGACAGCATGTGAGTGGTGCAAGCCATCTTGGCACCCCTTGCAGCCTTTGCATGTGCTGTTTCCAGCCTTTTATCGCCGTCTCCTGCAGAAACAACGCGTTGGTTGATGCAGCAGCGACTGCGTTCTCCAGTCCGAGTTCCGACAACAACGGGAAGGGGGGAAGAAGCCGACGGCCCCCATACTGGATGGAGTGCGAAGGCCAGGTACGGTAGCGGCCGCGGCGTACGGCCCATCTACCGGGTCTAGGGTAACGGCGCGGGAAACGAGTGGGTTGCGGGCGTAGGCGGGCACTCTGCACATCCATCCATTGTATTGGTAGGTAGACAAGGGCGGGTGGTGGAATTGAGGTGCGGAAATCGCAGGCGTACCATAATTACCTACCACATACACCACCTACCTTCGTCAGGCAATGCCAGGGGCAGGCATTATGCTACAGGCGGGAGGTGCCCGTGCTCTGACTCGGTTGATTCACCTTTGTTAATGACTTCTTACCGTAGGCATCCTCTGTGACTGCCGAGTAAGCCGTCCCGATATTAAGCAGCGCATGATGCGACTGACTCTTCAGGGTAAGCCGAAAGCCAAAACCCTGGCAGAAAGCCATCCTCTAACTTGCGACAATAGTTTTGCATTATTGTGCGCTCGCTTCTCTTGCAGCTCTTAGCCTGCTTCGTCCCGGAAATAGAGATAAGCGGACAGGAAAGCTAGCAAGTTGCAGACCAAGATAAGCCTAAAAATGGGTCAGGTACGAGCGTCCAAGATGGGTGGTCCCTCGGAACCTGTGTGCATGTTCCAGAAAAAAAGGGCAAACGTACATTTGGGACAATGAGAGATTTAGAAACCTTATCCCTGGTCGTTAAGTGTCAAAAGAGAAGTGCCGACGAGCCGGGTTCCTGGACCAGTCAAGGGACCATATAATCAGTCGCTTAGGGAGGGATCGAAGACAACATGCTCTCTCGATCGGAGACGGTCCTGACGATGAGGGAGAAGAAATCCGGGCTCGCTCCAGAACAGGAGAACCACCTAGGTAGGTAAGTAGGCAGCAGGTAGGTGGATAGCTCACTAAAAGCTACCTACAGTGACATTGGGGGTCAAACCTTGTGCTCCCGATCAGCCGGCACACTCGTGGGCTGGAGGTCCACCGATATCGCTCTTGCATTGCATCAACGTCTGTGTCTGTCGCTCTTTCTATCTCTCTCTCACTCTCCCTCTCTTTCTATGTGTGTGTGTGTGTTTGGTGTGTTTTCGTGAGACCACGTGACGATGTGACGATACGTGCAACCGATTTTCAGGTAGGCAACGTGGGAGAAGGAAAGAGCTTCGTGGAGCCCAGCGGGCTCTTTCCTGCCACGAAGCTGCTGCGTGCGGATCCTGGTGGAAGAAAGAACGGCAGTACCTGATGAGGGGAGGGGCAACTGCAGAGGGATGCGTCCGTATGTAGCTACCTACTACTTCCCTTTTCCCATCTTTTTACACGGGTAGGTTATTTTTGAAGGTAGGCATGAACTGCAGCCGATGTTGATGTTTTTTTCCTGAGGTAACCTACCTGACTAGGTATCTATACTTACCTTGACCTCAACAACACCTGGAACGATGCCATTGACACAGTTTCTGGCGTTGTCGGCCGAGACCCCCTCAAACACGATGCCGCGATAGCGCCAGTGATGACGCCTCTCACTCGTCCCGTCCCTCTCCGCACACCTTCCTTCTTCTTGACGACCGCGCCCCTGCCATCGCGTAATGCACAATATGTAGGACACATCTCCTGGATTCATTGTCAATGCAACACTGGCCTCAAATTCCAACCATTTCACCGTACCCCACTTTCACTGGGGGGCCAATCGCCGCGCCATCAGAGATACCGAGTTGGCGACGACTCCAACGACATGACACAGGGCACCAGTCACTGGCCACCCACCGCGGATCGGGTCAGGGTCTGTCCCGCAGTCCAATCGCTCGCTCCCTTTTCCTTTTCGCTCGCCAACAACGAATACTGCTACTCCAAAGGCCCTAGTAGCCCCGATAGTGCGCCCCTCCTCTCCCCGGCCTCAGACCTCCGTTTATTGCCGGGTCCTAAGCGGGACGGACGCTGGCCAGAAAGCCTATCACTGGCTGTTCTTCCCAATTTGATACTGGGCCTGAGAAATGGTTGGGACACCGAGAGCGTCTACAAACCGCCTGCCACTGGACGCTCCGATGTCGTGGCAAGTCCCGGCCCGCTGAAGATCATGCCGCCTTTGGCGGGAAACGGGGAGATAGCCTTGGACCATGACAGCTTTGAGTGGCGACATAAACTAAACGACAACGATCCCGAGTCATTCCTCTTGACCGACCCGGGGGAATCATCGTTATTATTTCGCCTATTGCTTCCCCTTTTCTTGCACCGAGGTACGGTAACAAAACAACTGTCACTTTGTTTGTCTAATTGCCCAGGTGAGACGTATGCCACGCCTTGGCTTGGGGCGTCGATAGTTGAAGCATCCAGGGTCGATGGTGGTGGCCCTGCCGCCGCTGCAGTCCTGGACTTCGGGTCGTCAGGTACAAATGACATCGTCGTCGGTCTCGTCGGCCAGGGCCAATTCTTCAGGCATCAAGACACGGCGTGGTATACCTCGCGCTTTGGATTCATGACCATGATTCACTGCCTTACTGGGAAACCCGATGAGACGTGCTAGGCATGGCATAATGAACCGGGCTGGAAGTCTCGACAGTTGCCGTTGCAGTTCAAAAGGTGAAAGTTGCTCACCGAGCCAATCCAGACGGGAGAGCTTCAGGTGGACTATCGTTTCAAGACGAGGGTTCCTGGCTCGAGTTGGGTGCGAAAGGATCGGCGCGCCCATCCCGAGGTCCCTGGTCTACTCTACACCTTGACAGTCTGCTCTGGCGCTCTGGTCTGCGCTGCCTTCCTTGCCTGTCACCTGTCAATCTGGACCCGAGCCCGGCGGTCCGTCCCTCTTGGAGAGATCTCCAAAGTCATGACTGTTACATGTGCACTATCCATGCAGTCGAGCAGCAAGCAGCGGCAGGCCACAGTACCGAGGACACCCGGCGCGCGACTGAGGTAGGTACGGTTACAATGACCGTTTGCCCTTCCTTCTCTTTGGCCATGGACATGGCTCCCTAGGAAGAGGTAGGGGGCATCTTGGACACCTTTTCAACGTCTGTGCCGCCTGGCAGGTAAACCTCGGATGGATCAGATCAAGTACAGTTCACGGGCGTCGTTGATTGGGCCAACTGCAGGACGACGTCGCCTCAAGGTCCGCAACCTCTCAAATTTGCATTGAACCGACTGGGACCCAGGCCTGCTGCTACTGCGTGATCCTATGCGCCTGCTCCTGCGGCGCACAGAGTCCCCCTCCCCGTGGCTGCAGTGGTCGCATACAGCCGACCAGCCAACCCTGGCCAGGCGCTGACCTCATTCGTCCATAGTCGACGTCTGGGCTGCAGCAGTTTTGACCAGCAGGGCCCATGCCGCTGGCACCTCATCCACACCTGCGAAGCCTGCCTAGTGGGATTGGACAATCATGACAACGGGCAGCAAGACGGAGCGATTCGCACAGTTGCTCCAGACCGAACCCTTCGTTCTTCAGGCGGAAGCAAGCAGCAAGGAGGCAGAAGCAAGGAGTAGCAGATACGGTACTGGCGACAGCCAGCCCATCCGTCCGTGTTGATCCCGCGCGTACAGCATAAGCAAACACCGAAACAACGCGCAGCCCAGACAGACAAGAGGTACCGAGCCATCGGATCCATCACCCGCTCACCAGGATTCGTTGGTAAGTAGGCAGGCAGACAAGCAAGCAAGCACAAGGCTCGCTCCCCAAGCTACATGAGAGGTACTTGGTCCATTTCGCCTTTTCATACCTACCTACCTACCTACCTACCTACCTAGGTATACCTAGACCTTATCCGCATCTCGCACACCCATCTCACCTCAGGTTAACGAGAGAGTATCCTCCTCCTCCTGTCCCGTCCTATCACACCGATGCTTGTCTCGTTACAGAACCCCTCCCCCACCTCTATAGCCTACCTACGCTTCCGAACTTCCCCAGCCACCGTCTGCTTGCTAATACGAGTAGCTGCCGCAACCTAACCCGTCCTCTCCATTTGTTTGGGCCCGACGACTTTTCTGCCTCCTCTCGCTCTCTCTGTCTGTCGTTGCCGCCTGGTCCGCTCCTCTTTCGCCCACGACTTTTACTGCCGCGCCTTGCCTCGACTAAGCACAAGGTACCTTAAACCTAACCTTGCCTGCCCGCCTACCTTGACCCTACTTTGTCATCACAACATTCCATGCCTACCACCTAACCTTGCCTTGCCTTACTTCATCCGCCCAGTTTACCTTGCTTGACCAGACCTGACCTCCCACCCCTCCGGCGCCTCTCTCCTCTTGCCCGTCTCGACTTGTATCGGACAGCAGCCACCCTCACCACTACCACCACTACCACTACTACCACCAGCACCACCCACCGACGCCGACGCCTGCTCCGCCTCTGCCCAGAACGCGACGCCCTTTTCCCTCAAAGTACCTCCTCCCCTGTGCCTGTGTCCATTGCCAGGGGATCCACCCCACCACAAGTATCCAGATCTCCGAAGCTTCTCTGCAAGCCCTGCCGCTACCGACCACGCCCACTCCCACGCAACCCTCAACTCGCTGAGACGAACTAGGAAGCTCTGCGCCGCAGCGGCTCGGCGTTCAAAATGTCAATAAAGTACGTCCTTCTGTGTCCAGTCCCCTTCTATGCTCTCTCTCTCTGCCTGTGCTTCCCCCTTCATCTTCCCGTCATCCCACGCCGCTCGAGCCCCATCACCACCGGAGCCATCCCGGTCAGAGTCCGTGGTACCCCGCTATCAACCTTGACCTGATCTTTTGTTGGTTCCCACCCCACACTTCCCGTCCATCATGACGGACCAATATCTGCAAGAGCAGCATGCCCTCACTATTGCCCGCACCGTCCAGAGAGAACGCCAACTTGCCCAGGCCCGCCTAGATTCTGACCATGGAGATAGTTGGGTCATGATCACCCAGACGGGTGAAATCAATCCTTTACCTCACGAGCACATCAGACACAGATCCAACGCCAAGGTCAGCCTGGAGCTGTCGGTTCCCAAGTCACTACAGCAAGGAAGGACGCCGTTCACGCGCAAGAGCGACAACGGCACCGCATACATCACAACACAACGAGTAAGTGATATGTGTTTGCCTCAAGACGCGGTGCCTGAGCTCCCAATTGACATGCCTCACACAGGTCATATACGTCCCCGCAAAACCAACCCCCGAGTTCAAGTCGTTCCATGCGCCCATCCTGAACTGTGCCGACTCGTATGTGGGCTCGCCCTTCTTCGGCGCCTGGTTTTGGTCCGCCACTGTCGTGCCGGTTGCTGGAGGTGGCGTACCTGCCGACATACCAAGAGTCGAGGTGAAGCTAAGCTTCAAGGAAGGCGGTCACAGCGAATTCAGACAGCGGTTTGAAGAGTTGAAGGAACGACTGGAGCACGTCAGGCGTCTACAGCAGGAGACTGGACAGACGGTCAACATCCCGGACGAGCCGCTGCCGGCATACGAGGCGACTGAAGGCGCAGGCGCTCCGAGCGGTGTTGTTTCGCAGTCGTCGCCATCGCAGCAGCCGCAGGAGGAGCCACTGGCCCGCCAGTCGGCTAGCTCTGGGAATCAAAACCAACGCCCGAACGAACCTCCACCAGATTATGAGGAGGCGCAAGCTCAGACACTGAGCATGCGGCTCGAAGACCACGTCCGCGAGGAGTCTGGTAGAACATAGAGGTTGGTTGTTCGTCACGGCTCATGAATTGCGTGGTTTTTTTCCCCCTCTTTGCATCGATACCTTGCATTCTTCTTTATTCTTTTCGCTCCTTACACATGTACTTTTTATGGCATCTAAATCGGCGGCTGGCGGGTTTGCGTTTCTTGATGAACTTTGCAATGTAGAAATGACGGGGCATATCTTGACAATGACTTGGGAATGTACGTCCGGGAAACCAGAAACAGGGCACAATCTAAGCACGTACGTACACGTATGCCGGCTCGCATGGCAACATGCTGATCAATCGCCACTTACCACGATGGCCGAGTACGGCGCGCTGAGGCTGTACGGCAAACATGCGAGTAAGCATGTATGCTTGTAAATTTATTTTCTCTCTCTCTCTCTCTCTCTCTCTCCTGTGTTGGGAGTAGGTAATTAGTAGGTATGCGCTGGGCCGGCCGGCAAATTCTTGGTGGCTCGGGTCACGTTCAATGACGCTTAGTCACCCAGCCTTTCCACCGCGGCCAATCAAAAACGACCAATTGGGAATAACTTAGCATCCGGCCCAGACACCCAGTTTTCGTCTTCAATCCGCCGAAAGCTCCCGACTTCCTCCATCACCATTCACGCCATCACGTCAAGCCATTGAGAGCACACACCTCTGCCACAATGGGTTTCTGGGATACCATCACGGACCTCGCTGAGGCCGCCATGCCGTGGGCCACCGTCGAGGCCGAGGCTCCTGCCGCCGAGGAGAAGGTGAGCTGCGCAAATTGTTGCCCGATAGCCTGAGGCCGGGCGAGACACGTCGACACCGCTCACCGCGACGTCCGACGGGCTCTCACGCGGCCTCGGTGCATCTCGCGACACTTTTCTTTCGACGCCCACAGAGGCTGAACCAGTCCGCTGACGACATTACAGGAGGAGGAAACCCCCGCCGAGGAGGAGTCCAAGGAGGAGCCCGAGGCCGAGGAGGAGGAAGAGGAGGAGGAAGAGGAAGAGGAGGACGAGGAGGAGACCGTTGACCCCAAGGAGCAGCTCGAGAAAGGTCCGTCGTCCCGATACTTGGATGCATACGCGATGTCGAGTGCTGGTGGCGGTCGATGACACGCACATTGTCCAATTTGGCACATGGTCCGACCCTGCGTTGGCTCAATGGCCCCCGCCAGTCAGATTCGACATGGCGATAAGCAGATACCACGCCAGAACAGAACACTGACAGACGAAACACAGAGTGCGAGGAGTCCAAGGCCTGCGCATCGGTCAAGCACCACTACGACGAGTGCGTCGAGCGTGTCACCGCGGCCGCCGATAGCGAGGAAGGCGCCAAGGAGGACTGTGTCGAGGAGTGTAAGTAACCCGAACCTGCCGGATATATGCGATGCGAGGCCCACGGGCGTGGATTCGGTCCCGTCGAGGGAGGAACGCTGACGTTGCTGCATACAGTCTTCCACCTCGCCCACTGCGCCACCCAGTGCGCTGCCCCCAAGCTCTGGGCCAAGCTTAAGTAAACTGATCCACCCGACTCACGAAAAGACGGCGTCGACGGATGCCAAGACCATCGCATCAGCATTAGCGCAGGTTGTTTTCTAGAAGGTGGCCGCGAAAGACGAGATGCTGAGACGAGACGACGACGACGTCTAGTACCGGTCCCTTGGGACCAACCCTGTACCTCAAGGTGCCCATCAAGCCGGGTCGCTCAGCAGTGGGCGCTGTCGGGCTTGTGGCGCCGATATTTGTCCTTTGTACCATAGGCATCGCCCGCAATAGATTCCTCCATGATTTATCCAGCTGTCGGCCTTGTCACGACCGTCATCTCGCAGCCTCGGCATGTTCGGTCTGGAACTCGGATATCCCCCTGTTACGAAGCCAGACTGGAGAGATCATTGACATGTTCCGATCTGGAAATCCATCAGCGTTTGGCGGTTGGTCCGCATCAAGACATGCCCCCCACCCCCCCCCCCCCCCAAAACACACAGGTTTGAGGATATCTCCCAACTCCAGAGTCCTTTGGATCAAATGGTAGTGTCTAGCAACGCTGCATAGTGAGATTGATTGAGACCGAAGATATCTTACAGCTTTACCCTGCGAGAGGGTAAGTCAAAGGAGTAAGTGCCGCGAAGAGAAGAAAGAAAAGAAAAGACAAAGGGATAAGAGCACGCGGTCTCGACGCAGGTTAATCTGGCCGTCGACGGCATACGCGACGGAAACTTGACTCGAGGCAATGGTGTCGGCGATATTCTTCAGCCCAACTCCCAGTTGTCAGTGCTGGATGCAGGCATTTCACGATGGGGTGGTGTTGCAGAGCTTTCGAAGTCTTCTTGCTCTCTCCTCCCTCGAGTCTTGGCAAATAGACCTCTGACGACTGCAGCCAGCGGTACAAAGTTGGTGATGCTGGGTGTAATTGGCGAGAGTTCGGATGGCTGACCGGGCCAGGAGAGGTGGCCCAATGCGATGAATCGGCCGAGAGGCAGGCCAATGGGAGATGGGTCACATCCATCCCCCGCCTCCCCTCCTCGCCGTCCGGTCCTGTTCTGGACAATCGCTTGGTTTCCGGCCAACGGGCGTTCTTTCCCCCTGGCTGCACCGTCTTTGTGGCTGGCTTTTGGCGCGCTATCTGCCTGGTGCTCCCCGGCCACGGCCACGGCCACGGCCACGGCCACGGGAAGCCAATATCATATCGCTGCAGGTGCAAGCAAGCATGCAGACACGGCACAAAACCCAATGCGAGACCATTTGGGATGGGTTTGCTGGGTACACAAAAAAGACTGCAAGCTTCTCATGCAGCGGCTCGATTCAGCGGCAACAGGCAAGCATGGTCGGCCCTCGTAGATGCGCAGAATCAAACCGGCGCCGCGGACACCGTGGCCCGTGCCTCCATTTCCACGTCGACAGAGCATACTGATTGTTACTAGTAAGGAGCACTCACTGATTAATTCCAGGCGTCGTCGAAAAATAGGAATTGAGGGCACGCGGGTGGGAGAGTTTGGCACCATGTGACCTCCCCCACACCCGGCCTCCGGGCGCAAGTGATACGGGGACTGAACCGACGTGCGCGACAGGGGGAGGGATATGGTGCAGTGGGTAAAATGTCAGAGTCGACGGACGGGTTCTATCCCACATTCAGTATCAGTTGGCTGCTATCGCTACCACCATAGGTTCGACTTGATATCCCCCCTCCACCCCTGTGCCCATTCATTCCCTTTTTATCCAAGTCGGCCTCCCGTCTTGCCCTCGGTATCTCTCTCTTCTTCAGCCTGATTTCCCCTCCTTGTGGCCATCCTCGACCGTTGGTGTCCTGGCCTCGTGCCTCTCCATAGCCGGGAACGCAGTGTTTTTTTGTTTTGTTTTTTGCTACGTTGTGGGCAGCACTCGAGACAAGAAAGAAGGAAGGAAAGACTCTGAGAAGGAACCAGAATAGCGCCAAGACACGCTTAGGCCAATCCGCCGCATCCACTACCCTAATCGACTGTTCCCCTTCCGTCTCGTCTCAGAAGGTGGGTGCGCGGCCTAGTGTATCGGCACCTAGTGTCTTTTACAATGCGCTTCTCCCGCCTCCCGAAACGCCAGGCGCAAGTTTCGGCTGAAAACAACAACACCACCGACGCCCTCTCCATCGAAGCTCACGAAGTCGACGCGAAGGACAAGGATAGCGGCGACACTGAAAAGAAGGCCCCGAACCCCGCCTCGCTGCCCGATAGCGACATGCCGAACCCCGCCCCGCCCGGCCCCGGCTTTGGCAAGCTGGGGGACGTGGACTACGACCTTCGCGATGTCGACTCGTCCGCGTCGCGCGGCGACGGTGGTGCTGCCGCCGCCGCCCCTGATTACGACGGCAGCGTCATCGAGGGGACGACGACGGTCGAGTACCGCACGTATAAGCGCCGTTGGTTCGGCCTGGCGCAGCTGACCCTGCTCAACATCATCGTGTCCTGGGATGTAAGTAAAGCATTTTTAATAAAATCAAATAAACCCCCCGGCCGTCGAATGCATGCACGTCCCGAACCCTCGTTTGCTCTACTTTCGATTTACTCCCCCCGGATATGACGTCTTCTTGTTTGTCCATCTTGCAGACTCGGCGTTGTGGTCCGGGTACCTGCGGCCCGCACTCCTTCCTGCAAGCCATGATCCTGCGGTCGCGAATCTAGCTGGCGAATGACGGGAGACGATTCCATGGCAAAATAACTGCTGCATACCTATCAGCCGGTGGAAACAAAACCTCAAATGAGAAAAAAAAGAAGCTGACATAAGACCCTCTCTTTTCCTCCCCAGTGGCTCACCTTCGCCCCGGTCGCCTCCATCGCCGCGGACTACTACGACGTCTCCGAGTCGGCCATCAACTGGCTCTCGACCGCCTTTCTCTTCTCCTTCGTCGCCGTCTTCCCCGTCACGATCCGCATCCTCCACCTGGGGCCCAAGCCCGCCTTCATGACGGCCGGTGCCCTGATCCTCGTAGGCAACTGGGTTCGGTACGGCGGGTCGCACGCCCGGGGCGGCGGCAGCTACGGCGTTGTCATGTTCGGCCAGATCCTCACCGGCCTCGCCCAGCCCTTTGTGCTGGCCGCCCCGACGAGGTACTCGGACCTGTGGTTCACCGACCGCGGCCGCGTCGCCGCCACGGCCCTGACCTCCCTCGCGAACCCGCTCGGCGCCGCCCTCGGCCAGCTCATCGTGCCCTTCTGGGTCACGTCCCCGGGCGACATGTCCTCCGGCGTGCTCTGGGTCGCCGTCATCTCCACCGTCGCCGCCCTCCCGGCCTTCTTCATCCCCGCCCGCCCCCCGACCCCCGTCGCCCCCTCGTCCCAGACCGCCAAGCTAGGCATCCGCGAGTCCGTCGCCGCCGTCGGCCGCTCCCTCGAGCTGTGGCTCGTCATGATCCCCTACGCCGTCTACGTCGGCCTCTTCAACTCCATCTCGTCGCTGCTCAACCAGATGATGGGACCTTACGGCTTCTCCGACGAGGACGCCGGCATCGCCGGCGCCCTGCTCATCGTCGTCGGCCTCGTCTTCTCGGCCATCACATCGCCCATCCTCGACCGCACCAAAAAGTTCCTGCCGGCCGTCAAGGTCGCCGTCCCCATCATCGGGCTGTGCTACCTCGCCTTCGTCTGGATGCCCGAGACCCGCACCGTCGCGGGCCCTTACGTCGTGCTCGCTGTCCTCGGCGCCTCCTCCTTCGCCCTCGTCCCCGTCGCCCTCGAGCTGCTCATCGAGCTGAGCCACCCCGTCAGCCCCGAGGTCACGAGCACCATCGCCTGGGCTGGCGGCCAGGCCCTCGGCGCCGTCTTCATCATCATCTCGGACGCGCTGCAGGCCGATGCCGCCGCTGACCCGCCCAGGAACATGAAGAACGCCCTCATCTTCCAGGCCGTCATCGCCATGGTCACCGTCCCGCTACCGCTTTGTCTCGGCCTGTTCGGCCGGGCCGACAAGGTCAGCCTGAGGCGCGTCAGGTCCGACACCCGAAGAGCCCAGCAGGAGAACCCGTAAAGGGCCCGTAAAGGGGGGGGGTGGGAAGGTCTTTCGCCGGTAACGTGTGTACGAAGTGATGAGAGCTAGCAAAAGGACGGCTGGGGGTTATTCATGAGTGAATGGGATGTGATTAAGCATTATGTTAAGTAAACGTTTTTTGGATACCCTTTGTATATTTCGCCAGTTGAGGGGGGAAAAAAACAAGCCAAAAAAAGAAAGCACAAGACCCAGCGCCTCCCCCGTCCCCTTTCATGTTCACGTGGCCCTTCCGTTTCAACCCGATTTGCCGTTGCCGTTGCCGTGACTGTCGACGCCGTGTCTGCGAATGTCAAGAAACTCCTCCCACTCTCGCCGCAGCTTCTCCATCTCGGCCCAGACGCTGGCGCCGAGCTCCTCGAACTCGGCTAGCTGCTCGCTGCTCAGGTCCTTGGCGTTGGGGTTCCGGCCGACGACCTTGCGCAGCACGCCGGTGGCCGGGTCCCGGGACAGGGAGTCGCGGTCCTCGACGGCGCCCTCCCACCCCCAGCCCTCGACCTCGGTCTTCTTGACGTCCTGGCGGCCCGAGAGGGAGGCGGCGGAGCCCCACTTGATCTTCTTGGCGTCGAGCTCCGTCAGGGTCTCGTCGTCCTGCAGCGCGATCCAGACGGGCGCCACGGCGCCGTTGTATCCCGTGACGGGGTGCCACGGCGAGCCCAGCCAGCGGGCGAGGTAGAGGACGAACTTGTAAGCCCAGAAGAGGATGAAGGGGAAGGGGACGGGGAACAGGTTGGAGGCGACTACGCCCGGGTGCGTGAGGTAAAAGGAAGGACGAACTGGTAGGGCCCGCGCGGTTTCGGGGTCCTCGGGGGTGAAGTAGGAGGCCGAGATGTTCTGGGTGGCGGGCAGGTGGGAGGTCAGGGCGAGGACGTCGGTGAGGCGCTTGGAGGACTCGTAGGGCGCCTCGGTCTCGACGCCCTGGAAGTCGTCGAGGCGGAAGTGGCGGGCCTGGGGCTCGATACTGCTCGTCCAGACGACACGGCCGGGGGCGGTGCGGTCGTCGGCGGCCCTGGAGAGCAGGGGGAGGAGCTCGTGGGCGAGGACGTAGTGGCCGAAGACGTTGGCGCAAAAGACCTCGCCGAGGACGGGGGAGGAGGGCTTGGTAACGTAAGCGGAGGCTAGGGAGAGGGGGTAATCGGGGGAGTCTGCGGGTACCAGGTCGGAGCGGACGGGGCGCTGGTTGAGGACGGCGCCGGGGCGGGCGAGCTTGAAGGAGGGCCAGGTGAGGAGGGTGAGGATGCCCTTTGTGAAGAGGTCGGTGAAGAGGCCGGACCAGTCGAGGCCGGTCCAGCCGCCGAAGCCGGCGTTGAAGATGACGGTGTCGAGGCGGGGGATGCTGTAGCGCGGGGCGGCGGGGCTCGTGTCGGTCGGGTCGGCGACGGCGCCGGCGACGAGGTTCGCGGCGCAGGCGTAGACGGAGGTGAGGTCGCAGAGGTCGAGCTGAGTGGAGAGCAGGTGGACGCGGTCGAAGGTGTCCTGGGGGTCGTAGCAGGAGGAGCCGGCGCGGGAGCGGAGGGCCGGGGAGGAGGTGGCGGTACGGCGGAGGTGGTCGCGGAGGGAGGAGACGGTCTCGCGGGACTTGCGGACGGAGCGGGTCGTGGGGATGAGGATCAGGTGGGCGGTCAGGGGCCGGGTAGCGAGGAAGTCGTCGATGAGGCGTTCGCAGATGCCGAGGCCGACTCCGCTGGGCGGGGCGGGAGGGAGTCAGTGGGAGGGTTATAAGAGAAGCGCGAGAGGCTCGCCAGGGGAGGAGAAAGGGGAGGGGAGGGGAGAGGTGGACGGAGGGCTTACCTGTTTGCGCCGGTGACGAGCACGAAGAGCTGCTCGCGGGGTGAGACCTTGTCCCAGGGCGCTGCGATCATTGTGCGTCTGTCTGTCTGTCTGTCTGTCTGTCTGTCTGTCTGTCTCTCTCTCTCTCTCTCTCTCTCTCTCTCCTTCTGTGTGTCAACTGAAAAAGGGAGTGTATCTCGAAGAGGGTCGCGGCTTCATAGGCGGGGTGGATTTAGTGAATTATTGAATGAATGAGTGAATGAATGAATGAATGACGAGGAAGCGAAAGGAGGGGGATGTTTGGCGGTGAGTCTCGTGTCTTGTCCAAAATTCGGACGGGAAAGCTTAATAGGTCGCTGCCTCTTTGGGCCAACCGCGTCTGTCTCATGCGGGTCCGCAGGGACCTCGACGCGCCTAATTGCTGACATAGTTTAGGACCGTGAAAATGCAGTGTACAACCACGGTGTCTGCTGCATCCCGAGAGTCCGAGCCGGGGACGCAAATACCTACGTGTTCGTCCTACTGTGCAGTCAGATGCCGACCATGATAGCCGTTCGGAGAAGCTTTGGTGAGCGTGGGCGGCAGGCAGTACATGGTAGTTAGCAGTCGTTCCGACGCCGCGGTGGGAAGAGACGGGGGACACATTGTAGCTACGGTTAGACGGGGAACCCTGGGCTGATGTTTACTGCCGAGACAAACGCCTGGTCTGTTTTATAGTCGTAGTGAACATGCTTAAATGCAATTGTGCTTGCGGTCTGGGAACACAACGGACTCGATATTCGAGCCGAGGAATCCAAGTATATCAAGACAATCAATCCCATGGATAATTACCTATGTAGACAAACTAGCCAAATCCGCATTTCGCTTGCCCGATTCGCCTCGCCTACTATACCGGATTCGGCCGGCTCTCGCGCGCTTCAGGCTCGTTCGACGTCGAACCGACCCAAACCAAACCAAACCAACCCGATCACGGACCTCACTCTGCTTCTGTCACACTCCGAGTCGTTCTTGCTCGATTCATCACAGACCCCGTGTCTGATTGGCCGGCGAGCCGCCCCGTCCATTCGATCGCTTAGGGACGTTCCGCACTCTCAACTTCAACTCAACAACACGGCATCGCAACTCGAGACCGAGACGCTTGACAAAGAGGCCATTGTTATTATTATTATTATTATTGGTCTACCAACTGACTACACGTCCCCGCCGTATCTTCATTGTCTACCTCTCCTCTTTTCTCCCTTACGCGACCTTGCAGAGACGGCCGTCGCTCCGCACCTCCCAGTCGTCGCTGCCCACGCCTGTGAGCGCGTAGAAGGTGCTGGAGGGGTCGTACTTCTGCTTAATCGTCTTAAGCTTGGCGTAGTTGCCGCCGTAGAAGACGTCCTTGTAGTCGACCTCGTTGCGGTCCGCCTCGTTGAGGTACGATCCGCCGCCAGGCGTCAGCGCCTTGAGCTTAGGGAGCATCACGTCCGTGACCGTGTTCTGGCCGACCTCGAGCGTCGAAAATTCGGCGCGGTCGTAGGTGCTGAGTTTTTCACATCTCGTCAGCTTGGGTCCGTTCCGTCCGACGGCACGAGAACACGGATTGAGGAGGGGGAGACTCACGTTCCGATGACGGCGGAGAAGAGAGCCGAGCGCCACGCCGGGTTCACCGCGTTGGGGACCGCGTCGTCGGGCCGGGCAACGTTGATGGTGAGGCCCGAGATGACGCCTCCGTCGTCGGTGATGGACTGCAGCGTCTCCGTAAGACTAGTGAGCGAGGCGTCGTCGGCGACGAGGGTGCGGGGCAGAAGACGGCCGCCAATGTTGTACTCGGTGACGGCGGGCTCCGGGTTCATGGCGTTGTAGCTGTCCAGGAAGGTATCGTACTGCTCAATGTGGTAATCTGGACTTTTGTCAGTCGAGGGCTGTCGTCACACACGGGCTCAACAACAGCTTCGGTTCGCGCTTCGTCTTGACTTACCGTACTGAATGCAGGCCTCGTCGAGCGCGTCGAGGAACGGCTGGAGCAGAGTCTGGAGCTCATCCTTGGTCTTGTTGGGCAGAGTCGTCGGCTGCATAAAGAATGCGCCGCCGGCCAACAGCCAGATGCTGACAGCTCCGGCGTCGACGACGTCGGGCAGTGTCTTCAGGTATGTCTTGACGGCGCCGTAGAAGACGTCGTCCGAGATGCCGCTGTTGGTGAACGTCAAGTTGGCAGAGGACGTGATGGTGTCGGGGTACGCCTTGATGGTTACGGACAGCGCGGCCGCGTACACGCCACCGCCGCCGCCGGACATGGCCCAGTAGAGGTCCGAGGAGTCGGTAGGGGTCGCGACGATTCTCTGGCCCGTGGACGTAATGACCTCCCACTCGAGCACCTGGTCGGCCGAGAGGCCGTACTTGGAAACGAGGGGTCCGTGGCCGCCGCCCTGGGTGTAGCCTCCCGCAATACCGACGGTCGGGCTGTTGCCTCCAACAACGACGAGGCCTTTGGCGTGCGCGGCGCTCTGGGCCTCGCCCGCCTGGACACCGGCGCCGAGCTTGAGAGCCTTGCCGGTGTAGGACGCGGACTTGTAGTCCAGGACCTCCATGTCCTTGAGGTGATGCGTCCAGAGCGCCAGAGCGCCGGCCCCGGTGGACTTGCCGAGGTAGTCGTGGCCGGTGTTGCGGATGACGAGGCGGATGTTGTTGTCCTGGGCGAACTTGATTGTCTTGACATAGTCGTCGGCGCCTGTGGCATTGACGGCGTACTGGACGTAGGTGCCGATGACGCAGCGAGCGGAGCGGGCGACGAAGGGGTCGCAGCTCTGGTTGGCGAAGAAGGCCGCCATCACCGAGGACGACGTCTTGATGTGCGTCTCCGCCTGGCTCCAGACGTTCTGGAGAGCCGTGCACTCGGCCTCGTTGTAGGCGCCGAACGAGCTGTCGTGGCAGGGGGCGCCGATGGGGACCGTCGCGATGAGGCGCCCGCCGATGGTCTGGTTGAAGGCATCCCAGTTCGCCGCCGTCGGCCAGCAGGCATCTCCGGGGTAGCAGCGGCAGGCTGCGTCACTTTGGCGAGCGAAGTGGCCCAAAGGATCGCCGATAGAAGCGGCCGAGACAGCCGCAGGGGCGAGCGCAAGGAGGTTGAGGAACGACACCATCTTGAACGAAAGGGAGACCGTTACGATCGCTTGCGGAGGGCAAAGGGATCGTGGAGGGGGATGGAGCGATGGGAAGGACCGAGGTGAGGTGAAGGTTCACACTCCGACGTGGTATCGGACTACCTGGGCCATACATATAGGAGACAGTTCACGAACATCATCAACGCTAATCGAGCCGGATGACCCGACGACGGCTCGAACGACACCCATGCCAAGACCAGACGACCCATCGGTTAACGACTACCTTGCGTCCCACACGTGTTCGTGAGAGGGGAAAAAAAAAAAATCAATAAACACTTTGGACTATTGGAAATATTACGTCTGGGTTTTCACTTTCCTGACTCTTCAACCCTGCTAGGCCGTAGGGACACTGGAAGTAATGGGACCGGTTGCCGTGGTTGACTCGCGGTCGAGTGATTAACTCGACAACATTGATATTGGAGAGAGGGGGGGCGCGGTCGACCCCCATGGCAACTGACTTCGCCTTCTCTCAGATTCGAGGCCTCCTCGTTGGAAGCTTGGAAGACACGGCATCTCTAATAACCTGTTATAGGTAGGTAGTATCGCGGCACCATACTAATGGGATGGTCCCTGGTAGGAATGCCGCCTTCATCTGCCAAGATGATAACAGGATACTGCCACACTAAGGTATAATCTCGGAGAGTATCCGTATAAGGGGCGACCAAACTCGCATTTGCCAAGGGGCAAGGGCAGTCGGATGCAGCCATAACCGGAGAGGGGCTGCCAGTCAACGTCAACGGTTCATCCAACATGGCACGGTTCCGTGGAACCCGAGCGGTGGTACCACAAGAGAGAGGGGGTTTACCCCAGGCCATGGCCCGGGGTCGAACGGACGACACTATGGAGGAAAGCCGGCATCATCACCGTTCACGGACGCTGCCAAGGAGAGGGGAGACGGGTGTCGTAAGTCAATCGATCCTCCCGCTGGCAAGGTTTATATTCTGGGTCTGTACGAGTCAACAACACGCATGTGCATTGTGCATTTCGAGCGGTTTGATTTGTCCGCCTGAGAACCCCAATTTATTCTCGCAAATAACCCTCCTGCTTGCGACGACCCCTGTCGATTCCATGCCACGTACCAACCTTCCTCGGCCTCCACGCTTCGTTCCCCGAGCCAGCTACTTATCTAGCTCATGACTCGCACAGCTCCACAGATCCTTGATCAGCCCTGATCAACCCTGACCTGCCAACTCTGAACGAAACGACGAATACGTTGAGAGTTCACAGAACAGGTCCTTCATGCCGTTTGCGACCTCGCCTGCGCGCCCGTTACGTCCGCCACGGCAACGATACGAAACCGTTACCGACTAGCGGCAGGGAGTACAGACAGATGGTCCACAGGCACCAAAGCTTCCAAGCTCGCGAGTCCGTTTTTGGTGTCCTTGTCCGGAGGACCCCAACGACCACCAGCGCCCCGGACAGCGTGGGGAGCAGCACTGCCCACGAGCGGATACGCCAGACATATACGCACACGCAGGACCAGAGTGGGACAAGCACCGAGAGAGACAGGCGCGAGGCCTTGTCGCCGAAGAATAGGGGGACGGTGGCGCGGCCGCGGCCGCTGTCGCCCGCCTGATCCTTGAGGTCCTGGACCTGCATCGTCGTCAGGATCACGGCGCTGATGATGAAGGCCCACGCGTAACCCTCATCTGTGATGGCCGCCTCGTTGTCCCCGCTTATGGCGATCTTGAGCGAGGCCGTGTTGAAAAGGCCGTAAGCCACGGAGATGATGGGGTCCCGCAGGAGCTCGTCGCCCCCGCGGAGATCGTTATACAGCCACGTGAGGATGAGGATGAAGACGCCCTCCTTCCAGACGTCCAGGGCGTGGTTCATGGCGAGTGCAGCGGGGACGGCGACCAGCATGGCCTTGCGTGTCTGCTCGGGCGTGACTTTGCCCGCGGGGATTGGACGCCAAGGCTTGTTCGCGTAGTCTTCGGCCACAGACTCGGGGCCGCGCTGGTTGGCCAGGTCGAAGATGAGGACGCTGTACCAGTTGAAGGCGACGATCAGAGGAAGGCGTTGCAGGACCGAGAGGGCCGTTGCGTGGCCCGAGGTCAGCGGCAGCCCCGTGAGCCCACCCAGGAGGCCAAAGGCCGTGTTGGGCACGACAAATGTGAAGAAGTTGCTCTCGGTGAAGTCCCAGATCAGGCGAGGGACGCGGAGGAGGGCCGACAGGTTGGACGAAGACCTGCAGCTCGAGTCCACGTCGTCCTCAAACGAGGACTGTTTGAGTATGAGGGGAGAGCGCTCCCCGGCGGCTGTGCTCTGCATGATGGGCCGTCCAAAGAGGTGAAGAAATCTGGGGAATGATGCAACAATTTCGGTTAACGGTTTTCTAGGCAGGAGAATCACTCCTCTGCCACATATTTCTTTTTCTCTCTCTCTCTCTCTCTCTCCCTCTGTCTCTCTCGAAGGGGCGCTCAAGGTCCTTAGATAAAGGTCTGCCGAGGGTTATATGGCCCCCCAAGGGGACTTGAGCCGAACCCATACACCCTCCGCTTCGGCCAGCGATCGCTAGGACATGCCCAAACGGCCGGATGCCTCCATCGCCAGATGTCTAATTGTTAGGCGGTACATGCCGAAAGTCGCAGTCTCGTCGAACGTAACCTCTCCGAGGTGCTCGCATAGGAGTCATGCATGCTGTGACTTGTACTGCGGGCAAGCCACAAATGCAATGTGCAGCAACCCCTGGACGATCACACGCCGGGCTCCATACGACTTCCCTTTGTTTGCGATGTTCTGGGCTAGCGCTCTATCAATATGCCTCTCACAGCGATCCAAGGTGCAAGGAACCCCCCTGAGAAGCGTTCTTGGGGGTGCGAGCTTCCAAGACAAGTGCGACTACTATTCAGACAGGACGAATACAACAAGTCGTGGAATGCAACGCAAGAGTCCACGATCACACTCGTGGCCCTTGCGATGGAACGGATAAGGAACGCGACAAGGGAAACTCGCCCATGACCTGCGAGCGCAGTGATCAGGAAGGGAATGCTACGTACAACGGGGGCCAGGTCGAAGCAAGGAAATAGTATAACGCGACGGCGACTCAGTTTCCGGTCCGGGACTGCTACGCCTACCGGTTTTACGGATATCGAGATATGGAGCATCCTGAACAGATGACGGTGATATATTGGTACTTGGCTGTGGAGACCGGGCTGCCGGGATCATCCTTCTCGCGGCCCTCTCCTTGGGCACGGGGTGGCGAGCACCTTTGTGATTGCCGCATCGTACATCCTCTCATGCAAGCGTCCGCGTAACCTCCCATACACACTATTGGTTTTACTGTCGCAGTACGATTTAGATGTGACCATAGCTCCTCCTGCCGAGCCTTGGATCCCCGGTGGAACGGGGTTGCCACGTTCGCTTGGACTGTCTGCCCCATTGCCTACCCACTCGTTTTCATGACTTTGCCGGGGGGAGAGAGAGAGAGAGAGAGAGAGAGACATGACTGATTATCCGAGGCACAGCCAAAGGGTGGACCCAGCCGCGGTATTGCGTCTCTCTCCCCAACTCCATAGCCAGAACTTTTCACCTGGGATTCCCGTGTCTCCTCTCTTTCTCGAGAGAGAGAGAGAGAGAGTCAGAACGGAGGCGAAGGGGGGGATGAGTAATTTCGGATAAACGAGCCAACATCAAACCTCCTCCCTTTCTTCGACGATGGGCCCCATATCGGCCTAGGTCTCTCCTGGCAGAGGGCTGAAGCCTGTCTGGAATTGATTGCGTGAGGGGTCGGCTTGTGGCTCCCGGAAGTTTGTTTGTGGTATACGACGGTAGTAGCTGCAGATCCCGAGAACTTCTGGGCCACAAATCACTTTAGAGAGGGAGAGGGAGAGAAGATTGAACACTCAACAGACAGACTTTGATTGCCGAGTTGAGAAACTTCAAAAATAACATAAAAAACACTAGACAAAATATACCAAGAGAGAAGAGAACCGTCAAGAAGAGCCCACTATGGGTATACAAAGGTACGACAAAAGAAAACATTCAAGAAGCAACGTGACCCTTAAACGCCGTAAACGATAACCCTGGCTGTGACCACCGCACGCACTAGGCTTAAAACCGTGATCCTTCGCGCGGGAATGTCTCCGATGCAATGTTCTGATGCACATAGATGCCCGGCTGGCTGTTACGGGGTGGCGCGTATTCCGGGGAGAACTGGCACCGGGTCGTGACGGCGCCGTTCTTTGCCAGCTCGGCGCGCTCGAGGTCATCGATGGAGGCGGTGTCGCCGAGCTTCCCGTAGACCCGACGGGACGCGCGAGTGCTGTGGCTGCTGCTGGTGATGTCCTTCAGCTGCACCGATCCCTTGTTGCTCGAGGGGTTTGTCAGCTTTGAGACGGCGGGCTTGACGTATGTCTTGAAAAGGGGACCCAAGGTGGGCAGGCAGGCGATGACGATGCCGATCCACAGCTCCAGGAGGCTGACGAGGCCAATGTCGTGGAGGTTGTAGACGAAGTCGGGGTCCCCGATGGTGGTGATGGTGTTAACGAGACGCCAGATCATGATGGCGATGGTTCTGTCCGTGTCAGTCGGGCTCTAGGGACGGAAAAGGGACGGGCGGGCGACTTACGCAAGGCCCATGCCGAACATGGCGCTGACAGCAATCTTATTCTTCAGGGGCATCTGGAGGCCCCAGAGCATCGGCATAGGGAGGGCGGTCATGGCGATGTCGAGGACGATGTTGATGCACACCGAGACGATCTGGTCGATGGTGATGTCGCGGCAGTGGCCGCCCGGGACGGGGTTCCATTGCTGGGACACGGGCACGCATCTGCTCATGAACAGGATGAGGAAGGCAACGCCGTAGGCACCCGTGACGCCCATGAGAATACGCGACCAGCGCTTGAACTGGGCCGTGCAGAAGAGCCTCGTGTAGAGCCACAAGATGGCCATCTTGATGAAGACGGTTCCCAGCAGCCAGGTCACGCCACTGGCGAGGATGAGCTGGGCGAGCAGCGGTTAGAAGATGGTTGAGGAAGAGGAACTTGGGAAAGTCTTACCTTGAACTGCACGGCATATTCACTCAGATTCAACTCGCTTGTGTGTTTACCTAGGCCGTTGTAGATGGCCCAAATGGCTACGCCTTCCAACGCCACCAAGTTGGCCTGTCGTGAGTTAGACCAGCCGACGACAAGCAAGGAGAGGGGTGGGGCTGGTGACTTACAAACGCAAACATGATCATCGCATCGTCCCAATAGAAGGATCTCCTCATCAACCTCGCGGACCACGCCCGCAGGCCCAGCACGACGGCATCGACGGTGGTGAAGATGATGATAACAATCAGGAGGCCGATGCCCCTCTCGCCGGCGCCAGGCATGTTGAAGGATTCTTTCTATTTTTATTTTTGGATCGCGGAAGGATTCAGACCCAAGAATACGGACGGCAATATGCTTGGTTCGGAAGGAGAGAACAAGACCAGACGGTCAGATATGAGACCGATAACTCGCATTAGTGGCACGGACTGATGCGCGGGATGCCGTCGACTCTTATGGAGGGGGAGCGGGATCGATCCTCGACGGCGTCAAAAAGCCGCCGTGTGAAGGCCATCTAGATCACACGCACACACGCACGCCCAACAATGGAGACGAAACATGGTACGCCGCGTCTGTCACTCACATCAAGCAGCACTCAAAACCAAGTATGGGTGAAAGGTACGGACGATAAGGTGCCGGCGGATGTCACCCTACTCTCCCTCATTCCCAGCCTCGGCGTTATGCCCAGGTAGGTATGTAATATGCGACAGGACGCACGCGTACACACATACACACATACATACATGCGTACACATACACTGAGCCTGTCTGTCCATGGCGGCGAACCGGGTTCGGCCGGGTACATTCGGCCATGGTCACGTTGGCCGGAGCATACATGCCAACTTGCGTACCATCAAGCCGTCAATAGTTTTTCTTTTCTCCCTCACCCTGCTATCTCCAACGGATGAAAAGAGCAGGGTGAATACCTAGGTACGACGTGATAAGTAAGAGCTTTCTGCACTCGCATGACATTGCATTCTGCCACCCCACCACACTCCCCTGTCAGGTGCATAGATATCTACCATGGTAGGTTAGTTGAGCGACCACGCCCTTACAGAGCCTTACTACATACGAAGCTGGAGCAAGATCCGGAAACAAGAGGGGCAACCGGTTCGCGAGGGGAGTATCGTCTCGCCCATGGGGGCCAACCATCCGTGTGGTGTTGCTGCACCTGTGGACCGTAGGGATAGGAAACCGGCAATTCTCTACATGATCCTGCCCTGCCCAGATGTGATCGGAACATGCACGCCTGTGGATCCATACCTCCTAGATAGATCCTTGTTGCTTGTTCCAGACGCGGACCGTCTGCCCCTGCTCTTCCACTTACAAGTTGCAGGGATCGTGAGGCCCACCCAGTTTATTGACTTTGAGTCTTTTGCAAATCGAGGTAGTACTATTGCAATGCATCTAGTTTAGTAAGAGTTTACATAGTAGCCGGTGTACTAGTGTATATACTAAGGTATGTCTGTACACTGCTGCGGTTCCAGAGTGGAGTATCTGCAAGTTGATATGATTCGCCATTATAGTACACATCGTACGTTGCTACACAATCAGGTAGCATGTACGTCGGGTAGTTGTGGCCGACTCTCATCCATAAATCCGTTCATACAGATATCATACACATATATCCATACCCATATATCCATACACATATATCCATACATACATAACCCACACATCCACAACAACCAGGATGGGGTTTCTATCAAGGCACCGCAGCACTGATGTGGGTAGCGGTTAACAGGCAGACACATTGCGGGTCTGCCCACGGGCCCCCGAAGTACCGCACTGCAACTAATATTAATTATATTAAAATAATAGATATATTCAGATATTCTGATTAGTTAATCCAGTTAATGTAGGTCTACTACATCCTCTGCGTTTTTTTAGGGTTAACTAGACCACCTACCTATATATAATAACAGCAAGTTAATAACCTATTACTACTAACTTATTACTGCTAACCTATTACTACTAACCTATTATTAACTATATTATTTATTACTAATTAACCTTTTACCTTATTATTATTGTTTTTTTTATATTACTATAGTATTAGATATCCCTCTGTTAACTACTAGTAAGGCTAATATAATTAACGCGTTAGATAATAAAATTATAACCCTCTAAGTGCCCTTGCTGCCTAACTATAAGGATAATATAGTTAACTTTAACCTAGAGGACTTTTAGAAGGAGCTTAATAGTAAAAATATTCCTTTTACTAGCTTACTTACCTATTTAACTATTTACTTTATTAGGACTTACCTTATATATCCCTAAGACTTAGGCTAGCTTTATTATTATACTTAATAACCTTACTGCCTACTGTAAGTAATACTTTTACCTTACTAAGCCTATAGAAGTAGGCGCTACTAAATTTAAATAAATATAAGCTTTTATTAGTAATTTCTTTAATTTAACTAAAGCTTAAGGCTATACCTCTAGTAGTACTACTACTACCTACTATTACTGCCTACTTTAGTTAACTAAAGCTAATAAGCCTTAAGGCAGTAAGGCTATAATAACCTATAACTACACTATATAGGTAGGCACTAGTTACCTTATATACACTAAAGTTATTAAGTAATAAATAAGTAACTTTACTATAATAGTAGTTATTTTATAAGTTAGCCTAGGCCTTTATAACTACTTACTTAAATACTTTAATTAAATCTACTTACTATAGGGTATTAAAGACTTTACTACTAAGTAAGTTACTTTTAGTTATTTACCTACTAAAGTCTACTATATACTCTAAGGCTACTTTAGCTATTATAAGGCTATTAAGTAGGTATTAGTAACTATAGGTAGCTATTAGCTTTTTTACTAGGCTATATATAATATAGGCTACTACTAGCTAGCTACCTACTTTAACCTTTACTTTATTAGCTATAACTATTTATAGTACTTATAAGTTACTAAAGCTAAAGCTTATTACTACACTTATAACCTTTAATTTTAGTATTATATAGTCTAATATACTAATAGGGTAAGTAAAAAGCTTATATAGGCCTCTAAGGCTAGCCTTATATTATTATAGTAATATAGCCTTTTTACTATAATAAATACTACTTACTAGACTAACTAGCTTAGCTAGCTACTTTATATAGTTATAGTTAAAGATACTATAGGTAGTTAAATACTAGTTAGCTACTTTTTTACTAAAAAAGGTAATACTAATATTGTTACTACTTACTTATATATATTAAAGGGCTAGGCTAACTAGTAGTTATATTACTTTTTTACTAATAATTTAGCTATTAAATAATACACTATATATAATACTTTTTATAGCCTTATAGATAGTAAGATAGAGGTATTACACTTCCTCTACTATATCTACTATAAAAGAACTTTCTACTGTTGTCTTATAAAACACCTAACTAGCCTATACTATATAATTTCTATATTAAAATATTACTATATAAGGCTAAGTTATTATAAATCTATTACTACTATAATAAAAAGTTTAATATATAAGGAAGCTACCTATATTAAAAATAACTAGCTACTAACACTTAACCTCTAGGCTAACTATGCCTATAACTATTTACTACTACTACTCTAGGCTAAAATAACTAACTTACTTAAAGGCCTTTATAGTGTTATTAAGTGTAGCTACTATTATATACTCTAGTAATTTAGCCTCTAAGGGGCTATTAAGTATATTAACTATATTAATAGTAGATACTTTACTACTACTAAGCTATACCTTATAAACTTTTATAGTAGAGTCCTCTATAAATAATAGGTCTTACTTTATCTTTTTTATTTACCTATACCTATATAAAAGTTAATTACTAGTAAACTTTATAAGGTAAAAGTAGCTACTACTAATAGTTTAGATTTATATTATAATATATAGGTAGGTAATAATAGGCTAGTATATAACTATAGCTTTTATAAGTAGTAGGTTTTACTTTACTAATATATTCTTTAATAGGCTATAACTAAAGATAACGTTATAGGTGCCTACTAGTAGTAATAGATATAGGGCTAAGGTAAGGCTAAGTATAAGATATATAAGGCTTATAAAGTATACTGTATACTATATATAGCTAACTATAAGGGTATTAGAATAGGGCAGGATTTTAGGTTTTTCTTTAAGTAGTTTTTATAAGTGTTTTTCTAGCTAGCAGAGCCTTAATTATCTTAATTAGGACATTAAATATAGATTAAGACTAATAAGATAAATAGAATATAGAATTTAACACCTATAAGTTAACCTCTACCTTTAACCCTAACTTTATTATTATAGTAATATAACTAATCCTAGATATTCTTTTAATCTTATACGCCTAATTAGGCCTTTTTAGCCTAATTAAGTGCTCTACCTACCTTATAACTATATAACTAAATAACAAGACCTTTTATATATAGTTCTATACTACTTAGTAATAATAGTATTACTAACTAAGTTTAACTGCTAACTAGAGATAGATATTTAATTAATAAACTATAGCCTTAATTAGACTAAGGTCTATTAATTAATGTTATTATCTTCTTAGATAGGGGTTAGTAAGTTACCTTTGTGTTTATAGGCGCTTAAGGTGCACTAGTAATAAGACCTTTAGGCAAAGTTATTTAAATTAGTTATATATATACTAGCTATCCTACTGCCTTATATATTAATATCCTACTTAGTTTTAATAGTGCCTTATAGTAGAATTAAACTACTAATCTTCTTATTACTAATGTAGTAGTAACCTTTTCTTATAATAAAATAATAACTAAATAATAAGAACTAATATAAGAATAACAAGAACTAACTAGACTAGAAAGAAAGAATAGAACTAACCTAATTAAATATATAGGTATATATTTAACCCTAAAAAAGACCTAACTAAATAAAAGACAAAGAAAGTAAAAATTAGTACTATCTACTAGTAGTATAAAAGATAAGACTAAGAATCTTATACGCTAGCCTTCTTTTCTCTTTAATTAAGGAAAGCTACTTACTATTATAGAAGATAGTAAAGAATAAAGATAGTAAGAACTAGACTTAAATATAGAAACGCTAAGGATAATAACTATATTACTAGGAACCTACCTTCTTAGACTAAGGTGTAATACCTTAATAACCT